CGCACGAATACGAATCCGTGATTCGATTTTCGACGTAAATGTTTAGAAAAATTGAATCCACCTCCGACGAAAATAACTGCTGGGGACGGACTACGCTTATTAAGGTGGTTGAATTTATTTTCGTACGCTCTGTTGGTACAAGGAATAAAAATATTTTAAAAAATATTTTTGTTTTCTCGATTATGTTTTTTTTAAATAGGTTCCAACTAAGCAAACATTAATCTTCGGCTGTCTATATCCTCTTAACTCAAAATACGCTTTTCACGACCCTGGTACTAATCTTTCATTCTCCCCGCGATACATTCTATTTATACGATTCGCCTTACTCGGAAAGCTTTGGAACGAATTAACCGCCGTAAGTCGAGGAGTTACCGTATCTCGTGTCTCCGCTGCGAGCCGGCTGGCGCGGATCGATTTTCGTTTGCACGGCTCCGTCCGTGTAGCCCGAGACGAGAGCGTGTTGGGAATCGAACGGCGTCGCACGTAGAAAAAAAATCGAAACGAAGTCAACGTACTTTCTTTCGCAATGCTCGGGCAGGATTTTGCCGCAGTTCGGTTGGCCGGTGTATACTCGGGCTCGCGAGCGATCGCTAGACGCTTTCCCCCCTTCCCCCTGTGTCTCACCGAGGCGTCGGTTGTGTTCCTTAACCGACGACGAAATTTTTCTGGGGCGCAAAACGTGCGCGCGATTCGATCGAATTCGAGCGTCCTGTGTTTCCCGAGCGCGCCGAGGTCTCGAGAGGCCTTAGAAGTAGGTCTGGCACGTTTCCACCCCGTATTAACCCAATTCCATCGAGCACCCTCGACGCAGGGGAATGCGCGGCCCCCGCGTCCTCGCATCCTCGCACCCTCGACCCTCGTCCACGGTCCACCCGGTTATCTGCTGCCCCCGCCCCACGCCTACGCCGCCACCTACGCGTGCACGCGATGCACGCATACGAGCGAACCGCGTGCACGCGCTTACGAAACGGATCGGATTTAACGAGCATTCTGGCGAACCTGCGACATTCGAGAAACGATGTTTCAAATCCCCCGTGTGATAGGTGACGGGACGTTCGCGGCTCGTTCCCCAGGGCTGATTTATATCAGTGTTAAGCAGCGGGTTAATATCGCCTGGGTGTCACCCGGATAACTGAAATAATTTCCTTCCCGGATCAGCGACGCGAATTTATCGTGCACCGTTCGTGTTTACTCGGCGCCTAGACTAAAATAGAATTACATCCAACGATGAGAATGACGAATTTTATATTTGTCATTGAATCGCTATGAAAGTAGCACGAATGGATCGGTGAGGTTCTGCCGATCAAAATGAGTACAAACACGGCCATGTTTGGACTATTTGAAATTATGCTAAATTGGAAGTTTTTTAATAAAAAAATGTCGTCCGAATGATGCCGTGTTTGGATTCATTTTCATCGAGAAAGTCTTGCCGATTCTTTGATAACACATTGAATACGATTAAACGTCGTCAATAAAGAATTAATATAGTCTCTTTGTTATGTTTTGTTTTGTATGCTCGCGCGTACAAAAGGAAGGGAGAAAACTCTGTAGAATGTAACGAGGAGTATGAAAATTTTTATTTCGCATTAATCGTGTCACATCGATACGCGCGGAGCGTCGCTTTAAAGTTTCAATGACTCGCTTATTGTTGTTCTGTCCCGCTAACTCTCGATGTGTTCTATTCAGTCTGCGTGTCGTGCGGTACGCGCGCCGCTCAGCCCGATTGAAATAAAGAAAGTCCATTTCTGGATTAAAATCAGCCACCATACTCGTCATAAGTCTGCGAGCGAATCCGAGTTTCTGGCTCTCATTGAGGGCTCGCTTTAAAACCATGATGGATGACAAACGCCGACGAGTATTGCGACGAACAGAAATTCCAGACGGCTCCTTCTTTACAGCGTTTAATTTCTTAACGTACATTTTTTCCAAAAAATTGAGGTTTTAAAAATAACTTTTAGTATCAATTAATTCATGCACGAATGTATGATCGAGAAATAATCCTTTCCAAAGAGTGGAATAAAATTCATGAAATAGAGGGTTGAACGTATCAGATACCACCCTTCTTCTCGTCTTTGACGTCCTCAACGTAAATATTTGCGATTGGAATGCCAGCCAACGAGGTGACGTGGGGTTCTTTTGCCGTATATTCCAGGATCCCTGTTGCGGGACGGTGCAACAGTACAACAGTCCGTGAAACTATCGGATTACGATCAGCTGTCTTGGAACATTGCCGCGTTAACCCTCCACCGCATTATTTTTTATTTTTATTTCCACGAAATGACTCACACTTATCGAGAAACAAAAACTACAGAATAATTTTTTGTTTAATTTTCTCTTCGGTGTATTAGCTATTATTACAAAACAAAATTTTTTTTATAATTTTCATTACACCTTGTTGAGAGCATTACCAATGGATTGGGAATGTTTCCCCGATGAAAATGAGTCCAAACACGACCATATTTGAAATATTTTTAATTATACGTTTTTGAAAAATTATTGGAAATACGCGTAACTAAAACTATTCCAAATATGGTCGTGTTTGGACTCATTTTTATCGGGGATATTTCGTCTATCCATTGATATCGTATTTACCGAGATACAATGAGAAAAATAATTTCAATTTTCATTACTGGGTGAAATTCCTTCTCGTACGCGTATCTTGCTTATGCAAGTATGAACAGTGGTAGGGACGATTTCATTACTCTTAAGACAGGGTCATCGTTTATTTTTGCAACCCCACGTATGGTTAATAAAAATCGAAACTGTCCGTGGAACGGACGATGAAACGTTCCTACCATTCTCAGAGAATCTGTTACGAGGCTGCGACGAGCAGAGAAGAAAGACTTAAGGAGAGTGGGTGGTTGCGATATGACAACGGAGGGGACAAGGAAACAAGACCATGTCGATCACAGGACAGATATCGGTCGACTGGATTCGTGTCCCTTTTCCCGTTCTCCGGTCTCCCTTTCTTCTTATCGTGTTGTGCCAACGAATCACGGATATTGATCCACGAGACAGCCTCGCCTTCGTTCGGTCAATATGTCTCCTCAACGATTTCTAGGTTCGTCTTTCAGACTTCCGTATCGGCTCAAGGTCGTTCCCTTCGGTCACGTCTTTTTTTAGCCATGCATTCCGTACCGAGTACAGTAGCTCCCGCTTTTAAGAGATAATCCCGATACCGGATTCGAGCAACGGAATTCAACGCGAGCGACAAGACAATTTTATTTATTTATGCAACGAACTCGCTGAATAAGAACAAAATATCTCAACGAAAAAGGCTCTTTTACAGTCTAATTCAATTCCACTGGTGGTTGCCAATGAATAGCATACAGGAGACCAAAATAAGATGAAAATCAAGAATACCAATTTGTTGATTGAGGCTTCGTTAAAAAGTTATTAACGTTTAGAGTTCCGCCTGTGAACCGGCAATCTTGCGAACAGCTGCGTGCAAGCGATAGTAGTTTCACCACAGACAAGGCATACCAGCAAACCTTACATCCAATGTATTTTTTCGCATGAAATTTCGAGAAAACATTTCTGGCCACACGGTATATTCTCGGTAAAGAATTTTTTTCTCGAAAGCACGTAGGATTTTAGGGATATGTCTATTGACCAAAAATGATTGTAATTGACCCCCGCAGCCGAAAATAATTTTTCCAATGTGATTTGAAATTTTTTAATTTTATTTTTTAATAACTTTTTAACGAAGCCTCAATCGAGAAATTGATATTCTTGATTTTCGTTTTATTTTGGTCTCTAGAACCTTGAACACCCTGTATAGGATTCCACTATGGTAACGCGGATCTCTGTTTCTCTCTCGCCATCGCCTATACCCGGATTCACTTTTCTCGAACGCGCAACGGTCACAGCCTCCCGTCTAAACTCGATCGCAAATGAACCAAATGGGTGCTGATTTTGGTGGTTGACAGCAGGAATTACTGCGCAATGTTTTCGAAAAATTGTCGAAGATAATCTTTGGGTGAACCGTTTGTTCGCCGAAAGAATAATCTCGTTAGGAAGCTGTCACAGCTACGGCTTCCAGCGGTTCCGTATTTCTCTTCTGTTTCCAACCCCTTCACGCATAGTCGTAACTGCGGGGAAATTAATCTTCCAAACATTCGAACTCGAGTTCGAGCGTTGCCTTCCATGCTTCGACTATGGGGGCTACGAGGCTGTGTTCCAACATTTTATATATCCAGTACTATGAATAGACCCTGTTAAAATGCGTTATGCGTGTATGAATCGATCAAACATTGGGGGGGATTCTGGAGAAGGTTGTTTTGTTAACAAACTGATGCTGACACTGGAATTCACTAATATGGGGAATAGGAGGGCGTTAATAAAAGCTTCGTGTAGATTTATATCACAAACATCAAGCCACTAAAATATTCGGTGTGGATTCCCTTTAAGTTGTGATGGAATTGTAATTTGTTTGAACGGAATTATAGGTTTCTCAATTACTCTAAGTCGTTAGAATATTTTTGGTTTAATAATAGTAACTCTATACTTTGAGGATGAGGATTGGAAAATCCGATCTTTTATAACCTAAAAATGGTAATATGTAGCCAGCTTGCTATATACAAAGGAATAGTAAAGCGAGATAGCAGGAGATAAGAAAAGGAGAGAGCATTTCGTTCTGGGCCTGCTGGTGGACACCGCGACGTTGGATGATCGCTCGAGGAGCGTATATGTATAGCCCTCTGGTGACGAGTACGGGAGGTGTCGTCACAGCAAAGACAATATAATCTGTATTTACCCTATAAAAGTCTTACTGGATAATTCTGATAGCTTGGTATCTTACACTGAAGGGACTCGTGCCAACGTAAGTGGTTTAATTACAAAAAAAAAATTGCTACGAAGTAACAGAATAATGGAAAATATTCCTTAAAAAAACTTAACAAACCAGAAGCGGTGATTTGAAAAGTGTCATTTAATAAAGTTTGATACCGACAATGAATCATTGATCGCCAGCTAAAGTGTAACGTTCCTTTTTGTTGCAGAGGTCAAAATGGAATTGGAGGACCTGATGTCCGACATCAAGAAAACGGCCAACAAAGTCAGGGCTAAATTAAAGGGTAAGTATCATGATTGATACTTAAAGTCAAATAAAAAGCTATTTCCTGGTATATCCGAAGGGTCAATATTTAGCACGTCGAGTGTCTAGAGGGCGTTGTGTATTTTTATTTACGCCGAACGAGACGTTATAGGGGGTCAAGTCTTAACGTTTGTATACAAAACATTGATAGTTTCTTATGTAAGTAAACTCATAAAAATCTATTGGTAGTAATAAACGCTATATTTAACGTTACTGGCCATCGGTAATATTCCGAGGACGACCACTAAAATGCCGGCTAAAATGGTTCTTGTTAATTAAAACAAAAACAAATTCTATTTATAACTTTCTATATACTATACAGGGTGTCTCACCCGATTTTGACATCTTCATTTTCTCGCTATTGTTACTCGTAACAAAAAATGTTTCAGCGGAGGCTTGAATGGTATCGAGTGGAGCATATTCTGATGTTATTAGTTTTTTCGTGAGTGGACGCGCAAAGGTCATATAAAGGTCAACTTTGTTTTTTTAAATGGAACGAGGTATTTTTTAATACATCAATCGATTCAGCTGGACAATCGTTATAAAAAAGTACTAACTGTGTAACGTCGAAAAATTAGTAGTTAAGGAGATATTTCAATTTAAATAATTTTAAAACACCATTACTGTTGTACTAAGACGTTAGCGTTTATTTACAGGAATAGTTCAACGTAACGACCATTTACATCACATGTCATTACTTAAGCTATATAAAAAAAGTTATTTAATAACAAGAATAGTTAGTTTTTAATTGGATAGTGAAAATTGACTATAGTGATATCTTAAAATGAAATACAATGAAATTCATATGAAATAGACTTATGGTATAAAAAGAAGTTATTTAATAATAATATTTAATAATAATATATCCAATGAAAATTACTAATAGATGTATGTAATTTTTAATTGGATAGTAAAAATTGACTATAGTGATATCTTAAAATGAAATACAATAAAATTTTTATGAAATAGCCTTATGCTATAAAAAAAGCTATTTAATTATAAGAATAGTTAGTTTTTATTTGGATAGTAACTACTAAATAAACGTTAACGTCTTAGTACAACAGTAATGGTGTTTTAGAATTATTTAAATTGAAATATCTCCTAAACTACTAATTTTTCGACGTTACATAGTTAGTACTTTTTTATAACGATTGTCCAGCTGAATCGATCGATGTATTAAAAAATACCTCGTTCCATTTAAAAAAACAAAGTTGACCTTTATATGACTTTTACGCGTCCACTCGCGAAAAAACTAATAACATCAGAATATGCTCCACTCGATACCATTCAAGCCTCCGCTGAAACATTTTTTGTTACGAGTAACAATAGCGAGAAAATGAAGATGTCAAAATCGGGTGAGACACCCTGTATAACGCTCGACGCGCTAAAAATAATTGTAAACGACGTATAGCGTAGGTAAAAGAACTCCTTAGGCGTTCTACTCTCGTTTCTTGATCCTCCGCTCTGTGTACGCTCGCCCGTTCAACGGTGACAGTGTCTCAACATTGACATTTCGTTTTTCTGGTGCGCAGTGATAGAGCAAAATATCGAGCAAGAAGAGCACACGAACAAATCGTCGGCGGATCTCAGGATACGCAAGACACAGCAGTCGACGTTGTCCAGGAAGTTCGTCGAGGTGATGACAGAGTACAATCGAACGCAGACCGATTACAGAGAGCGGTGTAAGGGAAGGATACAACGACAGCTGGAAATCAGTAAGCGTGGCCCTATGCGTTCGGCTATTCCCATTACGTATGCGTGAGAGCGCGTCAACGCACTCTTAGCTCTCTAAATACCATCTTAACCGATCGATTTCGCCGCTTGCAGCGGGGAGGACGACCACTAACGAGGAACTAGAGGAAATGTTGGAACAGGGAAATCCGGCTGTGTTCACGCAAGGGGTAAGAAACGTTCATTCGTTTCACCGTTCGAGAGCCACGGGTCTGGAAAGATCAGTTTTGAGCTAAAAAGTAACCTGGCACCCACGACTTTCTGCAATCCAATGCCTTCGTCCTGCTCACCAAAGTCCTACTCTTCTGGCATAACAGTTACACCTAATTAGGACATCTATCAAAGCATTGTAGAATAATTTGTCCATCAATTTTAGAATTAGAAAGGAGCTTAGAAAGGTGGGCTATGATCTGGACGAGATCCTGATACTCTTCATTGTCCTGATCATGTCCAACCAGACACTCCTAGTTACTAGACTAGGACACTTATCAAAGTATTCCAGAGGAATTGTCCAATAATTTTTCCTTGGAGAGATTCTCTATGATCTGGACGAGATCCTGATACTCTTCATTGTCCTGATCATGTCCAACCAGTCACTCCTAGTTACAAGATCAGGACACTTATCAAAGTATTCCAGAGGAATTGTCCAATAATTTTTCCTTGGAGAGATTCTCTATTATCTGGACGAGATCCTGAGACTCTTCATTGTCCTGATCCTGTCCTTTCCTTCCTACATAACAGTTACACCTAGTTACCAGACCAAACATCTATCAAAGTCTTCAAATCGTTCTTGTGCATAGTGTTGAGCTACTCCCTAGGAGAAAATTTAAGAAGTGACTCTAGACACCAAAATAATCAATCTACTGCCTTCATTTAAGTCCTCTTCTCATGTCTGATACGGTTGAAATCTCTTCCAAGACTGATCTTTCCCTTATGTGTACTGTACTGCGAGAGAAAAATGGTGTTTTCAAACTGACTAATCGTTGTCCCCTTCTTGTAGATTATCATGGAAACGCAACAAGCGAAACAGACCCTCGCTGACATCGAGGCCCGCCACGCCGATATTATCAAACTAGAGAACTCGATTAGGGAACTTCATGATATGTTCATGGACATGGCCATGCTGGTAGAAAGTCAGGTAAGGCGGAGGACGGGCACGAGCGATTATTTAAATTTTATCTCAGGTTTATTCGTCGTGTACAATTAACGAGGCGTTCGAATTCGTTGATATCGATTATTTATTCCGATCTCGTTCGCTGTATTTCATTGATCAAAAGCTTTCTCGCGAAAGGGAGTAAGCTACGGCAATAATGGCTAGCCTTTTCACAGCCGCCATTGTTCTCTTATCTTCCGGGCAACTTTTCACGAGAAAACTGATACCTGGCATTACTTGTAACGCTAATACATGTATATTGCGTGGCGTGCATGGGACTAAATATAGTGATGAACAAAACTTAACACATCGTATGAATGTTTTCAAACGTACTCACGTATCCAAGAGCGATACCATTGTATTACAGATTAGGAAATGATACGTGAAAACGTTATATGCTGTTTATACCTCGCCTTTGTATCCAACGTATACTCACGTTTGTAAATTTTTATTATTCAAATGTTTGATACAATAAATACGAAATGTGTTCGTTTTGGTTCATCGTTGTAAGTGGTCAAAATAACGGCAGTATTAATATCAACATGGTATAGAGAACGAACGCGATGGTAAAAGAAAATAAAATGGAGGGATAACGTCTCGATCGTTATCGTTAACTGTCGCTACTTCAGGAACTGGGAACGTTTTTCAATGTTCTCCGATCGCGACGAAAATGGTCGACGAGAAAGCTTACGAACTGACTAACACATTCTTCTTCCCTGTTACGCTGTGTGAATTTCGCACATGCACCTTAGGGCGAGATGATAGATCGCATAGAGTACCATGTGGAACACGCGGTGGACTACGTGCAGACGGCTACGCAGGACACCAAAAAGGCACTCAAGTATCAAAGCAAAGCCCGACGGGTAAGTCAATCCCAGATCATCGCGCGAGTCCGTCGGCCTTTCGCCTCTAATTGGTCACTTTTTGTTTCTCCTCTCTATCCTAACCCTATCTTGGCCACGATCTCTCACGACCATCGCCTTCTATCCTCGCCCCTCATCCTCGTTTCCGGCTGTCTCGTTTTACCGTCCATGTGTACCTATTTTGTTTGACTCTGTTACTTTAAAAGCTTTAACGCTTTCCGGTTGACTACGCTCTCCTCTATCTTTGTGTGCGTTACTCTTTTTCCTTACGGCGCGACATCTAACAACGAACGACACTTTCTTTCGTACTTAACAAACGTGCTTGTCACCTGTACGATCGAATCGCTGCTCGCATATATATGTCTCTATGTATATGTATATATATATATATGTATATATACACCCACGAACCTATTGTTTATACCTACTTACTCGTTTCGTAATACATATCTGTCCGTATACTTGCATCATTGTATACATATATATGTATATATATATATATTATATGTCATCTGTGCCTCTCTACTTGTGTCGCTTTGTTCTGTTGAACATAAGTGTGCTAACTGTGCCTCCAAACTAAAAAATGTTTGAGACCGTGGACTTGTATAAAATTTAGAGCGCCGGTCAGGTGGAAGGTTCGCGAAAACTTAACATGGTGCAAACGTTTAAACAAGAATGAGAAACGCCCGTTATTATGCGTTATTTCAAACGCATAATACCCTTGCAACTATATTAACATAATTAATGCGGTGTGTGTGGCTTGATTACACGGTGTATGTTTCATAACCTCTCTCTACGTCTACGTGTATACCTATATGTACGTGTACGTATATACATACACGCACAACGAATACACGTTCACACGTAATATTAACTTTGGGTGCAACATCCTTCGAGCCGATCCACCGGGTAACCGTAAAATACGTAGTGATGGGAATGGTACCGAGACGATTAGAATCGATAGAACACTCGACTCGGCGTAAAGAGGTTAGATACGTGCACGCGTAAACCAGCGGGTCGACGTCATCGCTGGGGTCCCGTCTCTCGTCACTTTCTCTTCTATGCTTGTACACTGTTACGAGTCCCAGGCAGTGGTTTCGTTCGAACAAGGTTTAATCGACACGAAAGAAGCAGTCGCGGACTGGCTTAATTTCGAGCAATTATCTTTATCGATTTGATTTTATTTCTCGAGCCAGGTATATTTAATGCAGGTTCGATGTCTACGCGGTATTGTACGGCATCGGTGTGGATCGAGTATTCATTACAAAAGTTTCAGTATCAGAAATTGACGCCAGGTGTAGCTCGACAAATTTAATAAGGTCCCTGAGGGAGTGGCCTGAGGAAGGCGGGGCGAACGGTGGGGACGAGGGCGGGTAATTCTGCTCTCCGTCGAACAAGCGATTCCCTATAGATGCTCCACATCGTTCGAGCTGCGAGAGATCCTCCTAAATATATTCCGCATTGTGTCAACTTTAACCCTGTTGTTTCTCCGAGTTACGGTACAACGTTTCTATTCCTTCGGGTCAGGTTGACACGATTTGCTTTAGCAGCGTATGTCAACGTTATATGTGGTCCGTGGCCTCTTTCTGAGGTGTATTTCTCTTTGTGCGATAAGCAAATATTAACAGTCTATGAAAGTTTAAATTTTTATTTGGAGCTTTATTTTAGGATATTTATTTTAGGTTAGCTTGTAAAATAGCTTTTTTTCTAACTCCCAGGTCATTTCAAGACCATGGTATTTAATGTCGTCGAACTCATCATAACAATAACAATAATGATTTTAAATTTGTTGAGCTATACATAGATTTTGCTATAAAATTGTTGGAATATCGTCGATACATGATCGTATCAGTCCCATCGCTACATCCGTCCTATTTTCCACTAGTTCCATTTGATCTTCGATTCCATTGGACGTCGGTGTTTAAAACCAGCTATTTCTCCCACTCGTTTCCATCGGCCCCTATCCTTTGGCACGGCAGGATGAGTCGACGAACCGCCATTGAGCACTTCATCGATCACGTGGGTCAGCGGCGACCGCGTGGTCAGGGCCTGAGGCGAGCTGATCATGGCTGAAGAATGGCGAAGCAAAGCTCGTCAAGATAAAACGTTAATCGGACTGATAAACGTTTGATCGCCGTTGGATCGGTTCTATCTGTCAGGTCTTTCCAATCTGCATCGTTTTCGTACCCGCGCCTCGACTATACAGGGTGTTCCAGGTCTCAACCGACAAACTCCGCCAACATGTTCGGGAGGTGATTGTGAGCAAAAAATTGTTATACAGGGTGTTCGGCCATCCCTGGGAAAAATTTTAATGGGGGATTCTAGAGGCCAAAATAAGACGAAAATCAAGAATATTAATTTCTTAACTGAGGCTTCGTTAAAAAGTTATTAACAATTAAATTAAAAAATTTCAAATCGTTCTGGAAAAATTATTTTTGGTTGCGGCGGTGAATTACAATCATTTTTGGTGAATACACATACCTCCAAAATCCTATCCATTTTCGAAAAAAAAAATCGGGTAGATGCTGAAATTTTTCGACGGAAAAAAAAATTTCAAATCGTCTTGGAAAAATTATTTTCGGTTGCGGGGGTCAATTACAATAATTTTTGGTGAATAGACATATCCCCGAAATCTTGCGCATTTTCGAGAAAAAAATTCAGCACGAGCGAAACTTTAAACGTTAATAACTTTTTAACAAAGCCTCCATCAACAAATTTGTATTCTTGATTTTCGTCTTATTATGGCCTCTAGAATCCCCTATTAAAATTTTTCCCGCGTTTCACAGTTATTTACAGTATATAAAGTAATTTGAAGATATTGCTCATAATGGTCACCTTTTGATTGTATGTAATCAGCTAAGCGGGTTTCCATGGACTGCATCCACTGCATCCGCTGAACTCCTGAGGAGTTTGAAAGATTACTGTTACAGGCAAAAGCTGTATCTTCGATTGTTGCTATCGATTTGCCACATGTATTAGGCTTTTGATTTAAATACACCTTCGACTTCATGGAACACTTCATGGAGAACATTTCTCAATGAGACTTTTCGTGGTAAATGGATTGGAAGATATGGAGCTGTTGGGTGGCCCCCTCGATCTCCTAATCTAACCCCTCTAGGTTTTTTTTCTATGGAGTTCCATGAAGTCGAAGGTGTATTTAACATTAGAACAAGGAGTTTCGATTAGAAATTGCAACGCAAAAGCCATAGGACGATGCGTATCCAGTTTCCTTCGCAACGTATCTTTTTCTCCATCTGCGACGATGCCTCCTTTCTCCCGTTTCCTCACATCAGACACATCACAGTCGTCGAACGAGTCGTATCTCTCGTCACAATCGACCGTTTCGTTTTGCACGCAGGCCTTTTGACCGCTGTCGAGTATATTTTTTCAGTAGTCGGTATAAAAAGCACAACGTTTCTTTATTTCACTTTTTTAGACATTCGTGGGGTAGTTAGAAAAATATTTTTAAAATGTTCTGGTATCTTAGTTTTGTGTTTCTTCTTTTATTTTACTCTTTATTATTTATGTTACCCTTTTGTGTTGATTTGTGTTGTATTCGTGTATATTTGAATTACATTCAATTTCTAGATACGTATCTACCTTTCCTTTCTGCCTTCTTCTTTTGCTTTGCTTTTGTTTAACTTTTGTAAAACGTTTCTCGATGTAGTCTATTAATTTCTAACCTCGTCAGGGAGGAATTATTTTGTTTTGGAATAATTAAAAATTAAAATTAACCCCGTTAATACATTTATTTATAAATATAAATGCATTACGAGCATTTATTCACAATTTCAGTGATGGTTTCCATGTTACGATAGTCGAAATTAATTAAAAAATTAAACATGTCCGCCATTATCCCTGAAGAGGTTAACGTAGATGGCGTTGTCAGCAGCATGCACGATGTCACGTAAAATCGTCGTAGGCTTTTGTCATTGCTTGGGACCAGTCAGAAGTCTCGAATTTAAGGGGCCATTCTACTAAAACATTTGGAAACATAAAATATTAACAGGGTTTTCTCATTCCGTAACTATGAAGTAGTCACGTAACGGCATCTTTAAAACATAACTATGTTTGTACTATAGACTCTATACTGAACCTAATAATACATTAACAACATATTTGTGGTAGTGTATGCAATCTTTATTTTAAAGAAATAATGAACACTTCAGGTGTTAACATATGGGAAAAATCACGAAGAATAATAAATATAATTATACAGGCCCCTTGAGTTAAAACGTAATCTTTGTACATATTCGCAGAGCAACTTCTCATTAAAATGCCTGATTGTTGTCTCGATAAAAGTACCAGAACCATCGCTGCCACTGTTTCTGTTCATTCTTTCCGCTTCACTCTTCTCTCCCGTCGCTTTCTATTTGTCTGTTTGCCACCGATGTTTCTGTCTCCTCTGGTGATTTCCACGCTGTGTACGATTCGACCGTTTCGGTTGTCGTAGATTCGGTGTTTTGTCTCTGCGACCTCTGATGCGAATCGTATATTTCTTTTTCTGTCCACAGAAATTGACCTTCATCCTAATCTGCGTCTTAATATTGGTCCTGATATTAATCTCCGTACTAATAGCATACGTTCCGAAGAGTAGCTAAAGAGTAAGATACAGGGTGGAGCGGGGAACCTTTTTTTTCGTTGGACATGTGTGGAAACAACGCGCGCGGCCAAATCGACGAGAGGATTTAATATGATAGAAGGAGGGGGAGGATTGGTTGTAATTCGAAAACTTAATCGCGAGAGAAGAAACAGAGGGACGGAACGAAGAACTAGATGGTTAGCGAGGATCGATTAGAGTAGGGAGAAAGAAAGATCAGTGTCGAATAACAAATGACAAATAGACAGTGTTTAACAAAGTCAGGAATACGCCTGACTCTTTTCAGAAATAAGTATTTTCGATTTGAATCCTCCTGAAAAAGTTATGCTTCCTAGTCGTTTATATATTCATATATTAATTAATATTCGAGACATATAATGACTGATCTTTTTTTCTCCGCGTGACATTTACCAATTCAGCACAAACCTAGGCAATCGGTAGCATCGACTTCGTTATCTTCCTCTCGAGCTCCAGTTGTTCTCGACTCTAACCTCTACTTCCGTAACAACTTGTTTGTTAACGCAATAACTCATTAACAGAAGCTACATTCTTCCACTAACGCGACCATCGTGCATGTCAAAGGCGCAGGCATACATTGGTTCATTCTTTGTGACTGTCTACCGACTGGTCGTTCCTTCTCTCGGTTCTCCGCCATCTTTTATTCGATCGATCTTGGCCGATGCTGGAGAATAAACCCTGTACTCGAGACGAGCAAAATTAAAATTAAAATTCTTAATATCTTAGGCTCTATGAAATCGCTGTTGAAAGTAAATCAGGTTAACAACACTGTATTTTGCTCGTCTCTAATTCGTACAACCAAGATAATCGTTGCTATGAAATCTCCGAAATGGACGAGAGAAGAGAACGAGTCGGTTTATTTTGCTAAGTACCTTGCTGATCACGATCCTCCACTGTTTCGACTTCGCTCCATCTTCTACTACCCGTATTGGAGTCGATAATGAGCGCTGATGCTGCCATCTATGGGGTTCTTGTGGCATCAAAGGGGTAGCTTTTTTCCATCCTTGTGAACAAGAAATAATTCCAAGAATCTCGTAGTAAAAAAGCTATCGCGATTGCTTTGCGCACCGCGACAACTTCTTTACTCTCCATTCTGCTTATAATTAAAGCGGCCACGCGCGTTCGCCGAGTGATCGCAATATTGTATTTTGTTCACAGAAATTGATGTTCATCGTAATTTGCCTGATAATAGTGTTCATCATTCTTATAATAATTCTGGTGTATGCATTGTAAGAAGATCAAGCCACGATGCGAGATATTTCAGGGAACAGTGTGCAAGGCAGTCACGAAACATGAGCCAGCTGACATGACACACACGGTTTTCCGTTCGCGATAAGCTCGGTGGGATTGTTTTGCGACCGATTCGATGGATCTTGACTGGCGAATAGGAGATAGAACGAGGTTTGTGACAGGGTTGAGGGAATAAGAGAGAAATGGAGAAACAGGACGACGGTGCGAGATATTTACGGATCGTGAACGAAAAAAAGAGTGTCAAGTTTCACGGGGTTATACGAGCTCGACGCTGTTCCATCGATCGTTGACCGACACGTGCTCCAGCGATGTTTTTTTTTCCTTTTTTGTTCCGGCCTTTGTTTCTAGATTCGCGGCTTCGAACTACCTCATGATTTCGACTGGTGTATGCGGTGTCGTGGTATTAGAGCTGTTCGAGATCTCATCTCGAATATTCGGGACAATATAGAGGACTTCTAGAGACGTATATTATAAAATAAACTCTTCCGTAAAAAGTAATACGTTTGGTACGAAGAGAAAGAGTCGAACTCGTCGGTGAGGTTTATCTAGCAGTGTCTACTTCAGACGCGACTAATTGTTCGAACAGTCTCTTATTCCTCGATATTTATTAATATATGTGTGTATTAATTTGATAAAAGATTTGTCGAACTATGGTCCAGTAGCGTGGCGAGGTAGGATTTGCTAAGTGATCCTTACCGACCGAGTTGAATTAGCAAATCCGGAACAAAACGCAGTTAGATTGTTCTCCGTACCAAGACTGTTAGTATCGTCAGAATACGGATCGAATGTGAGAGTATAGAAGTTTTTTACCAATTTTCTTTTTCTATAAATTTGAGCCTCGAAATAAATGATCCGGCTAGCCCAACTTGTAGCAGGGCCCTGGACCAGACTCGAATGTAAACCGAGACTTTGAATATTTTTAATGCCGAGGAAAAGTAGCGTATTCGTAGCCCAGGCTTAACTCGCGAAAGTGTCAAGGTTGTAGTGGTAACATATAATTTATTTCCGTTCAGTGGTAACATTGGACTAAGTACTCGGGCTAGTACTTCAATGTTATCACTGCAGGGTTAATGTCTGACAATAAATCACGCACGAAGGATCGGGTGTAGCCCGAGGAATCCTTCAAATCTCGTATAATATTAGAAAGAAAAAGGATGAGGTGGTATTTTGAATTTTCAAAAGAAAATTAATCAACGCTCGCGAAAAACAATATTAAATGAAACAAACTTTCGTATACAATATTTTTGGTAAGACAATTAACGAGACTTCCTCGTAACTTTTCCATAACGTTCGCTTGTTATTGCATAGCTTGTGTTTACGAGAAACACGTATACGGTTAAGAAAAGTGATCCGAAACTCTTGATATTCTATTCGTCGCGAAGTGTTTGGGGGCGTTACAGTCTCGTTTTCTCCGAACATCCCAAAGTTGTCTCGCGTTGTCGGTACCCGTTCGAAATCTCGAGCAGCTCCGTGCGATGTGTCCAACGGCGACGGTCAACGAATCGTTGGGAAACAGCGCCACGCTTACGCGACGCCGCGATTTATTCTTAAATCGTCGCGCGTGTAGGTGTCGCTCGCGATGCCCGACGCGGCGAAACGGAACGTAACGTTTCTCAGAAACGATTGCCCCCGTCGCGAGCAGTCGCAATACTCGCTCGCGACGCGTATTATGTACATAATTGCATTTGTATAGAAACAGGTAATAATATTTACGATTAAGAAACGGTCGAGTTTGTGGAACCGTTGATTCCTTGTTGTTGCGCGCGGTCTAAGCGCAAGAGTAACGCTAGATCGAACGAGAAGACACGAGTCGCGACGGATACGATGGCGACGCGTATCGATTTATTTTTATTCCTCGATCGAGAGGTGCGGGATCGATTCGTCGGTTCTTCTGGGAAGAGACAGAATCTTCGCTCGAACGGTTGGTTACCGTTGCGAATTTTCCGCTAACGGTGGGATCCGTTGATCCAGCGATTCGAAGAGGCGGACAGAAATTGGCAGGCACACGCAGAGAGGCACACGCTGCGATTCGAGAGGGCACGGTGACGCGTAGCATAGCGGAAGGGAGGATCGTAGCTGAAACACACGTAACGGTAGCGATGAAACCCACCCACGTTGCGCGATACGTTTGTAATCGATAATTGTGTTTTATGCCGATCCGTTGATGCCGAGCGCAGAAGAAGATCATGATCATGATCTGCGTCGCCATACTTGTCGTTGTTCTGGCCACCACCGTCGGTGGATACTTTGGACTGTGAACGCCGAAATCAGGTAACCGTTTAGTACTCAGCAATCTGTAACGTCCGAGCTCTCTTTACACGGAGTATGTTTTCAACGCTCGTGCGTAGAAAAATTTACCCCTCTGTGACCACTTATGGCACGCAGGAAATATTGCACCGGGACTAATCAGAAAAATCGTGCACGAAAGTGTGTGGCGTGAACTGCTTAGCTGAGCGTACAAAGAATAACGAGATCACGCTCCGTGTAAAGGAGAGAGAGTTTAATTTATTAGTACCAACAACCGTCCAAGAGATGATCGGAGCAGTTAGGACCGTTCGTATATTTCTCAAGGCGGTCTTGATATCATCAGTATTTTTTTTTTTTTCTTAAGTTACGTGTATTGTAGTTAATATTAAAACGAGGAAAGACAGATTATACCGTATAATACAAATAAAAATAATTAACGAGGGTGACGTTCAAAACTTGAAAAAGTTACCGGTAAATTAAGTGTCGAGCAGAGACGAGCCACGAAATACTTGTAAAACGCTGAATACGTAGATCGATTAGCGAATACCCCGACGCTCTGAGAAGAACGAATGATGGGGAGAGTAACGCGCCAGAGGCGCGCAAATGATGCATGCCGTTGTTTCTTTGCAGAACAGTCCAAAGGCGTCGCCGTCGTGTACGCAAATGCGAGCCGTCGGCAGCATCTGTACCCAGGCAAGTCGGCCCGAAACGTAAGAAATCTCGCCGTTTCAAAGTTGAACGATCGCCGTCGTCGGCGTGGTCGACATCGACTGCATCGACGGTACCGTCGCAGCAGTCATCCACCGGCTCGGCCTCGATCACGGCCGCGGCGTCGTCGACGAACACCACGTCGACGCTCGCCGCTCCTCGTCTCGCATCGATTGTCGCTGAATTCGTCCTCCTGCTCCTCGAATCACGCCTGTCCAGTGCCAGGCGGACAACCAGAACAACGAGACCAGCTCGGAGGACGAAGAATCGCCGCTGCTGCCGCTGTCGTTGTTTGCACGATCGTCTTCTGTCGCTGTCGCACTGTGCCGACCTCGACGAAATCGTTGTAATCCCGGTTTCGTTTCGTTCGGCTTTCAACGAGTCCGCCAACACCCGGACGGCTTCTGTCGCCGAGTCTCGTCCCGTTCCACGAGCACGCGATCTTTTACACCAGAAGAGACGGTGGTCTCGCTTTCTTTCGCAATTAAATAATTCGTACTTGGCGCGTTCTGCCCTTGCTAGACCGCTAGACGGGCGCCCCTCTCTTCCCCGCTCGCGAGAAACACCGCCGGTGGGTAACGGAGACGCGGCGCGTGCGCCATCGCGCGGGCAAACGAATCCAACCGCGGCCGGAGTAGCCTCGTCGGTGCATCGTAACGGGAGAGAGGCGGTCGCGGCCAGCGCGTTCGCTCGTTGGATCGGCTCGCGGCGTTATTCTCACGAACGAACGTCACCGTGGGAATAACAGCGACGGTCGTACGAAACGGAGCCGAGTCGCGAACAAGGCGCGCCACGCGTACCAGGGCTGTCCGGCCTACGAGAAGAAAAGAAACAGTATTCGAAGCAACTGCCTGCGTCCATCGCGAATAACGTATTAGCTGGGCCATTCGATAAACGCGAACGTACCGACGTATCTCGTTCCGAGCCAAGCCTAACACCCAATGGAGTTTTTCTGTAACGCGAGACGCGCTGCTGCGAGGCTACCAAGCGATTCTCTCGTTCGTCGCGCCGTTTTTACGCGTCGGATCTAGGCTCTGGTAGTCGCGTGATAAACTCTACCAACTAAACCCACCCAAGTGCAATCTTTTCACTGTGATTTTTCAACGAGCTTGGAAATTAGTTCTTTACAGATCTCGCATCTCGGATTTCGGATTTCGTGCGCGTTCGAAATAAAATGAACGGATATCTTCGATTCGCGCGATGCTTTTCTACCCGGCGTACACGATCACTCGTTACATATCAGGCGATTGCGTATAATTTCTACGCTAGACCTCTCTGCGCCGTAGCGGGGCAACGATTCTCGAAAGTAGTGATGTTCGATCGTGATTCGATTCGCGAATGTCAGACACGCGTCTCGTCTCTTAGGGAAAAGTAACGAGCGTTATTCCTTGTGTCGGGTTTCGTCGAACCGACTCTCGTGACGCGAATCTCGTTAACCCTCTATTGCACAGTGTGTCGATTCAAGAATCTAATCCTGTCGATCCTAGTAAAGTATGGCGATTCGATCAACTTGCTGTTTAATTTGAGTATCGATTAATTCGTGGACGTACAAGTAATCGAGAGGTTCCTCGCTGAAAAGTGAGAGAAAATCCGCGCAATAGAGAGTTAAAGAAACGGCGGTAGAGTGGTTTAGCGACGCGTCAGGCAAAAAACAGTTTCGTTTAGACACGGGAACTGTCGACCGTCGACGGGGTATCGCGTAACCGTGTCACGAGACCGCGTAGGAAGAATTTCCAAGCGCGTCGCAACCTTAGGATAATTTTTGTTTTACTGCATATATGTATACATAAGTAGCTTGATTCTCGCTTTCGACGCTGTGTCTTTGATTGGCCGACGCTGCTTTATTGAATCGAGAGATCGATGGGGCGTCTTCGACTTTGCGTTGCAGGAAACGCCATTAGGTATTGGGTTCGATCGACCGATCGACGTAAACGTTTCGTTCCGCTACGCGGACAATGAATGTTTTTTTTGTTTTTTCTTTTTCAAAATCGACGAAACCCCATTTCGTTCCTCGGTAGTCCCCATTTTTGGCGGGCGTAATCGACGCGCGTCGTATCCCGTGCACCGTTGCAGCAACAGATATCGTTTCGAACCTAAACCTAGAACGGAACGCTTTTGTTCTCACCGTTTGTTTTGCTGCCACGATACGTAAACGATTCGTTCGTAGATTTTGTCTCTGTTTTACGCGACCCTTCCTGTCAGCGGTCGCGGACAAGGACGAGACACGAGCGTTTAATTTATTTCGGTATGGCACGACATAGTGCAATACTATACAGTATGATACAGTGCAACACAGTGTGATACGGTGCTTCTCGAGAGTTCAAAAGAAACAGACTCGCGTGACCGAAACTTTTTGTAAAGATTGCTACGTTGTTAATTAAGTCTTCGTTATTCGTTTACCGATATTGCTCAAAATCTAATTACATCGTGAAACGAGAATAAAGAACTTGCACACAGATTAGTACTTTTCATTAGAGGTTAGGAAATAAAAATGATTTCATTGAATCTCTGAATTCGGTTTACATTTTTATCGAGTTCTTTTGCCCGTGAGTGGAGAAGCACTGGTATACTACACTATAGTACGGTGCAGCGTGATATTGTACAGTACTGTGCCAGTGCAGATGAATTATGTTCGCAGCTGTTGCGTCCGCTATCGCGTACTTCCGAATTGATTGGCGAGCAGTTCGACGACAACGACGACGATGACGGCTCGTGCAATTCGCGAACTCGAACAGACTATTCGCCTTCGTTTATTTAAATGTTTCGAATCAGCGTGGCTCTATCGGTCGTCGAAGATTCGTACGAAGTCGGGAAGAGTATTTCGCGGGAGAAATATGTATCGTCTTTGAAACGATCGGTCACGGCGCGGAACACAAGATGTTGGAGGAGGAGGGGAGAAAGAAATAAGAAGTAATGTGACGCAGAGGCGAAAAACATGCGAGAAGGAGGGAAGAGGGTATCTATAAAGCTGCAGCAATAATATAATATAGGTGTTACGGGGAAATAATTAACGGTAATGCAATCGTCGACGATAATATCTGGGTCGTACCGATATACCGTATGTACACGGGATGTATACATATGTAACACTATATATATACAGAGCAACACGCGCGCGAGAACGCGTTCGCGCGCACGTGAAACACACGTACACACGCGTGCACGCGTACACACACACAAAACACACGCTCGCACACAGCCCAGACACGTATACGTACACGTACATACACACACGTACACACGTACATGCGCGTTACATGTATATATACATAGTTAGTCGGCACAGTCGAAAAGAGTAATATATTAACGATAATAATTTATTATTCGCGACGCCTGTTGCTCGTGAACTATCAATTAAATAATCGCTTTTCAAGCAAGGAACGAGCGACGTTCGTGTTAATGTTTTGTTGATTATATTATATGAACGTTGAGGTGCATATATTTAAAAGATTATGGGTTAATGTTTAAAAATGATATAAAGGTAAAAAAAACAGTTACGCTACACAGGCCACGTCGCGTACGTTGCTGTAATAACGATATTAACATAGTGCGATAATTGTGGTGGTGGCAAACGATGACTACCGTGACGATAATGGCGGAGAAACGGAAGGAAAGTACCATTACGATGATGATGACGATGTCGAGGAAGACGATGATAATGATAAGGATAATTAACGATACTTAAAATCACTTTGCATTGTACAGAGGCATAATAATTGTTAGTTTAGATAGTTACGTTGCCACGATCTATTACTTAATCATTCGATACAACTAAAGGTAAAGTTAACGTGTAATCCCTCTGTCGCGAGCTGATCAACCGATCCGCCGGGTAAAAACCGTTACACGGCGCGTTTGTTGTGTCTGGCTTTTCGAATCGACAAAGTTCGAGTTCCGTTCCGTCGTCGGAGTAGACGCCTGTCGTTCGTTTCTGAATACCGGGTCGGGGGTCGCGTGAAAAAATTCGTTACGAATTTGTATATCTTGCGCGACAGACGCCTCTCGATCGGATTGTTCCGCAGCGAGCGACGCCGGCGCCCTCTTCGACTCGCGAGGTCCTCGTCACTTCGTACGGCGCGGCGCGCTCCTCCAAGCGGTGCTTCGCGTCTCCAACGGAAATATCGATTCGCGAACCAAGCGTTCGTCGCTCCGACGAAAACAGTTACTCGGATCTCTCTCACTCTCTCTTTCTCGGTGTTTATTAAATATTTAGATTTTGGTGGTTCGCGAGATTCGTTAAATTGCCGCGAGACGCGAAACGCTTTCCTCTTCACAGACTACCACCACCACACTCGAAGCAATCTTTTTGTCGCGAATACGTTGCCGGCTCTAATAGTTAGTCGTTTGACTACTCAACCCGCGTACTGTCCGTTCAGCTCAGTACACACCGAGACGAGAAAGTCGCGGACACGATTAAGACGCGCGTCGTCCCCTTGCGCGCATGGATTTTTTATCCGAGCCTCACCGCTCTGAACAACAATCTATCGTCTAGGTTATTTTTTATTCTAGCTTTAAATCTCGTACGTCGTTAGGGTTTTTCTCTTACGGGCGCGTGTACAGTGACTCTCGCGATAGGAATTGAGGAATTGAACCTTCCTTTCTTACCATCGAATCAGTTTTCCGAGGCACGATAGATTTCGTCGGTACGCACCGTTACTTCGAAAAAAACTTGTCCGTACCGCCCACAGATGCACGGTCGTCGTTTAGTGGAAAAGCGATTACTTCCTAAGCACACGATGCGTAAGGTAGATGCGCGGAAAGTTGACACGTCATCGACGGAACAACGTGCACGGCTGTTGCTGCTGCGAGCAGAGTTGGACAAAATGTAATCTGATTAATGATTACCATGTAATCAAACCAGTGATTAATGATTATAATTACTGAGTAAACAGTAATCTTAGTAAATGAATAATATAAGTAATCGGAACGAATGTAATCGTTAGACATTTTTGATTGCGTCAATAAGTTATTAATAACATTTAACATGTTTAAAATAAATATGTCTGTTACGAATTAATTTGATCCAGGTTTGGGCAGATTTTTATCTAGATAACGAATAAAAAATAACAATAATATAAATAAGGAAAGAATACATTACATACACACACATTTGTGGTTTGTATACGGTATTTGTACACAGTCTGTGACTTTTGTTTGCGACTAAGATATTTGCATTTCAAGTTGTCTATACGAGTAGTATTTTATTCTCTGCTAACGAGTCGTCGATGCTGCAGTATTCTTCCGCGCATTCGTCTTGCGCATCGTATGCTTAGGAAGGGGCAGCTTCTTTACTAATTACGTCGCGCGTATGTGTTAGTATAGACAAATGTCTCGAAGCAAGGATTACGTACGATAATCGACAGTGCGCGCGTTACTCGGTTTGGCCTAAGAACGAACGAGAGGCTTTCTCGATAGTAGTCAATCTTTAGCTTCGCTGTTTTCCTTGTTGACGAGCAGAGATCGAAGAGCGAATCTCCGATCTTGTCCCGCGTGCGTTCGTGACTTAGTGTCCGCCTGTCTGTCCGTCTCTCTTTCCCTCTCGGTCTCTGCGTCCCATTGTAAACGATTCGCGCGCCATTCCGTGAGTAGCAACGGAAGCTCGATGAGTCGGTTGTTTGTGGTGATTGACAACCAAACGTAGACTGAACTTTCTGTTAAATATTTGACAACAGAATGCTCGAACGAAGATAAAACGAACTCAAGTTTCTAGCCAATGAGCATTTTATTCGATATAAATTAACATTTTTCATCTACTTGCCGATCTTGCACAACAAATATTTTATAATTTGACTAATGTTAGTTGCAGTTTTGTGTCAACAAAGTCGTTAATGTAATCGTAAGTCTGCCTTTTTTCCAAAAACTGTTTGATCGAATTATCAGAATTATTGCTGTTGTATACTACCTCTAAAATGTATCATTGTCAAATCATAGAATATATGCCGAATATGGCCCAGCGAATAGATCGATAACGTTAATGTAATATTAAATGAATGCTCGTTGATTAGGAAAAGGGTTGGGCAAAATTCTTATCCAGATGATAATTTCGAATAACGAATAGATGAGGCACAAGTGTCGATTCGTTGAATAAAAGTAAATATTTCGATCATAAAATGAAATATTTCACGAGAAACAGATAAAAATTTAACTGTTGGATCGAATAAACATCACGAATACATTGTTATAGGTTAATCTTATTAGTTATTCGAATAAAATTTTGCTCGACTCTGGCTAGAAGCATGAATTTTATTCTTGACCCTGACGCGTCGATCTCGTCCATCGAGCATGGAAACGGAAAACGCAGAAGGCAGACGAAGTGGGAATCGAGGGGCAAGAAACAAACGACAGAAAAAACGGCGGTGGGGGGAGAGCGAGAGAGAGACGAGAATCGTGACGAAGCAGAGGGAACGCGACAGAACGAAAGTGTCGAGAAATGTACATTGGTCGTGTCGCATCGGTGCAATTATTACTTCGAGAGACTATTTCAATAACCTTATGAGTGTCAATTCCACTTTCAAGCGTAAATCGTAAGTTTGCGAGATGTTTTGAGAAAAAAAAAAGCAAAAAAAAAAACAAACGAACAAAAAATAAAGAGCGAATTCGAAGGGAAGTCGGTGTTAAATTGTTTAACGTTTAAGGAAGGTTGCGCTGGCGCACCTCGCGCGGCGCCACGCGACAAAGTGAGATTACTAATAAATTTACATTACTGAGAAACAAACGTAGGGGAATGAGAGAGCGGGAGAGAAAGGGGAAGAAAGTGCGAACGATAAAGCGAGAAAGGGTGGGCGGAGAATGAGGAGAGGACACGTGCAACGTTCGAGTCTGAATGTTTTGACTGGGAAGTAAGGACGCGTGTGTGCGTGGGTGCGTGAGCGAGCGAGTGCGACGAGCGAATGCGAGCGTGAGAGAAATATGAAAAACCAACAGAATTTAGCACGTTCAAAGAAAATACGAAATACTTTTTATCGTAGATATTTCATAGGTGAGATTCGTAAAAATGAAACAAAAGGGGAAAAAAAGACAAAAAAGAAATGAGACCTGTATCAACTAAACGGTTACTTACTCAATAAATCAACGGTGTTTCTTCTGCCTATAAATCGTATTTGCGTCTCGTGTTTTGTGCATCGAGCGAGCACGGATTTTCACTTCTCTCTCTCCCTCTCGAACGAGAAAAGAATGATAGATCGTTATTTCGTTCTCGTCTTTAACACGATGTACAATTTATTGTTATTATAATCATTTATTATTACCACCATCATCATCATTATTATTATTACCATTATTATTATTATCGATTATTATCATCAATTATCATTACTGTTACTATTATTGGTATCGTTATCGATACTGTACAAAGTTGGCAATAATCTTAAGAGATCCTCCGTCGTAATCTTTATTCCTTGAGGCGGGAAGAGAACGCGTGGCGAGGCGAGGCGAGGCTCGGACTCGTCCGAAGAAGGAAACCAAAAGAGAGGAGTGACGATTACCGCAGCAGTAGAAATATAACATGTGATCAACTGAATGTGCCCTTTCACCGTGTAACCATGCACAAAGATTAAAATTCCTCTGTGAGTATACACGTATACATAGCGGTAGACCTCCTGAAACCAAAAAAACCAAAAACCAACAACCGTGGATCCGACTCTGTGGAGAGAGAGAGAACAAGGGACAGAGGTTATGAACAGAGTAGGACGAACGTGAAAGTAGGATCGAGGGAGTCGGATCGGCGGCACGAAGAAACGTTCGGTCAACCAACGAGAGTGTCGAATCGGCGGATCGCTCGAGATCGGTCGAGAGATTCGCCGGTATCACCTCGCGTTATTGCGAATCATTTTCAAAAACTCCACTGACCTACTACGAGCGTAAAAAAAAAAGAAACAAAAAAAAAATATGAAGCCAAGCGTTTTACTGTACAATTATATATTCTTTTACGTTTAACGACTTACCATTGAGTAGACGAGTAGTATATTTTACATTACCGAAATATAGTAGCGTTAATTGTCTTACCCTAATTTTATATATCGTCGAAGATACGTATCCGCAGGAATAACGATTTTAGTCAGCACTACAGTGAAGTTACTATACGTCTGTAGATAACAAAATGGTCCGCAAAGAGATTTTAAAAACCGACACGATGTTCAATGTATTTAACGATCTTCTCTCGAAAAAATGAACAATATACAACAATATGTAAACGGGAGTAAAACGTTGCGCGTCCCATTCATTCGTCTCCTTCGCCCTCGTTGCACGCACAGGACAGCGAGAAAGGAATAAAATGGTCGTGCGTTTCACGATTGTTTCGTTTATTTTTTTTTTTTTCTCTTTGCTTACTGCGTAGTCAAAATACAAACAAGGGAGAGAACAGAGGGGAAAATCGCCGCGAGAAGCGCGACGTATCGATTATTACGACGTTTAAATAAATAAATGACTTGACAATAATACGCACACACACTGCGATACAATATGTACACACAGATATATAAGCGGCCCGGGTCTCATGCTCACAGGGGCCATACATTTACGCAGAAAGGGTAGTTACGATATTTTCATGCTTTTATAATCAGTTCATTTGGTAATGTCAATCCTCCTCAAAAGAAAGCAGTATAATTGATTTGTTTTCGGAGCGAAAACAGCAAAAAACCAATTACACCGCTCCTTTTTGAATGCTACGACTTCAACGGATTCAAAAATATCACTTATCACGTAAGAGAGAGGATTCTTTTAATACATTGGGGTTGTCTGAAAGGTAAGTGACACGGGCCCACTTTGGATCATTGAGAGGTCCTGCATGTAAGCGCTAGTCGAAAGCGAAACGTTATTCGCGGTTTCGAAGAGCGCTGTGTCAAAGGTACGAACGTTACACGCGAATTGGACAGAGTGTCGTGTCTTCGCTGTCGGTCACGGTTTGGGCACGATATAGGAGGCCATCATCGAAATCGCCGTCCCTCGGTATGTCCTCCGGTCCGCGAAGCGCATGCTCGCGAATAAACGAAGTCACCAGGTTGGGATTCACGTACGACATCGTTAATCGGCATCCCCAAACTAGCAGTGCCAGTGGCTGGAACGTTTATTCGGTCATGAGTGATTTCAATATCGTTTATCGTGAGCCACCTAATTTGGTCGCTAGCGACTCATTTAGCCTCGTTTGTAAGCCACTTACGCGATCCTGATTCAGCAGATTGTAAGGGGTGATCACGTGCCGTCGCAGACAACCAGCGACTAGGCTTTTCAAACGTTGCACCTCCAATGGATTGGCGCACGGATGGTACAGCATCACGATCGCTCCGTGCTGTATTTTTAAAATACGGATAAATGTATAGAGACAAATAAGACTATTTCTTAGCTCTGTCAGCGATTACCTCGAGACTGTGGATCCACCTTTGCTTAGGTAGGAATTTGTACTCTCCGTAGACGGGCCACAGAGGTCTGTGCGGTCCACTGAAGACGACGTAGCCGGTATTAAAAAAAATAGGTTTACTCGATTTCGAATATACTTACAACAGCGGAATGGCATCGTCGTATTCTATCGTCTCCTGCATGCATTTGTGCGTGGCCTGTAAACATCGAAACGTTACGATCAACGACCTCTATGACGCTCAAACTGGGGTCAACGTCAAGCGCGATACTTACGACGTAATACCTAGAAATATGTTCGCAATACTTGATCGGTACCGTTTCTAGGCTCCGTACCAGTTTCTTGCCGTAACACGTGTAGTCGATCGGTGATCTATTCCAGTCGGTCGTCAGGTTAGTCTTGGAAAAATAACAGAAAAAAAAGATGTAAATATTTGTTTGTCGATCGATAACCTTGATGTTATCTTTCTTAACAATACCAACACACTCTTGGAATTTTTTCTCGCAAGCTCAGTGTTGCCATATTGTTCAGCGTGGTTGGTGGTAAGAGTGGTTGTGGGTGTATTTACCTTGGCGTCATCGCAGTTCGCCATCGGGTGTCCCATGGGCACTCCGTGAAGGGGCGGCAGGGGACCAAGAACGAGCTCTTCCTCGATTTTTGGAAATAATTTTGGCGGCGACGTGGGATCGGCTGGTCTGGCGGGCATCCACCGACCTTTCCAATTGTCGAACTCGTCGTCCGTGCCCCGACGATTCTCTCCATTACTGTACACGAGTTGCCGAAGCAGTCGATCGGAACCCGCATTCCGTAGATCCTCTGTAACGTTTCGATCACAAATTACGCGCTAACTTTGCGTTTGAAGCGACACGGTGAACAAGAATTCGGGAAGCACGGCGCGCGGTGTTTGCTTGTAGGTTAGGAAAGCAAACGGAGAAACGCGTCAAGAAGTCGTTCGCGCGACGATGGAAACGAGGCTCGGTTAAACTTTCGCGTAATCACCTTCGACGTAGTCGTCGCCGAGAATGTCGTCGTACGCGACACTCCGCGCGAAAAGATTGCACAGGACCAGAACGAGTATAGCGTCTGCTTTCATTTTCTGTCAGATATGACACGGTGTCGAGGAATGACTCCGTCGATGCGTCGTGCATGCCATCTCGCGGCGTCAGCAACAATCCCTCTCAAATAAATCAATCGAAAGTGCAAACGACCATCGTACAATGGTTCGAAAGCGTCGAAACTATAAATCCTATCTTTCACGCGTAGCAAATGAACACGTGATCTCGATCCGTGCAATCTTTAATATCCGGATAGCCGTGTAATTATTTCATGCACCCATGTCCGCCTATAGCTATCGTTGTGACGTAGTCGGTTAATCGTATCGACAGTCTTCAATTACTAGCGACGAAAAAATTGTACACTTCGTTATGTAACTTGTGACAAACCTGAAACGGCATGGGACTCTGTTTCTGTGTAATAATATATGTATTACTATAAATATATTTATTGATCGTGGTTAGGTTTATCCAAATACATGTTCTGAGATCCTAATTAAGACGAACTTTTTTCGTTGAAAGAATTTATTTGTAAAACATTGAAACACGGTGGAGCGCGTACTGGGGGCAGGTCGATGAATTTTCCACTGTTAGGCGTAATGTGTGCCAGGCAACTATTAACGTTACCGAACGTTCGCGTAATTTGATTAATTACCGGAGTCCCGTAAGTGGCGAGCATCGTGCCAGGCAACTTTACCGCGTGCTACGCAGGAACGATCCTGTTTTCAAGAATAAATCTAAAAGCGACCGCGTTCCCCGATAGCTTTTACCAGAAGACGAGGACGTTTTCTTCGATATTTAGATAGCTGCTGATAGACCGTATCATAGTACCTCAAATTTTAGTGTCTCGTGTCCCAATTTACTCACCGCGATACGCATTGAGTGGCAATGGACGGTGAATAATCGTCCAAGCAACTCGCAGCGCTCGAGCCTCCTAACCTCTAATTATGATTGTTATGAAACTGAAATTCTACCCTCTTTTAAATACACCCATTCAAGCAACAAAATTTCTACTTTCAATTGGCGCAATGTGGGTCCGATTTTTGCCTCCGGGAACCAGTATTCGCCCTACGTACAACGCGATTCGTTTGATGGGAAAGTAGAAGAGAAATAAAGGAGGACACTTTAGAGTGGTTGCTCTCGAGAGACAAACTCGGGTTCTTTCTCGTTTAAAGGGTGATCGACTGGCAAGCGCGTTTAGTTTGATCCCCTTGGGCTCGTTAATCCGGCGGAATTGTTTCTCCTTTTTTTTTTTTCTCTCGAACACTATAACGTCTGCGATGTTGCCAGAGGTCGACGAACCGCCGCGATTCTTTTCTACCAACTTGACGATACTTACAAGCAGTCGCGCGTTCTGTCTTCGTGAAAAGAGAAAGGAAACGAACGGGGAACATTTTCAAATCGAATTTAAGGGTGCGTAGAATATGTGCAAGAATTGGTGCCAATTTTCAATCCCATTGTTTCCATAATTTTTAATACTCCTTCAAATCCGTCGTTAAAAATAATAACTGCCAAAAAAGTAGCTATTTCAACCACCTTAGGCCCAGAATGAATGTGTTTTGGGGCGAATGTCCAAATTAGGGAATTCAATGATTCGTTATTATTTTGGGTCTCAGCTCCCAAGCATCTGATTAATAAATCATGTTTTGATAAATCTTCGTAAACCGGCTTAATTGTTTCTAAAACTTGACTTTTTAAAGAGACTCTATAGTGGTTAAAATTCTTGAGGAGTCCTAAAGCTTCTGCTTTACGCCACTTGCACCAGCTGATTTCACCCTTCGGACAATAATCGTGCTGTGGATTATCATCAGAAGAACTGCAGTGATAAAAAGAAGCCCAAATCTCTCTCTTCATATCATCTATTGAATCAGGATGCCGTCGTATGGCTAAGCCATAGAATTTCGTAAATTCACCAATGACTTTTTCAGTTAGTTTACCGTGTCCTTTTCCACCGATTCCCTTGTGATTTTTTTTAATGTTGCGAAGTCTCGTGCCCATCCTCTTTTCCACATGACCTACGCACTCCTTTTTCACAACTTGTTTTTCATCTGTATACGGATTAGCATTCAAAATACCTTTGAATGTTTTGCTATCTCCGTCTCCAACGTATGTTAGGTACTTTACGCCATGTTTCTCCATAGAACGTAAAAACATTTCAATAATAGCGTCAATTTCCATTTTACCAGAGCTGCCAATATGATTTATGGAACAATCCTTGTGGTTCGATAACCATTTTTCGTGCAATTGGAGTTTTGGAGTTTTCAGTTTCTCGAAATATCAACAATTGTCGCGTACTGCACCGACTAAGCGAACGTTCTTAGAAAGTTCGTGATTGTTCACATATGTAATTATCAATTGTCACAATTGCGTCTGATATGAAAAAATACTCGGTCGTTCATAAGCAGAAATCATAATAAACACCAGTACATGCCCGAAGAATGACATAATATTGAGGAGGAAAGCGCGACAGCACCCGCCACCAGCGCGCTCCGAACACCTATTTCGTTCTACGCCTACAACTTCTGAACGGCATCGAATTTCAAAAAATCCATTTAGCCTCGTATTCTACATGAGTTTTAGATGTAGTTCATGTAAAAAAAAAAAAATGAATTTTTTCGACCCGACACTGTAGAAGACCCCCTTAATTTTATCGTGACTATAAAACGAACAGGTTACAGTAGTTTTTGCGTAATTTCGTAGCAGCGGCGAAACGGGAAAGGGACGGTGTTGCGTTTATCGTGATCGATCGACACTTTGCTCAGCTCTCGGAATTCGAAGAAGAGCGATAAGGGAGATTTGTCGGAAGGCAGGCTGCATTTAGCAAAGTGCGTACATGGAGTGGTTGTCAATCGCTATCGGAAGAGTCTAGAAGCTGATAGCGGAAGCAGAGTGGTTTCGAGTCGATCATTGGCTACGCGTTCGATCGAAAGGCTAGTGAAGGTAAACGGATGACCGACTGCAATGTAAACATTGTCCCGAGTGGTCATATCCGCCACCTTGCGTCGTCCATCCATTACGCTTAAAGCGTTCGACCCCCCTCTCTGCTTCCCGCCTATCTTTGTTATTCTGTTCAAACTTTGCCTGTGAACCATCGATGGAACCTAATCCAACGGCATACTCATTAACCCTTTTACTGTCCACGGTCCGATACATCGACGCTCCGTGCTTACGCGAAAACTATCACCAGGCTTTGGGCACATTTTATTCAAAAACAAAACAACAAATCGTTCAAAATAATTTCATGGAATAGATCGTGGTTACCTGTTACTACATTCGAACGAATTTGATCACAATAATTTTGATTATGTATATTATTCTTCACTCCATCGTGTCAAATGTTTTGTTACATAATATCGTTTTATTAAATTACGATTAACGAGGTACATCTATTATTCTATTAATCTGATCTATATCGATTATATCAGCATTTTAAAAGCGTTATCGTACGGATAATACATAAAAATAATTTAGCCAAGAAAAGACCCATGGAAGAGGGTATTCACGTTGATTTGAGTATACTGATTCCCGCTTTCAAATGATAAAATAGCTATTTATGTTATTACGACTAGAATTGAATTGGGACTTTGTACAATGTCAGAAGAGTCGTGCCGCTTTGGTGAACCTAGACGCAAAGTAATCCATTTGACGATGGGCGAAACAACCAATTTTATTAGCTTCCTGTGTCGGGTATACAGGCGACCCCCACTTGTATCGGTTTTAGTTGCCAATCGTAGCGAAAACGTTCCGGAAGTTTCGTTTCCCGTAACACGCTGTCGTACAAGTACCGGGGCTCGCTTCCTTCGCGTGCCTGTAGCACGTGAACCTACGAATAAGACAATTGTGTGAATAAAATATTCTCCTGATAACCGAAACGTTTCTTCGCCGTATAATAGAATATAATTCCTCGATGAAATAAAATAGAAAAATTAAATTTTCATATTTGTCATTCTACATTTATGAAAACGTGATCAATGAATTGCTCAGGTTCTCCCGATGAAAATGAGTACAAACACGACCAGATTCGGACCACTTTTAATTACGAATAATCAATCACCGAATTGCGCTCTACCGCCTTGTCTCTCGTACGTTATGTTTTGAGACAGGTGTATTCTATTATTTTATATCACGAGAATATGGAGATAAAATAAAAAAATTAATTTTTCATATTTGTCATTCAACCTTTATGAAAGTGTAATCAATGAATTGCTGGAACCCTCCCGATGAAAACGAGTCCAAACACGACCACATTTGGACGATTTTAAATTACAAGTGTTTGAGGGTTTTTGAAAATTTTTTGGAACACAGTATAATTAAAAATGATCCAAAGATGGTCGTGTTTGGACTCATTATCATCGGGGGAACATCAGCAATTCAATGGTACAACCCTTGTTACTATAAAATGAGAACTGTGCAAAGTTTTATTTCGCATTAAAGTTACAAAGCCTGCAATATGTACTATTTTTCCAATACATATTTTTAAGATCTTAAAATATTACCGTATAGTTGAGTAGTTTGCAACGAGGAAACTTCCTTTGCACAGTTTGCGGTTTACAATAAGACTCGCTTAGAAATCTCGGGTAATGGTTGTCGCCGAGGTCTATTATTCCCCCGTACTGCGTTTCGCAGGAACAAATCGGCTGTGAACATTTTTCAAATACGATTATATTCGATATACGATGTATTTCGGAATAAAATACTTTCGGGACAAAACGCCAATGAAATAATTACTCGAGCCCGAGTATCTTTAACAATCGCGAATGCCGCCATTTTGATCGTTCTCGTGTTACTAAAACATGAAACTAGAAACTGTTAGAGCGTCGTTGGAAGTTCGATAAAAAAGACTTCGATACGAAGAACGAAATATAAACGTAGAACTGACTGCACACCAATAGATACTGTTAGTTATAAGTTTGTATTTTCATCTCCGTCCCGGTGAGTTCTCCAATTTTTCAGTTGAGCTTCTTAACTCGATAATAGCGATCCAATATTGATCGGACTTAACTGAAAAACTCTCGAGGAACGTAGATTAGTAGTTAACCTTACATTTTTAAGTAGAATAATAAATGGCTTGATAAAACGTGCGTCCCTATTGGAATTAAACTTTATGTTCTACTTAGTCCAGTGGTGCACAAAATCAAGTTAATTCGGGCACCTGAAATAAAATTACTCGCTCAAGTGAAATATATTTTTATTTTAGAAAACAGAAAACGCAAAAAAATTGCAAGTAAAATATAAGAGGTGTTAAAGATTCTCAGATTCAAGTAAATATTGCTCGATACTTTGGGTTTATCGCGGGAATGGGAAGGTGCAGATTGCGAACCACCACGATTGTTAACACCCAGATGCATTTATTCTCTGTCTTAATACACTATACAGGGTGTTCGGCCATTCCTGGGAAAAATTTTAATGAGGGATTCTAGAGGCCAAAATAAGACGAAAATCAAGAATACCAATTTGTTGATGGAGGCTTCGTTAAAAAGTTATTAACAATTAAATTCAAAAATTTCAAATCGTTCTGGAAAAATTATTTTTGATTGCGGGGGTCAATTACAATCATTTTTGGTGAATAGACTGTAAGAAATCAGGATAAATGAGTGTGGGCGTTTTCAAAATAAAACTTGATTCTTTATTTGCTCCGTGCAATGCAATGGTCGCTACAAGAATGAATGAATTTCTTCTAGCCTGAGGCGGGTGCCTTCGTCAGTGTGACCGTTTGTTTCTTTTACGACACCCCTGCTCTCAAGGAACTTTTCCTTGAGAGGGGTTGTGCGTTGACGAAACGCATGTGGCCCGTCTTAGCCACTCGCTTTCTCCGATTTCCTAACAAGACATACCCCCGAAATCCTGCCCACTTTCTAGAAAAAAATTCGAGAATGTGTGAAATTTTTCGACGGAAAAAAAAAATTTCAAATCGTTCTGGAAAAATTATTTCCGGTTGCGGGGGGTCAATTACAATCATTTTTAGTCAGTTCGCCGTGCTGCGAGCCACGCGAGGCACGGCGTTTATATTTTTGGGATCGTCTGAGCCCCATTGTACCATTCAATTTTCTCCTCAAGACATTCGACGTATCTTCAAAAACAACAAAGATATTTGAGGTGCAAATGTTAGATGACTCACCCTGTATAATAAACGCGTGCCTCGCGTGGCTCGCAGTATGGCGTACTGACTATCGCCGCCTCGGCGCACGACAACACCGTTTGCAGCGCCTCCTGGCGATGCTTGCTGTATACAACAGAATATATTAATTATACTAAGGATATCAATTAAATAAACGTCAAAATTTTTTTAACAACTTTATATTCTGTCTGAATGGGTTAATGTTACCATAAAAAAGGTTTCAACCTGAATATCAAGTTTCTGACCAAAAAACCAACTCTAACCTCTGTATCTATAATTGAAAATGACGAAGCATTAACGTGACGTACTCTGTTTAGTAGTTGTTGTAGATGGTTCAACGGTTCACCGAGCAGTTGGCTGCGGTTCCAAGGTTTGCTACTTCTCCTGATAGACAATTCGTTGTCCAAAGGTTGTTCCTGATACCGTGGCCAACGAGTAAACGTCATTTCCACGAGTCGTAGCTGGGAAAGTATTATCTGCACAAACACACAGAACCGTAACGGCGATTCGTACGACGAAATTCCCGAAACGTGGTTGAAACAAAAGTACCGTTTGAGAACCACTGAGCCGAACAATTTATGTCAAAGAAGGTCGAAACATTATCGTGTTTATAACTCGCGTAACACGTTACCGATAAAAAGATATAGCCACTATTCGAATCGTGATTCTGATTAATTCTATCGTCTACGACAACACCATAACCCCATGAACGATACTCGAAACATTGTTGCAAATTACGCGGTATATCGGAAAAATAACGAAACTTTTTAATGAAAACTGCTAATGCCCTCTATTGAAACAATATGTAACCTAAAAGCTGTATATTTCCTCTGCAAAACAGAACCATCATTACTGGAATCGACTAACGAATTGTCAAGTTGTAACGGTTAAAGTGGCTGTACCTTTTGCCACTTCGACGCAGAAATACAATCGAACTAAGAGCAAATATTAAATTTTGAAAACTTTTACAGAAACATTTGAATTGATGAAAAAAGGGATGTATTTTGAATAAGAAAAATAATTTTGGCAAAATAACTAATTTTCTTCTTTTTTTTATTTTAAATATTCCGTTATTTTTCCGGTATACTGTGTATAAGCGTTGCACGATCAATCACCAAACCACGTTACGAAAAGTTTACTTCTCGAGATCGACTCTTAATCACGGACACTAGTTACTCACGCAAAAGATCAAAGTCACCATCATGTTGCCAGTGATACGCAAAGGATCTACTAAATGAACATTAGACTGTTGGTGATGCTTATATATGAGAAATCGGTAACACGAAGGTGGAAGATGAAAACAGATTTAACTACCACCCACCCCTCCTGTCCGGATCAAAATTCGGCCCTCTTCCTTCACGTGACAAAAGAATCCATTAGCGTTATACGATCTTCGATCAGTGGTGGGCATGCGTCCGTAACGATCCTTCTATTTGTCCGTGACGCTTGTCACAAATCAAAGAAAATCTGTTGTCCATGGACCATCGAGATTATAATCGTCCCTCCCTCGAGTAACGTATAAAAATTCCCGAGCTATTTTTCCACCATATCCGCGTTCTTTTCGTCGTAATTTAGCTATACTTGTACCGAGTCACACAATATTTGTATTCGCCAGTGCTTTAAAACTCTTGTTCGACCTATAGTCGACGGAATCGACCAACAATGGGGTCAATTATTGGTCAACGTAGCGTAAGAAACAAAGAGAATATCGCAAAATTTCATCCTGAGAACGGTATTCGAATCTGGTCGTGGATGTAGGGAAAAGTTGAAACTGTTGGTCTTGACAATATATATCGAGGTCATAGAAATCGGTGCTCAAGGTCTTATTTCCTAAAATCGCCCTGCAATTACTTTATTTACAACGAAATTCCTGAAGCGTGAAGTTTTCGTTTTCGGCCATCTTGTATGCATCGGTAATGGCAATATGGCGCCGCGGGACTCTTTACAAAAATCCGTGCGGCGTTCGACACGTTTACGAGCCGCGGGTAATTTAATTCGGAGTTCACGCGTCATTTATTGGTCAACGTAGCGCAAGAAACAAAGAGAATATTGCAAAATTTCATCCTGAGAACTGTATTCGAATATGGTCGTAGATATATGGAAAAATTGAAAATGTTGGCCTTGATAATATAACTGAAGGTCATAGAAATCGGTGCTAAAGGTCCTTATTCCCTAAAATCGCCCTGCAATTACTTTATTTACAACGAAATTCCTGAAGCGTGAAGTTTTCGTGGTCAGCCATCTTGTATGCATCGGTAACGGCAATATGGCGCCGCGGGACTCTTTAAAAAAATCCGTGCGGCGTTCGGCACGTTTACGAGCCGCGTGTAATTTAATTCGGTGCTCACGCGTCGCGGGGACGCGCGTGCACGCACGCATGCACATAAACTTCGGCTTTCACGGCCGCCAGAGAATTATTTTCTGCACCAGATACGAACGAGATCGATCGCGCCGCATGCTTACGGCCACTTCTCGCGGTATATTACCTGTAAAACCAACCCCAGCCGACGTTCGTCGTTGTTTTCGTATTTGTACGCGCGAATGCATTCGCTCGATCGGTCAACGAGGGTGAAAAACAACAATCGAGAAGGAACACGCGGGCTACGAATTTTCAATGGAAAACGACCACTTCGATGAAAGACCAAACGCGAAACGACAAGAGGATAACGCGATAATAAAAAATTGTGATTGTTTCGGCCCTTGCCTGGGCAATGGAAAAATTTATTTTTACAATTTTATTTTTAAATAGTATAATTTTGAAACTTAAAAGTTTATCAATACGTTAACTATAAAACATACGATATCTTGCGTGCGTTTGACGACGAAAGTGTTTGCGACATAATTTATGTGAAATTAAAGGAAACTTTTTATCCGGTACACAAATTTTCCACGTATATACGTCGGTAGAAACGGCTTCGACGTAATCTGATATCTTATAAATGAATTTGCTCGTCGTAAAATTGGTCTCTGGTAATTGTAGCATCATTAATGGAACTTTCGGAGTTCTCTGACAGAATCTTCCCGCGACGTGTGTAATACGTGTAAGAAATCAGGATAAATGAGTGTGGGCGTTTTCAAAATAAAACTTGATTCTTTATTTGCTTCGTGCAATGCGATGGTCGCTACAAGAATGAATGAATTTCTTCTAGCCTGAGGCGGGTGCCTTCGTCAGTGTGACCGTTTGTTTCTTTTACGACACCCCTGCTCTCAAGGAACATTTTCCTTGAGAGGGGTCGTGCGTTGACGAAACGCATGTGGCCCGTCTTAGCCACTCGCTTCCTCCGATTTCCTAACATTCGGCCAGACTGACTCAGGTCTGTCCCAAGGCTTTACATTAAATTTCGTCGTTGAAGAAACTTTAAATTGTCGGCGTAACGCAATACCGTTGTACCGCTTACGACCGACTATGGACACCGTCGTATCCCTTATCGGTTCGGAGTGCACTTTGCACCCTTTACCCAACACCACCCTACCTGAGGCACACAGTAAGTCGAAGAAACCCCTCTGGTTTCCCGTCCCTGACATATGATGGTCATTGTCCTCGCGTCAGAGCCGTTGCTCCGATCCGGTGGTGGTCGGACTTTACCTGGTCGTCGGGTAACTATTCCTTCTCCATCTCGTTCCCTCGCGTTTGAGGCCGTGCAAGCCTTATGGCTTGGTCTTTTCTTTTCCTTTCTGTAACATAGTTCAATAAATGTGAGATATCGTTCAATTTCGTAGTTGGGATTCCATTCTACTCAACGATACTTCAACATAAAGTATACAACAAGCTTTTGCGGGTCATCACACGTTGTGATCGTAATCCATGGCTTGATTTTGTCGGCTGCAACGACTGTTCGTAGTCGCTTCACCCCTTCTCGTAGGTCTTCGACCTCATACCTATTGTTAGGTAATACGGTACGAATTCAGGATGGTCCTTTATACTTCGGCAGTAGCTTCCTACTGCTTCCGGTTGATGGGTCACTGGTAACCTGCACCAACACCAGCTCGTCCACGGTATACCTGCGAGCCTCCTTTCTCGTCCGGTCATACCGCTCCTTTTGTGCCTTTTGCTCTTCGGATATGTGTTCACTAATATCCCTCCTTAAGACGGTCAAATCTAACCGGTCCATCTCTTCTTGTACGGCGCTCAATATTACGCCTTCCGCTACCGTTCTTGTATCACAACCGATCAATGCCTTCATCGGTGTGGTATCAATACTTTTGTTGTGCATAGTGTTTATGGCACTCTGCACCTTCTTGACCAGTGTGTCCCAGTCCTGGGGGTCTTGGCCTGCCGCACTTGTTGCGAGAGCGTCAACAATCGTCTTGTTATATCGCTCGCATTGTCCGTTTGCTCTTGGCGTTGCCACTGCATTTAATATGTGCTTGATGCCGTATGCCTTGCACAAGGTGGCGAATCTGCGCGATGTGAAACTCGTTCCGCGATCGCTAATTATTCTCGTCGGCACACCGAATAAATACATGAGGTTCAGTAAAACCTTTTCGGTGTGACGCGTCTTCGTATCTTTTACTGGCTCCACGATGGTGAATTTCGTAAAGGCATCTACCATTACCAGTAAGGTCCATATTTCCGTCTTCCTGACGTTGCAGAATCATCGCTCCAACACCTAATGAACTAGCGTCCGTGTGTAGTTCAGTTGGTCTCGTCGGATCAAAGATGCGTAGTACCGGTCGCGTAATTAATCTTTCCTTTACTTGTTGGAAAGCTTCTTCTTGAGCCTCTTTCCATAGCCACGGTACGTCTTTCCGTGTTAAACGCGTCAATGGCTCCACAAGCGTTGCGAAATTCTTGATGAATTTTCGGAAATAGCTGGCCAGTCCTAGAAACTGACGTACCTGTTTTATATTTCCGGGCTGTGGCATTTCTTTTACGGCGTCTATTTTCCGTTGACCTGGCCTCACTCCTTCTTTACTTATTTCCCGTCCCAAATAGTCAATGGTTTCCTTGAAAAAAGAACATTTCTCTAACTTGAGCGTTAGGCCATGTGTTCGAAACGCTGCCAAAACTTCCCGAAGCTTGTCGATACCCTCTTCAATGGTCTTCGACGGAATTATCACGTCGTCCAGGTAAGGAAATGCCGTCGTTCCTTTCAAAGAGCCAAGGACTTTGTTGATCAATCGTTGGAAAACTGCTGGCGCGTTCGTTAACCCAAAGGGCATTCTTAAAAACTCGTAGTGGTCCTCCGGCGTAATAAACGCTGTCTTTGCTATTGAATTTTCAGTGACTGGAACTTGATAATAGCCCGATGCTAAATCCAGACCCGTGAAATAACAATTCCCTCCTAACTTATCGATCTGGTCGTCGATAAGTGGTAAAGGGTACCTGTCCTTTATAGTTATTGCGTTTAATCTACGGTAGTCCACGCACATTCTCGTGTCCCCCGTTTTCTTTTTCACTAACGTAATCGGGCTTGCGTACGGTGATTCCGATTCCCTGATTATCCCGTTATCTAGCAGTTCTGTAATTATTTCGCGAACGATTTTCTTTTCCGGTTCTGCGATTCTCAATTACAAAAACATCCATCACTGAAATTATGTGGGGTTTCTTGCAATTTCTTAAATCGTTGAATGTCAAATGCTTTCCTCGTTTCAACATTATGACATGATCTTGTTGAAGAAAGTCTCTTCCAAGTATTACCTCATGCGCGGTATACTCGTCGGGAATAACAAATGAATCTACATTCGCAACTACATTTTGGACCTTCACCGTAATTGGAGCAATTTGGTCAATTACTACCGATTGTCCGGCAAATCCTCTAAATACTGTCTCTTGCGTAGACTTTGATTTTATCAAGAACTTCTTGATTACGGACGAATGAACTACAGTACATGCACTTCCCGTATCCACCAAACTTTCTACTTTATGCCCATTGATACGAACATAAATTTGATAAATATTAGGAGTACGTTCGATATTTTGTACAATATTTACCTCTTTCTGTGGACACTCCTCCTTTTTATGGCCCAACCGTTTGCAAAGGCTGCACTCCACCCTTGGCTTCCTGCAGTCCTTTGCCACGTGGCCCATTTTCACTTTCACCGGAATGTTTTCCGATGTCTTCTGCAACGTTTGCTTATTAAGTGTCCGCTCCTGCTTTGCTTTTCTATCTTCGTTGCCCGGCATATTGCCCATTGCGCGCATAGGCGCATACAGCTCGTCGGGATCAGCGTGCTTTGCTGATCGTATGGTGCGGGCTATCGTCTCGTCCGGTATCTCGTAAATCACAATATCAACGATTTTTTCGTCATTTAGCGCAATGTCCAGGCGTCGAATTAGATTGGTCTTCTGGAAGCAGTAGTCTCCCAGCGACTGCCCCGGTTTTGCCTCATATAGATCGGCTTCACGTAATAATTTGGAGAAGGGCATGACTCTCCGAAACTGTGCCACCAAATGCACTTTAATAGCAGCCCAGGTGGTAACCACTTGCATACGCGTATCGTACCAAACGCGAGCGTGTCCTCGCAGCCTGCTTGCGATCAGTCGCATCACGCTCCGGTCGTCCCATTCGAAACGATGCGCCAAGTCGTCGACGTATCTCACCCAATTTTCGATTGACAAGTCTTCCTTTGAAGGATCGTAGATCGGTATAAGATTCTCGTCACCGGGACGCGCGTGTGTCGGCGACTTCCTGCTCGACGCAGTACTCCTGGTTACCAGGCTTTCCTCTGATCGGTCCTGGCGAGTTGCGTCGGGTACTCTTCGCGGATCCGTTGTTCGCGGGCTGCGCGACCTCGTTTCGTGACTTCGCGAACTTCGCGATCGTCGACGGCTGCCTCGCGACGTTTTCCGTCCCGTGCTTCGCGACCGTGCTCGTGATTCCCGCCGTCGGGACGCGTATGACGGCGTGCGCGATTTTGACCGGCACAAAAACTCCGTCATCAGGCTCTGTAGCCTTTCGAGACGCGTCTCCAGCGAATCCTTCACGGTGCCGTCGGCTCCGTCGCGCTCACGGCTGTGTGATGCACCATCCATTGTTATTGAAGTACTTACACTACACTTATACGTTAAACTTATTCACTAATTGCACAATTTAGTGTCTGCTCCACTTGTATCGTCTGTACACTGCACTATACAATGTACACGAGTGTCGCAAATTATGCAATAAACACCGAAAATCTACGATAATCACGGTAGATCGCGATAAATCTACAGATCACGGCGAATCACGGTAAATCCCGCTTCTGATTTGTAAGAAATCAGGATAAATGAGTGTGGGCGTTTTCAAAATAAAACTTGATTCTTTATTTGCTCCGTGCAATGCGATGGTCGCTACAAGAATGAATGAATTTCTTCTAGCCTGAGGCGGGTGCCTTCGTCAGTGTGACCGTTTGTTTCTTTTACGACACCCCTGCTCTCAAGGAACTTTTTCTTGAGAGGTGTCGTGCGTTGACGAAACGCATGTGGCCCGTCTTAGCCACTCGCTTCCTCCGATTTCCTAACATCCGATAATATTTTTCCGCTCCTAGTCTCTTTTCTAACGCTTTCGTCTCTTCGCGAGAGTAGGGGATATTGAATATCGTGAATGATTTCATTTTGCCACCAAACCGCGCAACGAGAATAAACATTCTTCGTTCATAACCTAAAAATATACATGTTTTTCTTATGTCAAAAATTCTGTTACAACACAAAGTAAATATTTAATTTATTTTAAGATCGTTTTCATTGTTCCCTCTTGTCTCGAGCATGTGTATCATTAAGACGATCGGAATTAAGATATTTCCTCCGCCGTTGAAGTGAAAACAAACAGATCCCGTTACAGGTCTCCCGGGAGTCAGGTTACGTAGATAATCGTGAGCGTATTGTTCGTGAAACGGCTCCTCTTGTACCGCCGGGCGTAAACAAACAGCGAAACTTTCCGTGTCGTTCTATTTGAGCAAAAAGAATTGCTTCCAACTCGGTGATCCGAGCGAAAGTGGATTTGTCGGCGTCGATGGCGAGATGTGGGATGACTTTTAGGATTTTAACAAATTCTCGTAATACGATAAAACAGCCATTTTATATCCACGCGGAATATTAGTCATAGATACGCGATAGCTTCGTAAATATTATTAGTCAAAGTTGCGTACGCAGTGATGTACTATTAGTATAGGTGCTTCATAGAAACTGCAATGGCGAACATGCTAGATAGTTTCTAAATGGGAAATTGAGTCGAATTCGATCGCTGAACTTCCAATCTACGAGCCACGATACATTTCGCGTTGCCGTCGCCACGACCTGATATATTAGGTGTGCAAATGAATAGTCCAATTTTTTTCAGCCACATTCAATGTTTATTTTAAAAGAAAGTAAATTGAATTGTTCGATCAAAGTATTCGCCGTTACTTGCTATAACTTTAAGCCATCTTTCAGGCAGCTGATGAATTCCATCTCGAAAAAATTATACTCCCAGAGTATAGAACCCCTGGTTCGTTCACATAACCTCCTCTTACGGCTCCCAGTGTATAGAGCCCCTAGTTCGGCCGGAACTCCTTTCTCTTTCTCCTAACCATATTTAAAACCACCGGTCGAGTACTGCCCTCTACCGAATCCAGGATCTCGCGCTCGCGTAACACCGAAGCGATTGGGTTTTGCAACCAATGTTGATGCTTCGTCGGGATTTACCCATGACTTTTTGTGTTTCGGATTGACATAGAGTATCCACTTCTCGTTGCCCATAACGATTTTCCACAAAAAAGACTTTCAACGTTGCTTATTGAGAAGACAAAGACTCGATACTTTTGAAGGTTATGTTAGGCCTTTCGCTAAACTATCTTTTGTTTTAACTAGCTATATGTCAACACTATTGACTTTAAACTTGATTTTATAACTGCTTAAGATAATTTGGATTATTCATTTGTACACCTAATATTTATACTACTAGATATATAGTTTTAATTAACAATATCTTTAAAACTATCAAGCATCTACTAATATTTCAAGAAATTATGTTCCATGACTGAAATGTTTGGCAGCATATTTTGGTTACTGCCTCGTTCTAACATCTGTTATAATAACTATTTGCAAAAGCTTTTGGTTCGAGTTGAAATTGTTTTGGAAAATATACCATACACGAGCAGGAAGAAACACATTTTCCCAGAAACGCGAGATATTACAAACAAAATTTGAATATAAATAGGTCTGTTTTGTGGCCGCCTCGGTCACCAGATTTAACATCGTTACGTTTCTTTTTACAGGATTACGTGAAATTAGTGCCCCTAGATCGAAAGAAGATATAACGATACAATATTTGGAAACACTATTCTCGAAAGGTGTATTAATTCTTTGGAACTCAACGAGCATATTTTTAAGAATATTTTTCCAAATTTTTAGTACGTCTCTCGCTTTGTTTGGCCCGCCTTGTGCATATTAGCATCTTTGTCAATGATTTGTATCGTTTCTTGATACATTGATTAGGATTCGAAAGTTGAGTTACTATTTTTATGAAACAATTGGTGACCCACGCATACGTGACGCGTGATAGCGAACGTGTTAATGGGTTTCTCGGTGGCGCGTTCGAGGACTAGCCGGTGTATTATGGCGGCGCACGCGCACCAGCGATGTTTCACCCCCTGTCCGTAGGGTCGGTCTCTATATATTTAGAGGAAGCACGCGGAGGGCCGATACACAGTACACATTTTTCGGCGCGCGAACACGCACGCACACGCCACGCTTTGAATTCGTATTCAAACGCATCCTTTTCACAACCAACGTCGCGCTACCAGCGTTTTCGACTCACGATGGCTACGCGCCGTATCACTGCTTTCCCGATCTTACTGTCGATCGTGGCCGTCTGGGTGGTAGCCGTACCCGTTCAGGTAACTTTTTCGCATCCAATTTTTCATTCGAACGCTTTCATATTTCTTTTTTTTTTATCGTATAAAAAAAATGAACGTCGATTAAAAAACAAAAATATTTCCGTAAAAAAAATAAAACGATATTTATTCGATATTTTCCAAGGTGTAGCTGGCAATAAAAGAAGCCAATCATTTCTGGCACGCTACGAATAAAGTCTGATTTAATTGCGTGACACTTAACTACCCTAATCGGTGTACTAAACGAAGACGAAAGATCCGTTTCGGGTCAACCCTTTCGAACCATGCAAAGTGCAATTGCATATTCTTTGATGGAACTGATTTTGTTATAATTTATTATGATTCAATTAATTTTTCAATTCTTATTAATATTAGTGAGTGTTTATAAAATAACGAGACAAAATTACTTTATTATCGTAAGGTTATTGACAACTCGATACCCTGTGTGCTTAATTTTATTTTTCTAGAGTGTCTAGAGAGTAGAGATAAATATAGTCACGTTTTTAAGTTAAATAGAGTTATGACAGGATTGGAACTCTATATAAAGTTCTCTCTACCATCTCGTTTCCAATCACGAACTTGTAAAGTTCTCTCGCGTATATGGAATACACTTTCCTGCTGTTTTATCACCGATTATGACTTCGTTATTTGTCAACAACGATACCAGTTTTAATTTGTACAAAAATAATAAAATTATTTAATATTCTTGGAAATAGTTAATGTATTTCAAAATTATTCTATAAAGAGAATCAAAAATCCCTCTACATTGTTAAATTAGTTTATTAATATTAATTGGAAATTACAGTAACGAATAAACTTCATTAATATTTTGCATATAAATCGTTCGTTAAATATATTTGTAAAAAATACCCAACGCTGCAATGATTATAAATGTTGTAATTGTGATGTTATAATTTATATTATACAGGACGTCAAACAGGTTCTTATTCAAAACTATGTTACTATATTCCATCTTCTCGACAGTTTTCTTTTCTGAATTTCAATTTCTTTTATTTAACTTTTCTATCTGAATTTTTATTCTCTGCTTCTGCCCTACGTCTGAAGTTAAAATGGCTGAAACTTTACTCGTTTTCCTTTTCCTGTTATTCGTAATCTCGCGTGACCAAAGCAACAATAACTCGACAAATAATAATACATGTTTTCTTAACATTTATCCATAGCCAGACTACAATTAATAGTGTTATTAAATCTGATATTATTTGTACAAAGATACTCCTATTAACAAGAAAATAATATCACCTCTCAAAAATTATTTGAGACAGCATTTAATTAAAAACAAAATGGAGTCGATGTCTTCGTTGGTTTTCGATAATGCAGCTGTTAACAGTTCATTTGGATTAATATATAGGACATTGATGATATATAATGTAATTGAAACGATCGAGTAATGGCCAATGGAACGTCCCGGAGCGGGACGCGAGGTCGCCAAGCGCAACTTGTTGCATCGACGCTATATCGCATTCCCGAACGACGAGTCGACGCTTTCGAGTTAGCGTTTTTTGCTCCGTGTTTCGTGTTCCGTGTTCCGTGATCCGTGATCCATGTTCCGTGTAATAGAAAACACGAGAACTCCCAGGCTTAACCTAGGCCGTGGCCAAACCTAACCCAAACTCTTCGTTTTCAATATGGCGTGTCGACCTTTCGACGTTTGGACGTTGCATTTCTTTTTCTTTCAACAAATGGCATACATGGTGTAAGAAACTTGCTAGAGTACAGTAATCCTCCCTATAACACGGTAGATTGGTTCCGCGTAGGAAAACCGTATCACCCCGTATAACGCGTTATGTACAAATGATTCACGTTTAACTTTTCTCGTTAAGGGTGTCGCCACAGATATATGTATAATTAATGTTACTGTACATATAATCAATGTTCTTACACTTCAAAAACTAGGAACACAAATTTAATAAAATAATTTAATTTAATTTTATAAGAACACAATTGACACAATGTGCAAACTGTACAAATCATTACAAATTTCACAGTACAGAAATATAACGTGGGAAATCCCCGCGTTATATGGGGGAAAACACGTGTTATACGAGAGACGTAAAATCGCGTTATAAGAGAACCGTGTTATAGGGGGGATTACTGTAATTCTATCAGATCGCGTACTAAGTCCATTCGCGTTTCTTTAAAAGAATATTAAATATTATTTCATTAGTAATGCTATTACAAAAAAAATTCCGAAAAAGAAAGATAAGACCTCGGTTGCTTTTTTTTTAATGACACGATGCATGTGCAGCACCAAATACAAATGTCACGTGATTCGAGCAAATATGGCGACCGTGATAATTGAATCGTGGTATTCAGCGAGCGCCAGTGGAAATCAAGCGTAATAATTTGTCGCGAAAGAAGTCCTTCGCGGTTGGGAATTATGTCGCGGGTGCACTGTTGTATGGATTATTTCGTTATCGTTTATCTGGCTAGCGTGGCGTATCTGATGCAGCACGAAACCTCTCGCGGAAAGTGCTCGCGTTTCGACTTTGCTTCTTCCTCTGGGGAGCAGTCGTAGAATGAGATAACGGTAATGGAGTAAATTTTTCTCTTTCCGATGACAAGGAACGCGAGTCGAGAACGAAACCGTCGCGTACGATCCCGTCGGTGAACGTTCCACGTACGAGGAGAACTTCGCGGAAAACGAGAACTTTTCCAATGCATACTGATCGAGACTCGAAAGTGCACGCGCGCACACGAGTGGTGGACTCTGGGAACTATCAAATGCACGATGTATTATTGACTTCTACCGTAATTTAGTCGATAAGTCGAAAATAATTAAGATTAAAGTTGCACTGTTTTTGGAGGTCTATAAATCGAGCTCTTGGCGTCATCCCGATTAAAATGAGCCCAAACACGACTATATTCGGAACATTTTAGGCGAGATTGGAAAAGTCAAAAAATTTTTTAAATTTTCAAAAATTTTAAATCGCGTTCGTGGCGTTATCTCGATTAAAATGAGCCTAAACACGACTATATTCGGAACATTTATAATTAGGCAAAATTTGAAAAGTCAACAAATTTTGCCCAATTAAAAATGTCCCGAGTATAGTCGTGTTTGGACTCATTTTAATCGAGAAGAGTTAGCCAAACTGTTTGTTACATTTTCGGTGAAGATACAACGAGAAATATAAAAATTTCTAGTTTCGAACCCATCGCTGCTTTTGTTGAATATCCAAGAGGTGTCCTTAACAGGACGATTTCAAGTCGATTCTTTCGGTTATCTAACCTTCGTAGCACGTAGAGAGTCCATCAAAGAAAGAGCAACCGAAGCGGAAATCAATCTTATTTGGTTTACACGATTTTGCCAGCGAGCGAGCAAAAACCAACAACGTGGTTGTTTTTTTAAAGAATGTACGAAGGTCACGTACGGTGATCCCGTAGAGCTTGTTATCGGTTACGTGCTTGGACGCGGACGCGTGCGTGCGCCTGACCCGAAGTTGATGAAAATTTTGAAATTGAGAGAAATGGGACGGGGCACGTTGTATCCATGAAGCGACGGTTAACCTGACCAAATCCCTCGGACGTACGAAACTTTTCGACTCTGGACAGGTACGAGTATTTGTAATTGGAAAGCGCGGTCACGATTCCCTAGTCGACAGTTAATAAGTTCGCGGAGCTTTCAGAAACTAGTAGAATTCATCGACGTTACGGATTTAACATTAGAAACCACTGTACACGGAATATTAAATGTTACCTGCCATGGCCGTGCAGCGCGCGTGGCCTGCGAGTGCGAGAGAGAAAGAGAGAGAGAGAGTATGGAATATGGTATCAGTGTATTAGTGAGTATCACTCATTAGACGTTTGATCATTTTACTTTAAATCCGGACGAAGAATTATCGCTTAAAAACGAAAATGACTGTACTCGTTCCTTTAATAACATGTGTTTTATATTTCTTATTGTATTGTATACTCATACTCGTTTTGCATACCCTTAAGGAATATTATTATCCCAAGCCAATAATAAGTACGTATTGATCTGTTTATAGACCAGTGCTGGTAGGTTTAGGTGCTTGTATGCGGTTGCAAAACATTTCCCTCTTGTTATGCACAACCTCATATTCAATCATTGCAGTTCTTTTTTTTTTTATTTAAATATGTATCTTTGCTGTTTTTACCATTCGATACGTACTTCGTTACGTAGACTTTCTACCTGCATCCCCTTTGTAAACATTGGAAATACCAGAAACTGATTTCCAATTATAAACAGGCTTAAAGGTAGACCGTGCGCGTAAAGCAGTACGTGCGTTTTGTAATATATAGACTCAAAGATCAAACATCACTCGAACTAACAGGCTTCTGGGAAAAATGATCAAATATTTTTTTTATGTCAATTGAAAATATTTCGATTTTAAATGAACGAGTCGGTTTGAAATACTTAACGTTTCGAAATAATATTTTAAATAATCGTGATAGTATCGGTTCGATATAATAATAATAACAATTACGTTTTCAGTTGCAGGCCGGTGCAAACGCTTTGCGACGCGATATGTACGGACCAGCTACAACAGAATTCCTTGGCGGATATCTCGATGATCACGGTGAGCTTTGCGTTACTCTACTATTCGTTTTCTGCTCCTTGTGCGTGTTTAAGCGACTTTGTTGTAATCAGGTTTAACCACATCTTTCCGATCGTTGACCGACAGCTATTTGGCGGGAACGCGATCGTTGCTCGACGCTAATCGGTAACATTGTTTACGTCCTGCTTTTGTGCATTTTCAGCCCAACAAGTGAAATACCGTAAATTTAACACCGATATTTGAATGAGTTTTTGTACAATGGAAGCATTTGTTGTCTTTGAAAGAAGTTGCTTGTGCTGTGATATCGAACCGTACGAAACAGTACAACCGTTCGATACAGTGGTACCAACACTTCAGCATTAAATATGTTGTAAACTATTAACCAGTTGCACCTAAAACCATGCACCGAAAACTTACCGCCAGAGAAACTCTCTCACTGTACGAAAACTCACTTATAAATATCTGCATTACGTTTGTGATATTTTCCTTGTAAGTTGACATATCGTTTATGGAGGATCTATGGCGCCACAATTGGACCACTGATCTCTCCACGCATTCGTGCATGTATACGTATATTGAGAAAAATAAATTCTTGCCTTTTGAGGAAACCACGGAATGTCAAAACGCACCTTTAACATTTTCTGGCCAAGCTCCTAGTTGCCCAATTTGTGTCACTTTTCACAGAAACAACAACCGATTTCGTACAATTTGTAGTTTTGTGGTTCGTCGAGAAGGTCGCTGTAGCCCTAATGAATCACGCCATCTAGCGTTTCAGTCGCGTAGCAACTACGAGCTTAACCAAAAAGGACACGTTCGATTGTGTTTCTCTCAAACGACAAAAATTAACTGGTCTCATGCGTGATAATTTGTGATCGTCCCCTGTGTGCGTAATTTGTGATCGTCAAAGTCAGAGTGGAGCTATCGATGGCTCGACACGAGTGTTCGTCCGTCGCTTCTCGTCGCCAGTCTCGTCCCGGATGCTTCTCGTTTCGTCCTCGGAAGAGATCGAAGGAAGGTGGAGCCGCGGTTTCCAATAAACTGTACAGTGAAAACGCTCGATAATTTTAGGTCCGAGCAAACAGAAGATCGTCAAAGATCAGGGTTGGGATCGAACGCGATTCAATAACGGCAGGCCGTCAAAAGGTTCGAGTTCAGAGGCGAAAGACGTATCGAAAGATCGAACGCGATACTATCAATCCATGGAGAAGCTAGGCGACGTGGTGGAGGATCGCCTCGAACGAAATCTCGATCAGATCGGTGGCGGTAATCTGTTGAGGAGAGGACTGCACGAACGAGAGTACGATTATACAAGGTGGTTGGGGCCCCGAGGGAATCTCGATCAGATCGGCGGAGGAAATTTGCTGCGCGAGGTTGACGATCGCGTCGGTCGTAACTTGGATCAGATCGGCGGAGGAAACCTGGTGCGCGGCTTGAACAACGTGGCGACCGCCGCCGACGATCTTCGAAGGAACCTGGATCAAATAGGCGATGGGAATCTGGTCCGCGAATTGGCCCAGAAGCTGGTCGTTCGTGACTTAGAGTCACGTCCGCAGGGCGCCAACGCATAGACGCCACGACGCGAGAACGTAGCGTCCGCGAGTGTCGTCGACGGTAGAATTATAGTGTTCGCGTTTGTATCGAGCTTAGGAGCAACGAATAAAATTAGTCCGATCTCGGTATTGTTGGTTCTTTCTTGTACCTTTTGCATATTATTGGCAGATCATTCTCGGATGGTATCATTTGATAAGGACATGTAAGATTTTAAGTGCGTTGGTCGACTCGTACGATCGAGCAATCGAGATTCCGTTATAACAATTTTTTATTCGATATGTTCGAATTATTTTAATACAGAGAGGGGCAATACTTGACAAACTTTCAACAAATACCAGCTATAAATAAGTAGTTTACAGGAAATGACGGAGTCGATCAGAGAGAAGTGAGGTTATAGTATCTGAAAGGACACTAGACGTTTAACACATACGCTGACACCATTAAATTAGAATGCTATCTACCATGTATCACGTTCTGTTTGTAGTAATATTGTAGAATTTAGTGCATACTTTTAATTACGCACAAATATATTACATTCAATAGGTCAACCGAGTATTTTAAATATCCCCGCGTAATGTGAAAATGGCCGACGCGTGCCAGCGAACGTGTTAAATTTTTTTGGATTTCGTTCAAGATGCGGCCGATCCGCGGAACTCGCTAGGTGGTCGGCGAATCGACTTCGACTTCCCATACGAAACGACGTTCGAGCGCATCCACGGACTCTCGACAGGCAGGTGAGGGACACTTCTTGGCAATTTTATCGACGCCCCTTTCAATCGCGTTGAAAGTAAATCCCCCTAGGGAATTTAGTAATAAACTTCTAACCCAGTATGTTTGAACAGGTATCCGAGTGACGTATCTACGTTAACGAACATAATGATGTACTTGAAACTTAATGGCGAAGACGATCTTATCGAAGTCTGTCTAGTGGCGAATATATGATTATTTTACCGTTTCTCTGGCCTTGCTTCAACCACTAATCCCTCACGATCGATGAACGTTGGTCAGTTCCGTTCTTATTTGTTCGCAGCAGACGACTAGGCGGCCCTATGGCGAATGGACGAATGGGAAACGCGAACGAGATCCATCAGGTGGCGCTCGATAGATTCGCCAAACGGAATATCGACGAGATCGATCGTACGCCCTTTGACAATTTCTTCAAACGAAACTTGGACGAAATAGACCGCGACGGATGGATTGGATTCGTAAAGAGGCTGGACGATTATTTGGCGATGAGGAGGTCCGGGCTTGAACGAGCAGGTTAAGATGAAGTCGACCATGCGGGGGATTGCGACGGGGAATGACACTGGACACGGACGAGCATTGTTAAATGCTTCTCTAACTCTGTCTCTCTTTTCCATTCTGTTTCGAGATCGACACAGAGATTTTCGAGGCACTTAAAGCTACTTTCGAAGCTACCACTAACTAGTGATGGGATCGAGTTCGATGCAGTACCTCCCGCTTTCGAGTGACAATTTTTATCCTAGTTACAAGTAACGAAATCATCTCTTCCACTGTTTAAGTTTAGCACATTATGCTATGAAATGCACATTATATGATGAAATAATGCTCGCTTTCAAATGTAAATTTTTTTACCCCGGATACAAGCAATGACAGCGCCTCTCCCATTGTTTATGTGTATATAGCGCTAGCCACCCAGAAATCGTGAGCATAAATTCGTTTGTAGAGTGTCGAAAATAATTGACTGCGTTTAGCGATTAATAGCTGCACATATCAAAAATATTCAAGACCTAATTTTTTTTAATTTCTCTGGATGGTGTACATAACGTACATTGTCGTGTTTCTGAAAAGTGTGTCTTGATAGTAGGTGGCATATTTAAATAAACTTTACAGTTACTTCATTCAAAATAACGAATAAAAAAAAGTGTTTTAAATAAAGTTGCACCTATTTGCATTTTATAAAATTTTTTTCAACATTCCCAGTTTTTGTTTTTCAGAAACGAAGATGTCTGTAAACAATATTAATTATTCAAATATCTGTGGTTGTTAATTTATCACCGTGGCGTACAGAAAAATTAAGAAACCGATTTATTGAATATTTTTGTAGATATAGTTATCGTTGAAATGAGTCAATTATTTTAATATCACAAAATACTTGTGCAGGGTTCGAATATGATAGACCAAGATTTGAACGCGTTTATAAAACGCTCGATTCCATCACTACCGCCGACATCTTCGTTGTTTCTATCGTTCGTTCTCGTCTCCCTCCTAATCCTCGTCGCAACCTGTGTATCAGCAACATTCCTTGTGTGATAATAAACGATTTGGCAAACTAATTTCGTCCGTGTATATATTTTTGGTTACAATAATTCTCGAAATAAAAAAATTGCTTGAACCGACTGGAATACAAGTAAATTAAGTAGAATAGATTCAATGCTATCAATCTCACTGGTCCACGATTTTTCAACTCAAGACAACACAACGACAACCGTTAATCAGCAAGGAAAGTGACGGGTGTTCCCCTGACTTTTTCATGGAAATTTTGTTGAGATGACACGTTAACGGTAACTACTATTCGGGTTTCGAATTGTCTCGTGCACTGACTGGTCGATCCAGCTCTCCGAGGAGCCGTACTTCCGGTGTAATCGGGGTTCGAGCTCGATCGTTGATCGTTTTTTTCGCGGCAAAAGCGATTTCCCGTGGACCGCAAGCCGAAAATTTCGACACAGGATTCCGATGAGCAGAGTCTCCAATAGAGCGACGATGGACATCAATTGCTGCTGGACCAACCCCATCTGTTGGCTGCGCACGATGCTGTTCCTGGCTTTCGTTTTTCTTGCTCTCGACTGCTGCGACAATTTTTCTGATCTCTTCGTTCACGTCCACGGGCGTCTCTATCATGACGTTCTCGCGATTTCGATCCATACGCACCAACTGACCAATAACGAAAACTCGAATATCCCTAGGCGCACAGTTTGGGAATTGAGAAACTAAGAAACTATACTTCGATCACGTTTTCCTCGAGCGTCGCAAATCTACTTAGCACCGCGGCCAGCCTCGTACTCTGCGTCGTCAATCGGTCGGTAACCCGCAGCTCTTCTCCGACGTCTTCCTTGATCTGTAACAACATAAATTTCGAAAACATCAAAACGATGACTTAAACCCCTGTTATTTACCAGACGTGGAATGGCAATGTCGAACAAACCTCTTTCATTCCCTTGGTCACTTGATCGCCGATGTACTGCAAGTTCTCGCGGGCTCGACGAACCTGTTGACATACGGAAAAGATCGTACGGCTGAGTGAATCGTTCGAGATACCGCGGATGATCGATCGCTGATTCGAGTATACGTTACGATCGAGGTAAATTCGGCCATCTCTGCCATGATCTTGCGCCGCAATATCACAGCTGCGAAAAACTAAACGCCCTGGGTTACTATTTTCCTTCCATTTTGCTTTTATGTGAAATGGAAAAAGGACCTTATTCGAAATCGAGAAAAAACAGTCCTTCCTCTATTTTGAATAAAATTCTTTTCGCGTATTGGCTTACGCGTTGACAGATGTAGCAAAAGATGGCTATGTTTGCGAGCATCGGGATCGCGCTGCCTAAAAGTTGACACATTAAATGCATTGTTCGTGTCGGATGGAGCAACGGTTCGACGATGGCGACGATTCGACTGTGGGCTGCAGATCGTTCAATCTCCAAACAATTCGAGAACTTTGTATTCTCCTGTCATCGTAGCTCGAAATTTTTCGAGACCTACTTGAACGTTACCGCAGAGATGCCAAACGGAGCCCCGGGTGCACCGGGGACACCTCGTTCCACTGTCTCACCAGAGCAGTGATGCCAGAAAAGCACCGTCGGGTGCACACTCACACATGCCAGATACGCGTACGTGAGCTCGTGGAGTTTCGGAAAGACGACAAAGGCAAACTGACGCATGCCCTCTTTCTCGATTCTCCGAAGCTGCCCGAAGTAATTTCGGACCGCTTCGTGGAAGTCGAGAGAGAAAGGCTCACATTTGCCTTCTCGCTCTTAACAACTGAAATCCGACCTCCAGTCAACGGCATACGATTTGGATTCTCGAGCCGAGATTCTCGACTGCCCAGGCATTTTTACTTTCCGACCTATGTAGGCGCACATAAGCAAAGTACCCATAATGAAAAAAAAATGTTGTAAAATTTATTTTACGGAAATACACATTTTAAGACCTCCTGATCATATTTTAATTATTGAAAAAAAAGAAATTTTTTTTATTCCCATGTATGAACGCACATATGTATATTATTAATACGATTTTTGAAAATCAAAATACTTTAAGATTGAAAATTAATAAATTAAAATGAGATTCCACTCTTTACCAGTATTGTGCACGCTGTGGTATTTTTCAATAAGAAGAGTTCTTACTTTTATAACATAAACAAAACAGTAGAATTAATAATTGCAGAAATTAATTAATAATGATTTTCCTCGATTGTTTTGAGATAACCGTATCAATTTGTTATGACGAACTAAATAGAACTAACTAGAAACAAAGGAAAAGTGATACCCGTTTGCCAGTTTAATACAAAGTATGGGTTGTATCTTAAATTTTAAAAGGACATAGTCGAATATTTTTAAAGGTACAAAACATAGCGTTTCATTGTAGAACAGTAACATAAGTTAGCAGGTAATGTCATAAAACTGTTTTTCCCAGCTATATCCCTTTTTACCTGAAGTATAAGGTAAAAAGTACGAGCTACAAGGTACGACTATCCGAAAATCGTTCACATTTTATCAATGTAAATGAAGCGGCCTTTTCATCAGAGTTAAATACAAAATTTTGTAATTTCTGTGAAAACAGAGCTTTCATTAGATGTAGGTGGTGCTTGAAATTGTTATGTTTTCACTGTTTTTACGAAAAGTACCATCCAGATTCATGTACTTCGTACATTGAAAATAACATATGTTAAATGTACTTGGTTAAATTCAACTTAAAAAAAAAAATATTCGAAGGTCAGACGAAAATATAATGTTACATTTAGTGTACGATTAAAATATGATTGAAAAAATAATAAAAAAGATTTGTTTTGGCAGGGTTTGGAACCTGCAGAGCAGAAGAAGCTCGGAGAACTTGCAGGCAAACACCTTATCATTCACGTCACGCTGGTTGTTGAATGTATTTCTATTTCTGAAAATAAGTACCTGTAATAACTTTAATAATATTTCAAAGTAAAACCTAACCCAAAATTGGGTACCATTCCAACTTTTCCTTGTTAGAACCGAGTTTTTCGATTTCGTGCAATTTAAGTAAGCATGTATTGTATAAGATTTCATTTAATTTTTTCTTTTCTAGAGAAGATAGAGAAAAAGTTTATATAATTTTTTTTATATGTAAGGCGTCGGGAAAAGGCGAGGCCCAAGCCGAGGCGCTGGCAAGGGACCGCGTCTGGCCTTCGTCCGTCAACACTCCCACCCCTACCGATGGGGGAGAAGGCTGACGACAAAGGCGAGGGTCTAGGCCCAGGACGGGCTCATTTGTTTTTCCGACGCTGAAAGAACGGGAATAAAGCATGTATACGAATACCCTGCGTATTTCTTAATTCCTAATTCCATTCTACGCGTCTGTCTAACATATATAAAATTTAATTCGTCCTAAGATTTATATGAAACATTTAAAAGATTTTTTATACATTATGCCTATACATATATCGGAACAACTATGAAACAAGAGGTATAATCATTATTATCCATGGACTGATTATAGTCAAAGTCTAACCGGACTTTGAAATGAGAACATAAAACTTAAATGTAAAGTTTCATTTAAATTCATTTAGCTATTTATACTCAATCGTAATAATAATATACATATGTGTGCTCATACATGGTAATAAAAAAAAAGTTCTTTTTTTTCAATAATTAAAATGTGATCAGGAGGTCTTAAAACGTGTATTTCCGTAAAATGAATTTTATAAAATTTTTTTTTCATTATGGGTACTTTGCTTATGTGCGCCTATACATATAGGTCGGAAAGTAAAAATGCCTGGGCAGTCGAGAATCTCGGCTCGAGAATCCAAATCGTATGCCGTTGACTGGAGGTCGGATTTCAGTTGTTAAGAGCGAGAAGGCAAATGGGAGCCTTTCTTTCTCGACTCCCACGAAGCGGTCCGAAATTACTTCGGGCAGCTTCGGAGAATCGAGAAAGAGGGCATGCGTCAGTTTGCCTTTGTCGTCTTTCCGAAACTCCACGAGCTCACGTACGCGTATCTGGCATGTGTGAGTGTGCACCCGACGGTGCTTTTCTGGCATCACTGTGTATGTACTTCTGAATTTTCCTACAGGCGTGTGAGAAAGTGGAATGAGGTGTCCCCGGTGGTGCACCCGGGGCTCCGTCTGGCATCTCTACGTTACCGATAAAACATATCGAACTGGGATTCGATATTTTAACTAATTCGATTCTAGTAATTTCGATTTAAAACAGATTCCAAAATCGATATTTCCACTTGAATCGAACGTCCGTTGAAACAAATGAGAGGTCGAATCTAACGGAGAATGGTGGAAAAGATTTAAAAGAAGCGGCAGGCACAAGTCGTCGCGACGCCCCGGCGTCTGTTTTGGCGTGGGTGGCGCCGTCACCAGCAGTGATTTCGCGCACGACCGTTTTGAGTGCAGCGCTAACCACTCTGCGACTATTCCGCCCGTAGTATTGGCAAAAATATGCAAAAATATGAGAAACTCGAAAAAATAGGAGAAGGTGAGTGCCTCGAAACTTCCGATCGTCATTTTTCGTCCAAGTTCGAGTAGCGTTTTGGCGCAATTTCACGTTCGGAAAACCGACACCGGTGTTCTTACGACGAACGTTCTTTTGACAGCCACGATGGATGTGCGCAGTTATCGTCGGAAATAGGAAAATTTATTATAGAATTAACTTTTCAGGCACTTATGGAACCGTTTTCAAAGCGAAGAACCGCGAGACTCACGAAATCGTCGCCTTGAAAAGAGTACGATTGGATGATGACGACGAAGTAAGTTTACATAAGTCCTCGACGTAATGCATGGAGAATGAAATACACCATAGCAATCCCAATTACTTAATTCTATGGTATGCAGGGTGTACCGTCCTCCGCTCTCAGAGAGATTTGTCTACTAAAGGAGCTCAAACACAAAAATATAGTCAGATTGTACGACGTGTTGCACAGCGACAAGAAACTGATATTGGTCTTCGAACACTGTGATCAGGATTTAAAAAAATATTTCGACAGTTTGAACGGGGAAATCGATTTGGACGTCGTCAAAACTTTCCTGTAAGAAGCAATGCCTGTTACTGGCAGTTTCAATACCAGACGATGTAATAATAACTGTACAATTTTTGTACGTTCCAGATACCAGTTACTGCGTGGATTGGCATTTTGTCATAGCAGAAATGTGTTGCACAGAGATCTCAAGCCACAAAATTTGTTAATTAACAAGGTACAGGTTTATGCAATCCACCCATTCGGCAAGGAGGTATTACTAGCATTAAAGACCTGTCCCGAACTCACTTCCAGAACAGGGAGTTGAAATTGGCTGACTTCGGACTGGCGAGGGCCTTTGGAATTCCTGTGAAATGTTATTCCGCGGAAGTTGTGACGCTATGGTACCGTCCTCCAGATGTTCTGTTTGGAGCAAAATTATACACAACGTCCATCGACATGTGGAGTGCCGGATGTATATTCGCAGGTAAGTAGTCATAAGAGATTTAAATTAAGAAAACTTTTATTTCTTTACGCTTTTAAACATCGTTAAATTATCAAGATCCAAAACGACTAAGGACTTACGCCGTAAGACATATTTATAACAATATGCGCGTTTAAGGTTAAGAATACGCGTTAACGTCGATTTATGTTATCGAAGAGTCGCTAGAAGCTACACACCGTCGAAGCACGTATTTCTAAGAATAGCGAAGATACGACGGTATCGACAAGCTACGTGAATCAATGAAATTAATATTTGTCTACGCGTGTAAACATGCGACCATTAATAGAAAAAGAATTATTTCGAAGGCAAAGTTTGTTAGGTCAACCTTATCGACGAGTGTTAAACGGCAATGCCTGAACGTAACGGCAATTTATTTTCATAACTACCGATGCTCTTAATAGCTATTGAAGAGTTTGCGTTCTGAACGTATATCAATACATGCGCTTCGACGTTCACGCGCAGAACTGGCGAACGCCGGCAGACCGCTGTTTCCTGGTTCTGACGTGGACGATCAACTGAAGCAAATATTCAAGATGCTGGGCACACCGACCGAAGCGACATGGCCAGATTTCACGACTCTTCCCGACTACAAGCCCTTCCCAATGTACCCTCCTGGCTTCAGCCAAGGATTGGCTCAAGTTACGCCGAAACTCAATTCCAAAGGCAGAGACTTACTGCAGGTAACGAATCTGTGCATGGATTTGGCCCGAATGCACTGATCTGTATATACTGGACGAGGCGTAAGCCTGGAAGTTTCGTGACGTTCCGGAGGCTGCCATTTTTTTAGAGTACAGTTCCCGTTCGAACGGTGCATGTGATACGTTCTATAAAATGGTAACCTCTGCATCGTCACGGAGTCTCGTTGGACTTAAAAGTCTCGTATAGAGGTCAATGACGAAGCATGAGAATTAAAAGTATTAGTTCACTGGTACTTTCAGAGATTGTTAGTGTGTAATCCGGCGCTACGATTGTCGGCGGACGAAGCAATGGCGCATCCCTACTTCAACGATTTGAACCCTGCCATCAAAAACGATCGTTGTCAGTAGCGAATTCCGGTTAGTTTAGCCCGATGATCGAATGCGCGTACCGAGTACGGATGGCGGCGGCGACCAAAATCACACCGATGAAGATCGTTTGTTAATATATACATATTACTATTATATACGTGTGTTTCGCATTCAGTGCCGTCGACGACGATGCGAAATAAACACCGACGAGTCCTGTTTTCTAAGAATGTCCAAGAGAAATCAATAAATTGTCAATTTTATCAGTGACGGTAAGTCTCTAACGTACGAAAAAGCTAATTCTCTCTAAAACGTTCGAGAACGAGACAGATCAAGTGCTCACCGAATGATCGAATATCGCGTACCATCCGTTTGTACATTCACGCGTCCGTTTAGTCCCCCCTATTTACTTTCTCGTAAGGCTGTTGTATTTGTTAAGTTATTAATTTACTTAATTTATTTATTTATCGCTTAAGAAATAATTTACACGTCGATATCGATTAAATACATTTCTTAACGGCTAGCAAAGCAAACGGACTCTTATTTCTATCCTTTTTTTTTTCTTTTGTTGCTTTTACATCGCGTCAAAATGAAATTTGTGCGCTTCTTGAAGCTTCTCGATTTTATCTTCCCTTCGCTCCTTCCAATACAAGCCGACAATAATTAACGATATCAAGCCGCAAGTTCCGGTCAAAGCGGCGGCGCTCAACAGAATCAATTTGCTAGGTGTTACGAACAATTGCGCCTTCCACCTCCATGGTTCTGCTATCGGGTTTGGTATCACTACCATCTGGGAGTTTGGAATGATTTGTGGCCACTCTCGTGATTTCCCACCCACCTGTTCGCAACAAATAAAAACGGGGAAAGAAATTACAACAACGACGATGCGACTAAAAATACTGTGTCCGCTGTACCTAGCGATGGGAACGATACAAATTCGATACTACGGATGCCATCCTATTGATACTCGTATGATAATTCCAAGAAAGATTTACATTTGATCGTTCCTCAAAAATATGGTTATACTTATGTACTCGTATATTTTGAGGTCTAATCGGTATGTTTATGAACACCATAGACGATGATACTATAGCTCGATATCTAATCGTATCAGTCCCATTGTCAACTCGAACCTTCTGTATTGCGTTCACTTACCCCTATCGTGAGAGCGTCGACAAAGTTGGGTGTCCTACCGAGACCAAACGTCGTGTAAGGTAAGTTCAACGAAAAGTGCGCGCTCTGTGGGAGCTGGGCGGCGATCGCGTTTCGTGGGCTGCCATCTTGCGTGGTGGTCCGATAGGCTATCGACGGACCAGGCAGATTGGTCCCATAGGTTCGTTTCTTCTTTCCCAATGATCCGGGTGAGATCGGGTACATGCTGTTGTTGCGACCGGTCAGCACCATAACCTTCACGAAATTCGCGTCGTAGTCCAAGCTGTTCTTGAACGCGGCGGTGCGATAAGTACCGGTGCTTTTGTCGACGTCCACCAAGATGACGTCCAAAATCCCGTCCTGGTAGAAGTCGTAGAACACCGCCATCGCGGTCTCGTTGTAAAACGGGTTTAACGCTTGCCACTTGACTTCGAACTTTCGCCCGAAGCCAGTGCAGGTGTCGCACGCGACGTTCTCCAACAGGAACGATTGCTTCTGCTTGCCGGTGGTCGACTTCAACGTGGCCAACAGATCGGGATAACCGTCCATGTTGAAGTCACCGCCGCGTAAAGTGATCGTGTCGGTGTACCGTTGCCCGTCAGGACTCACGAAACCCCACAACATGTTGTTACTGTCCCTGAAGTTCACCTGGAGATTGTACCACTTGTCGGAGTACATCATGATCGTGCTGTTGGCGCACGACACGTCGAAACAGAGAGGCAGAAGCAGATCCATCTTGCCGGTCAATTCCACGTCCAAGTAGAGGGATTGGCCCATCACGACGTGAAGGTTCCTGTCCAGCACGATACCGTACGGAAACTCTATATCCTTGTGGAAGAAAAATCCTTCCTCGATGCCGTGCCAAATTTCGAAAGATTTGTTCGTGGTGACGACCAGATCCGCCAAGAAGTCGCTGTTTAAATCCAAATAGGCGTTCGAATGCGGTTGGCTGATCAGCGGTATGGGATCGCTGTGCGACCTCATGTGCACGACTTCAGGACGTCGCCTGCTCTGGTCGAATATCCAAAATGTCCTCCTGCTCTCCCTGTCCAACCCGAACAGATCTATGATCATGTCCCCGTTATAGTCCATCGCCAACGGCTGACCCTTCATCTTTATAAGCGGCTCGTTCTCATCCGTACAGTTCAGTCGATCGTTTCCGCCCCACAGGACGTAAACGTACGATAGTCTCTCGGACATGTCGTACGTGACCACCAACACATCCATGAACACGTCCCCGTCGAAGTCTCCGGGTACAACGCCGACGACGATACGCTTAAATGTACAGCTCAGATTCGAGCTGGGCCTCAGGAGCGGTTCCTGTTCCGCGGCGAGGAATATCTCGACGGTGGTTCCATTCTTCCGCAACATAAACACGTCGGTCAACTCGTCCGAATTGAAGTCCCCAAAGGCAGCTGGCATTCCGTCGAGCACACCTCCGAACACCGCCGGAGTTATGTCGCTGCATTTCACTGTTGCAGTCGCAACAGCGAGCACGTATACCAAGATCCACTCTGTCGACATCCTTTCGTCCAATTATCTGGAAAATTTATATACTCGTTAATTCATTTAAATAAACTGAACATCGATTACAACAGTACACATGATGTAACGAAATTGCCAGCTGACATCTGAAACATGTTATGCTGAAACAATATTACCTTTGTTTACTATGCAAGAATCGAATTTTTTTTTTTTGTTACAGAAGCAAACTAAAATGAGACAAAGTCAATAAAATATCTTGCGATTCGAATTATGGGACAAATATGACAAAGTTGTCATAATAGCAAATTGGTCGTTCATTACCGCGAATAATAAATTTGGTACATGATCGTGACACACACACACTGTCTCTAAATAAAATTCTAAGGCAAAGGAATTAATAATGCCCAATTCTGACATGGAGTACGATAGATTTGAACAAAATCAGTAGCAACGAGGTTCGTGAATTCGAGCGTTGGAACGATCAGGATCCGTGTTACTGTCTTGTTCTTTAACTCGTCGTCCAAAACGGAAAATTTTTACAAAAAGCTATCAATCAAATGAAACATCTAACCTAAAAACATTCCTATCCCGTAAAACACAACGAACGTGACGCATCGTGAGTTTCGAGAACGTGCGATATCGATGCGTCGCTTGCTACGAAATTGTCTACAAATGTAAATATTCGTAATCGTGGTCACGATATAGTAATTATTGTTTTAATGGTTACGCATACATACCCAACTGCGTCGTGCATGCTGCTCTGACAGTTGACTGGTTGACTCACGATCCTCGAAATCTGTCAAGTGCTGTCAAGAGTGTCAAGCCTATAGCAACGACGCGGACGAGACACGTTCCAACCATTGTGGACAAACGTATCAACGAACGGTAATATAACAATGTTTAGAACTAACTATTCGTTATAAATAATAAACAAGCGTTTTTAATTATTTCTTGGATGAGATCTTCTTTGCAATTTAATATGCTGTAATGGCATTGTTTAATAAATTTAAACTTTCTTCTGATTTGCAATACCCACTGGGTGATTCGTAAAAATATTTATATTACATTATATTACATGTTTATTATTAATATCTGTGACATGTATAATTACAAATTCAGACCAGTTTAAGTGTTCTTATTATTTATACCCGTCCTTTCCGCTGAGCTAGGAATTCTTCAAATCTTGTGTCGCTGGGCAATGGTCGTCGTTGGAAACGGGGCTTTAATCTATGGTGGTGTTCGTTCACGAGATTGGCGAGCCTGCAGTGGACGACACTTGATTCACTTTCATTGACTTTAGTGACGTCGATTCGTGGGAGGTGTACTTTTGTCCGGAGTTCATGATTTGAGACGTTTATTTAAAGTTGTTGCGCGTCACGATTGTGCGAAACGATGGCTGACAACGAACAGAAAGCGATACAACTACTGGCCGAGGCCGAGAAGAAACTGAGCTCGAAGGGTTTCTTCGGCTCGCTGTTCAGGCAAGTTCACTACATTGATTTGCTTCAACTATTCCGTCACTCGTACCCTGCACCACGGTTCGCGTTACTTCGATTCACTCGGTTCGATTGGTTTCGTCCTTCTCCCGCGTATCGATAGACGTTTTCGTTTCCCCGCGATAGTTTTTTTCCCATGTTGGTGCATCGTTAATTTATCGTGCGTTTGCATTCGTCCGTATATCTGTATATGTAACGGTTGTCGTTCAGTCGTAGTATAGCATGTCAAAACTAAATTAAGCACCCTCGTAAGGAATCACGAAGGCAGTGATTTTTTTTAACGACAGTGAATTTCACGTTATTTACTGCATTCTATTATTTGTTCCGAATTTCCAGCTTTTTCGTATTCGTGATTATCGCTTGTCGAGAGTTGCGCGACTAGTGTTCTTTGTTCAATGAACTTTAACGTTAGATGAAAAAATATTAGGCAACAAGTAGCGTCGTACTACGCTATAGAACTATGAAATGTTTCTGTTTTCAGATAAATTTTTTTTGTGATTTGAACTTTTTCCGTAAATAAATATTTTGTTCTCCTCGAAACTTAATAATTTAAAATTCGATTTACTTTAAGTTTATTTTAATTTTTCTATTGCAGGGGATCGTCAAAAGTAGAAGAGGCTGTAGAATGTTACCAACGCGCTGCAAATATGTTCAAGATGGCAAAGAAATGGAGTTCGGCTGGCAGTGCTTTCCTCGAAGCAGCCGAGTTGCACCTAAAAGCAGGCAGTCGCCACGACGCCGCCACCAATTATGTAGATGCTGCTAATTGCTTTAAGAAATCCAATATAAATGGTATAATTATACAGCTTTCGTTTTTTGTTTTTATACGCGAACCGACGATGCAATTTTACATTCTAATTTATTTACAGAGGCAATTAGTTGTCTGCTGAAGGCGATCGAGATTTACACCGACATGGGTCGATTTACAATGGCAGCCAAGCATCATCAAAGCATAGCCGAAATGTACGAAAGCGAGGCGGTAGATCTCGAGCAAGCTGTTAATCATTACGAGCAAGCTGCCGACTACTTCCGTGGAGAAGAAAGCAATTCCTCCGCCAATAAGTGTCTTTTGAAAGTTGCACAATACGCCGCGCAACTTGAAAATTATGATAAGGCTATACAAATTTATGAACAGGTAATTTCAAAGTCACTTTTAGAAATTTCTTTTTACGTAAAAAAAAAGCTACGAAATATTAAAGAATTTATGTTTTTTGTTAATGTTACAGGTTGCCTCTGCATCTTTAGAAAGTTCTCTATTGAAATACAGTGCAAAGGATTACTTCTTTCGAGCGGCGTTATGTCACTTATGCGTTGATGCATTAAATGCACAACATGCGATCGAACGTTATCAAGAACAATATCCTGCATTCCAAGACTCCAGGGAGTATAAACTGATAAAGGTACGTGACAGAAAAATATACTCCGTTATCGACCTAAATAAAAAAATCCAGAAATTTGGGTACCTTAGAAATTACGATCTATCGAAAGTACTAATCGAGTATCAAGTTTTGATATAGTGGACGTTTTAATTTCTATTTCAGACACTAATAGAACACCTCGAGGAACAACACCTCGAAGGTTTTACAGAAGCAGTAAAGGAATATGACTCAATCTCACGATTGGATCAGTGGTACACAACAGTATTATTACGTATTAAAAAGCAAGTTAACGATAATCCAGACTTACGCTGATCGGTTGTTCCTCTTTTGTGCTATTTCCTATCGATGATATTATTAATTCAACCCTGCTTTCAGTGGAATTTGTAAAGTAGTTTCGTTTTTATACCCAAATATATTTTTCATAACATCTCCTAGCACTCTTGGCAACTATTACATGTTCATCTATTGAGTTATCATATACGCATAGAGTATTGTCATCAGAGTACGAAGAATGAACTTTAAATATTCTATGGAACTTATATTAGGTCATTCAAAATGCCGATATACAGGGCATACGAGTAAACATAGAAATAAATAATATTGGAATCCTGTTGGTATTCATACTTATAAATATATAAATAGCTTGCCAATGAGCCCCACAGCTTTGTGTAATTTTATTCAGATCGCGTACAATCGAAATGAGTTCTGGAGATAAAAAAAAACAAAAAAAAAAAACAAACAATTAATTTTCATAAGTTTAACGGTTTCTGTAGATTGTGGTACAGTTTCAAATGTACGTTGTAGAACGAAAACTTATTTGGCCTGTTCTTGTTTTGTATTCGTGACATCGTTTAATATTGTCACGTTCTTTCTGGACATTGTAACAAAATGGTAGATCGTCGGTTGCTACCTTTATACTGCCAGAGTATCGGAATAATAAATATGGTAAACCCATTGCTCTTTTCAGATTAATTATACTTTCTGTCGATATAAAATTTTCTTTCCCTTTCGAAATTCTGCTCCGAAAAACGTAGCGAATATGTAATTTTAATCTTTAAGTACACATTCGGCACCAATCGATTCTCGTATATCGATGTTTCTTTTACGTTTATGTAGCATTTGTAAAGAAGTATCGAGCACATTTTCTTTATGGTTAAACTTAATTTTCGGAAAGGGTAACGAACGTGATCATGATATGCATTTAAGTGTAAATGTTATAATCAGGGCCGGCCAACAAATCGGGTTGCTTCGATAACAAAGAAAAACTTAAAAATTGATAGAACTTAATTGAGCGTAGTTTTTCACAGAGATGGGTAAATTCTAATTTTCATTCGACCAATAACGAATAAAATATTGTTTATTCCCCATTCATTGTTTGAGATTTTTAGCTAGACAAGAATTCTGCCCATCTTCAAACTTTCCATATCAATTTTTTTACTGATGAAGTAGAGACTGAGAAAATTATTAGCAAACTTTTTTGTTCAAAAACATTTAAAATACGTTTCTAAAAAGGCTGTGCCTAAGCTTGACAATAATTTGTGTAATAATATCGTTGTTTAATGAAATATTACATTCGTATTAATTTAAATTTTTAAAATTACGATTTCGTTTATCTTTGATTCGTAACATAAGTTACAAAATGGAGCCTAAATTAGAAATACCATAGAGATAGAGAGAGAGAGAAATTTAGCAACTCGAACGCCGGCTCCGATTATAATTGTATTTTACATAACTTTGTTCTTCGTTGTATTTTATAAAGTACTGTTATTTATATATTTGTAATGTTGAAAAAATTGATTTTTATCGATGTATATTTGTATGTAGAGGTAGCATGTATAGTGCATATTAGAAATTAGCGAGGATTTAAACATGTAAACGTTAATTTATTTCTGATTAATTTAACCGAGGATACATTTCAATTTTACCACAGCATTTTCTATTCGAAACAAGCTGTATCGTTTGGATATATTTACTAGACATGTATGAAAAGGTAATAGGAATAGAAATAAGAACTTACATGCACAGGGTGTAACGGAGCGTGAACTGACATCAGCGTACGAAGTGAAACGCAATTGTTAATGCAGATAATTTACGCTTCACTTTCTTTAAAAAAAAAGAAAGAAACACGTCATTGTAAAGAAATTCGTTGATCTTTTACTTTCGTCAAAAAGAAATCGCAGGATTTAAACGTATGCGAGAAGTAGCAACTACTACCATGTAATCTTCCATGTAACAAATTCTTTATACACATTTATGTATATACTAGAGGTCATGATTTACAACGTGTATTTAATACACGGATATTAAAATACACGTGTGCCAATTCGAATAAATCATTGTTCAAATAAGGAACAACAGATGAAATCTTATTTTTTGTTTGTCGTACATTCAATATTATTAGTTATTCGTGTATTGGCCCTCTGGTCGAGTGAACAGAATTTGTTCTATTGCTGTGCACACGTAGGGAGTAACGAATGAAAACAAATGGCTATAAATGTTAAGTTGTTTGCTTAACACTAAAACTACCATCAACATTATGTATACCTACTTCTACCGTAGAAGTAAAAATAGCTTGTTATTGAAAATAACAAGTACGATGTCACAATATTGTATTTGTAAAGAAAGGAATGTTGACCGATACGAGTCACATGCTTTTATGAGCAAGCAAGAATAATGGAGAAAGGAAACTGCTTTATGAAATTAACCGTTTACGTACGTCGATAAAAGTCATACAAAATCTAAAAAAATAAGATGTACCGAAAACGGTTAGTTATCATTATAAATGACAAAATAAATAAATTTATTCGTTATTCGAAATAACTGTTGGCCAACACTGGCATTCATGTATTTTGGATACGCTTGCAATGGTGATCTCTAATATATAGGCACACATATGTATATGTATATTAGTTTCGTAATTCTAATTTCTCGACCAATGGGTATTATTCATTGGTCAATACCTATGATTAATACCTGCTTCTTCGATAGCAGTAGTATGGTCTTAATAGAGTCGTTAATTATCATCTCCCGATAATCACATTCACAATTATGCGTATATTATCGAGATTGTATAACCGGGCTATAATTTCACACTATATTATACAATTTATGAATGCATCGATAGCGGCTACGCTCTTTCGAAACTTTGATAATCTGTGAAGTTAAGCTAATTAATATTTATCGACCAACGTGTACTCTATACTACTTTTCTCCTAGTGTCGAAAGAAAGTAGCCATTGCAACAACACACGATCTATTGACGTATCGATGCGAGCAAATATGTACAACGTTCCGTTCCCGTTTAATGTTGATCGTATAATTCAAAGTTTATTTCGTTGTATTTGTTTGTTACTCTGTTTAAATTTCCGTTCGTAAAAAAGTCGAAGAACATACGTACCGGATACTCTGAAAGCGTATTATCGTAATTAATTTTCGTTGTGCGTGTTAAAGTTTATTTATTTATCTGTATATATATATAAGTATGTTGGTGTATTGTGTATATCGTTTTTTAATTTACGATTAAAATGAAACTACATTAAAATCGATAGAGACGTTTTGTAACGTGGCTTTTACGTTAGCATACTAGGTATCTGAAAATATTCGTCACAAGCAATTTTGTACTACGTATTTTGGGACATCCTAGAATATGTAACACGTTGGCTACTTACAGTAGTATGTCGAGTTTCAACAAAGTTTACAGCACCCACTTAAATAGATTCCCTAATGGCAATGTTGATGTGCTTAAAAAGCTATTACAACCCCGTTATTGATAACAAGGGTAATACCGTACGCAGCAAAAAAAAAAAGAAAAAAGTATCTAGACAACTGGTAACCATTTTATAAAGCGTCCTACATATTATTCAATAAAATTAATTTAACACTCTACGCATTTTCGAAACTCTAGCATAGTAGCGATATAGACAATATAATAGAGCTCTACGTTTGTCAGCAATTTAATGAAATTACTCGTTCGAAGCATGCGTAGTTTTCTTTTTTATATAAAACATAAATATGCAATAACAATGTAGAAGAAGAGGTACACCGTTTCTCATGTTCTATTGCGTGTAGTCGATCACATATAACGATAGATTTACTTTGTAAATAAAGATAATTGGATACGAATTCTGCATTGGTGTCTGGATCATTGAATAGAGATTATCGAAATATTTCGAGTTAAGTCGATGAACGATGAATTTCAGATATGAAAGGTTTGTAAAGGGAGTTTGTTCGTAGAATAAAGAGAAAGGAGTTTAAACTTGCACAGTGTATTTATCATAATCGTTCTATCGAATTAATATAGGAATCCTGTTCTGAATATCACTGATATTTGGTATTACGAGGCGTATTAATTACGTTTGAAAAAAGAGCGCCTAAAATGTTAACCAATGGCAGTGGACGATCGCAGAAGGAAGTCTTCCTCATTGGAAGAGTCTGTTCCAACACAGACGAAGCGCGTGTAAGTTCCTCGCGTATTCAAGAATGCGGTCACTGAACCTAAAAGCCTTAATATTTAAATATCGATTAAAGCCAATTTCAATCTCAACGAGTACCACGATCCGTGGACGTACGAGGAACTAGGAGACCCGAAACCTGACGGTGACCGGTCGCGATCGTACCGGGATTTTAAATAATCGTTTCGATCCATTTTTCCCCGTACATGTCATAGATGACACACCACACGACGATTCCCCGTTCGGAAGGCAGTACTTGACGCGCGGATGATCGAAGACTGCTCGTCCAGGTGCTCGTCCCGACAGACGTGCCGTTGCCATCGTTTTTAAACGTGCTCCGTTTCCGTTCGTCGAGTTCCCCTCTTCGTCGACGATTCTCGATCGTGCGGAGAAACATAAAACCGATAAAATTGCTCTGTTCGTGGTTACGGAAAATCGAGCCCCGGATCATCGAGGTGGCAAGGGAATCATAACGTTCGAGTACGTTCATCCTCGATCAGGTGAGCGATCCATTACTCGTGAAACTGTTACCCTCGGAACGTTTCTATCTTTTCTCGTCGTAATCGTGCGTCCCGTTTAATTGCCCGATCGAAATCTGCCCGACTTTATCTCAACACGAAGCGTAACGTCGCCGGATAAATCTTGTGGCACCTTCGTACACCGATTTTTATAGGTTGGGTACGTATCGAAGTAATCTCGATAGAAGAGAAAGTACGCAATGATAGTCTCTAAAAGAGAAAGGAACAAAGACTGCACAGTCGAACGAAGATGTGCGATGCTGACTTGGCCACTTTCGAAATAATCTCTCGTTAAAGTTTCATACCACTATTTCGTACGACGTATTGCTTTGTCTCACGGTTATCTCAGTTTTTCGCACGCAACAATGGTATTTTGTGTCAAGAGATAAGCTCGCAGGTAATGATTGCGCACGTGTGAAAACAAAATAATAAATTGGTACTTCGTTCGGAGTATTTCAATTATGCAACAATACCGTTTCGTACATAGTTGTTCGTTTCTAAATAATTCCATGCTTGTTGACCCGAACACAAGAGGAACTGGGTGGAACGTACCTGCAAGATGAAACGCTCGCTTGAGACATTTTAGAGCAAATGGTTCCTTTCGCAAGTATATCGATTGCTTGGATAAAAGTATTATTGAATAAACTGTTCCAAGGGCATTAGAGAAGCTAAATTGTTAGATTATCGAAACAATAGTAAATGTAAATAGATACTGTTAAAGATTCTTTGTAATTATAAAGAGGAAATTATTGTATCGTGTTTATAAAATGATTAATAAAGCATATGTTTGTATGTATCTACTTTCTTAATTTTCCTTGTTCTGAGTGCTACATCTGTCACACAACTACTATTCGTTTATTACCTATCATAGAACCAAAGAAAATTTAAAGTGCCAAAAAAGTATACGTGCATGGAACGAACAACATCGATGTTAAGGAGATCTGTAAATAATTGTACCGTAAACTTTTATACGATTCCAAAGCATACAAAAGCTTGCTGGAAGATACTTGACAAAATAATATTTTTCATTGCTTTCAGAATGACTCGAGGACAACAAAGAATTCAGTCGCAGGCTAAGGCAGCAGAGAAAGCTGCCAAAGTGAAAAAGCAGCAAGGACACAGTGCCAATGACCAAAAAAAGGCAGCTCAGAAAGCTTTGGTACATGTGTGTACAGTTTGTAAGGTAAGTACATTGTACGATCCGCTCGATCGTCGTCGCTAACTTAACGTTTGATATTTGATGCGTTTATAGGCCCAGATGCCAGATCCAAAGACTTACAAGCAACACTTTGAAAACAAACATCCGAAAACGGAGTTACCGGAGGATTTAAAGAATGTATGAGGGTAGGATCTATTGTAAAGGAGAAGAGCAGAGGTTGAAGCAAAAAAAAAAAAAGGAAGTTAACTGCAAATGACAAAAGTGATATAGTTTAACGTTCAACCAATCATTACATAGTCTCAAAGAAAGAAATAAATTAAACCTTATTAGTGTTTAACATGAACTATTGCACGTTTGAAAAAATGAATTTTCGTGCACAACCCCGAACTACGACACTATCGAAGGCTCTCTCGCAGGATGATACTTTAATTTTCTTCCAAAGATGTCCGTCGTTCTGCGTCTAATCCATGATTGCTAAATTCTCACTTTAGCATAAAAGTAAATGAATATGTACATTGCTAACAAATAAAGTTAATCAATTTAGCAGAATAATTCTAAATATTTATATGTACTTCAATGTCGCAGGCAGAAAAGCAGCATTAATTACCTTGTTTTTCTATAAATAGAGAAGAAAGATCCCGACACAAATGCCAAAAAGAAACGATGAGGAATAAGAGAAACATGCACAGTGATTACAAATGTCTTTCGTACCGTATTACTTGATTACGAAAATGACTGTTGCCGTAGGCATTCTTGAATTAACAGTTGAACAGAATGTAATTTATTCGAACGACACATTTACCGAGCAATGAAATATTGTGAATAGCAATAGAGAAGATAATTTACAAGGAACTGCCATTTTACTATGTCTCTGCCAATTATTCTATTACATAAGAATATTATATGACTAAAACATTGTATTGCATAGATCTGGGCATAGACGTTCGACCATTTATATCCTGTATTTCATTTTTCTTATAGATTTATTCGTTCACAGAAGAGATGTAAGCGTGATACAAAATTTAATATTTTTATTTTCTATACAGTTAAAACTTTGCATTTAGTACTTAATGTTCGTTTTTTTCTTTCGTACCGAGAATAATTGATTCGACTTATTCTTTTCTTTTTTTTTTATGTAGATCGATTTCGTTAAATGCATACATATTGCACGGTACATTTGTTTCCAAGGATTGAAAGAAATCTAGCGATGCTGCACTGCACAATGTGATCATTTACTTATCAATTAATGTTCAGTAAAGAATCTGTTATTCTCGGTTTTCGTTACTATAATTACCATGATATATTATGTCTCAAAGTATGCTTATTTACAATCACCGAATTTCCGTTAAAAACGCGTCAATCAGCGTCGAGTATTGATGACGTTTATAGGAGTTTCTAGCGTGTGTCAAGATTAGATATAAGTAAGCGAATTATGTAATTTGTTTTGACAAAATAATTATAGAATTTTACACCACAAACTGTGATTATATTGTTATTTAGCCAAAACGATTTGTATGCGTTCCCGACCTATTTAGAAATTTATAAACTCGAGAACGCAAATCTCCATTGTACCTATACACGTCGTTATAGTTTCCGATACTGTAATTATAGTCGATTAATTATCTTTCTCTATAAGTAATGTTTAACGTTCGCTTTCGATTTTTGGTAAACGTATCGTAAACATTTGTTGAAAAATAAATAATTTGTCTTTTCGTTCTGTTGTATATTTACCAATGACTACGTTTTCTATATAATATAATTGTTTCCAGACTTTCCAGAGCATCGATTCGTTCTACTTGGTCGTATTGACTAAACACATAATAAATTCTTATGCCATTTGACAGTAATGGCATGCTTGTCAATTTGTAGCCAAACGACACTACGTTACACACGAATTAAAAGGGCAGTATAATAATTCTTAGTAATGATTAAAACGTAATAAACAAATTCGATTAAAAAATCCCCAATTGCATCGTTGCAAAGCAATTTTCTATCTCACATTTACTTGTTATCAACTACTTTTGACGATAAAGACCGAACAAAAATTAGATAAAACGATAATGACATCACGCAGCAATCATACGGAAATATGTGTCGGAATGGAGAAAAATTGTTATTTTTACTTAGCTGATTACATTTGAGTTTTGCCGCGTCGTAATCGTTTGTCAACTTTTTCGACCGAATACGTTGCATCATCTCCACCCATGGTCCATGCGTCTTTATAAACGTGCGTGTCCGTATACATATACATTCAGTTTCAATTTGCCTCGAGGCGCGTGAACGTTGACGATTTTTCATGTTTTCTCGAAAATCTTAATCATCTTCCATCGAAACCGTTGTGGAATATTTTGCATTTAAGCGTTCTTTTTAGTAATTTATCGAATCGATTTGTGTAAATTTTGTTGCCAGTTACTTCGGGAGGCGAGAAAACAATAATTCGCTTCGTTGGACAGGTACTATATATATATATTTTTTAACGAATCGTAACAATCGGGCATCCCCCTCCTCCCCATTTTTTAATTGAAGTACCAACAGAATAGTAAATTGAAAATGCAGGAAGGGAAATTGCTCTACAGAATTTCATCAGACTGATTTCAGTTGGGAAATCAAAAGTACGTTTCTGTGTAATTACTTTGTTTTTCGATGATTTATCGGTATTTCGTAACGGATTTGTTATAATCTAATCGTGTTCTTCACGGATCATTTAAATTACACATAAAAACTAGTTAATTCCAGTCGCACAATTTTCGGTACGTTTGGCCACACTGAAGAGAGTTTGTGATTATTTTTACAGTTCCCTTTGATCAAAGTAATTAACTAAAAGCCAGGCGCTGGAAACAAACATGTTATACTGTTTTTAGTAGCATTCGTTTTAACTCCACGTACACGTAATATAGTACAGAAAACTATATAAAAATGATGGGTAAGGTTATTCCATTTCCTTCGTTTATAACCCTACAAATATTATATACATAGAAAATAAATTTGATCTTTTACTGTTTAAATGTGATCAGTGAATAAATTTTTGAAAGCAATATGTTCAAGTTACAAGGCATTCAAGATTTAGTATTTTCCAGAAAGCTTTGGAATGCACTGAATGTTCCACTCTGTTCTTTTGTTCTTCGAAGATACGATAATGTAAAAGTCACTCGTGGAAAAGGTCGTAAATATACATACACATTTACGTGTTGTTTTGTAACCTATCGAAGATACAAAGTTATTTGTACAACGTTCCTTGACCTGGGAGGGGTAATACGATAGAGAAATCGAATTTTATTAAAATTATTACGTTATTATTATCGACTTGTTCGCCAAATATAAATTTGACAAATTGACCATTGCTTTCAGCATAGAACAGTGACGCTCAACCGTTGTTGCTAATATTCTTTCCAGTGCCAATTAAATTTGAAACATATGTATCGTGTTTGGTCTCATTTTGATACAAACAATTTGACCAATATGTGAAAACTAAATTCGTTGTAAAAAAAAATTCTTGAAAAAATACTGTATATCGTTGAACGTAATTTCGATTTGCCAGGGGAAGAAATGATGGATTCGGTGTTCCGTACTCGGTCTCTCGGCACTGCAGCTGAGGGTATCCGCGACCAATACGCGGATGGAAGAGCAGCCAAGGTCTGGGAGGTGTTCATCGGCGATAAGAAACAAAGAACCCAGAATTATCGGGACTTCTTGGTGGGTCTGCTTCGAGACAAAGGGTGTCATAGGATATTGGACGTGGCATGCGGCACTGGCGTCGACTCGGTGATGCTCCTCGAGGAAGGCTTCGAGGTGGTCAGCGTAGACGCTTCAGACAAAATGCTGAAATATGCTCTGAAGTCCAGGTGGGAGCGTCGGAAGGAAGAGGCATTCGACAAGTGGGGTAAATGGTTTTCGATACGCGTGCAGTAAAATCTCTTTATGCACGAAACAGATCTCTAACCTTTTAGTAGCATTTATATCCCCGCCACTAGGGGGAGTACGCCTGTAGTTTGGTAATGTGATCCGCAATCGGATAATCTTGAACGAAGAGATAATCCACATTATTACTAATGGAATGACAACACTTTTTTTAGAGTCTTCTTTCGAATAACACTCGCGATCAATTAACACGAAATTTGGCGAGACTAGAGGGAACGGAAAGTTAGGTTAGGTCTGGCTATTTCTTATTTCGTTGAATATTATACGCTTTCCGGCCAATAAAATTAGAACTTTACACAAAAGAGAAAGTGACTTTACTGCGTATCGGGCACGGGACGGGACAACGACTATAATAATTCGTGGTTCGTTTGTTAACAGTGATTGAAGAGGCAAATCGGTTGACCCTGCCGAACGATATCCGTCATCTGATAGGGCAGGGTTCGACGCGTGCACTAACATCTCTCTATGCACGAAACAGATCTCTAACTTTCTAGTAGCATTTATATCCCCGCCACTAGGGGGAATACCCCTGTAGTTTGCTCGTCGAGGAGATAATCTTGAACGAAGAGATAATCCACATTATTACTAATGGAATGACAACACTATTTTTAGGCTCTTCTTTCGAATAACACTCGCGATCAATTAACACGAAATTTGGCGAGACTAGAGGGGACGGAAAGTTAGGTTAGGTCTGGCTATTTCTTATTTTGTTGAATATTGTACACTTTCCGACCAACAAAATTAGAACTTTGCACAAAAGAGAAAGTGACTTTACTGCGTATCGGGCACGGGACGGGACAACGACTATAATAATTCGTGGTTCGTTTGTTAACAGTGATTGAAGAGGCAAATTGGTTGACCCTGCCGAACGATATCCGTCATCTGATAGGGCAGGGTTCGACGCGTGCACTAACATCTCTCTATGCACGAAACAGATCTCTAACTTTCTAGTAGCATTTATATCCCCGCCACTAGGGGGAATACCCCTGTAGTTTGCTCGTCGAGGAGATAATCTTGAACGAAGAGATAATCCACATTATTACTAATGGAATGACAACACTATTTTTAGGCTCTTCTTTCGAATAACACTCGCGATCAATTAACACGAAATTTGGCGAGACTAGAGGGGACGGAAAGTTAGGTTAGGTCTGGCTATTTCTTATTTTGTTGAATATTGTACACTTTCCGACCAACAAAATTAGAACTTTGCACAAAAGAGAAAGTGACTTTACTGCGTATCGGGCACAGGACGGGACAACGACTATAATAATTCGTGGTTCGTTTGTTAACAGTGATCGAAGAGGCAAATTGGTTGACCCTGCCGAACGATATTCGTAATCTGATAGGAGGGGGTTTCGACGCGGTAATCTGCTTGGGGAACAGTTTCGCCCACATGCCGGACACGTTCGGCGATCAACGAGAACAGAGGTAGAACGGACACGAGCTAATTTGTTTATAGCTTTTAATCGAGCTTGTTTTGTTTATATTTTCTTTCGTCGTTGTTTGCAGACAAGCTCTATTGAACTTCGAGCGTTGCGTGAAACCCGGCGGTTTGCTGTTGATCGATCACAGGAATTACGATTACATAATCGAGACTGGCGATATACCGCCAAAATGTATATACTATAACGTAAGTATTTTGAGAGTTCTCGAGGAAACATAAAAGAAACAGACTAATTCTTTTGAAAACATTGTCGTTAAAAAGCACGTTTCACGCGTGATTTCAGAGTCAACACATGACGACCATCAAGGCTTCGGTACTGTTCGTCTCCGGGAAGCCAGCAATCGTCACTCTAGACTACATGATTACCTTGGAGGACGCCGAGGCCGATGAAAATCAAGAGCACGTCAGCGAATTCAGGCTCTCCTATTATCCTCACAGACTGAAAGTGTTCACGGATATGGTGGACGAGGCGTTCCACTACAGGGCGAAGCACGTCATCTACGGGGACTTCAAGGCCCTCGACGAGGTCAAGCATCCTGGCTTCTACATACACGTGATGGAGAAACCAGTCTAAAGATAACGCGAGAATTGTTCCGATATCTGCTCTTCGTGGTCTTTCATTTTGCGAGCGATTCACCTAAAAATGAACGGGGCCAATCTAAATTATCTCTGGCGTTCCGTGAAAGACGGAAGGGATAAAGAAAACTGCGTCATCTAGAGAGTTTGTTACTTGGTCGGAGACAACGAGCGCCGCCTAGTGACGCGCGTCGTAAACTCGTACGTTTGTATCTGTAACGTTGGCGTAAATTCATTTTCATTTTAACATTTTGCGAAGTAAGGACCAAAAATCGATCGTTCACGAACCGAATTAGCCCTTACACGTGTATAGGAAGACATATTACTATGATTCGAATGATCGACAATAAAATTTTAACATGAGATTCTACACCTAAAAGTTATATTTCTTTAAGGGAGGATTCTCATGTAATAGCTTCAAAAGCAACTATTGTTTGGATTGAATGCTTTTGAGAAAAAGAGGGAATAAGGAAACATTTTTAAATTACAGAAAACAAGTTTATTTATTATTTATTAATTAATGTAGTATCTTCTTAACCTCTTCGACGATGTAGCTGTTGTTTGTTTCTTCTGTAGCATATGGTACATTCATCTAAATGCAAAGAGCGAACTGTTTTCTTAAAATTAGTTTACGCTGGTATTGAACCTGTTTTTAAAACAAAAAAAAACGGAAATTTGCAAGTTTATAACGTTTAAAAGAAAAATCACTTTTTCTCTTTAAATGACTTAATCTTATATCGATGGAAAAAACAATATGAATAAAATCTGACAAAATATAACAAATAAAATGGTCTGCGTTTGAAATCGATTAGTTAATTATTTTTTGAGTTGTCCTAGATACCAATTTAAAAAATATGGTTTTAACAAAAACGTGTTCAAAATTCGTAATAAAATAATTTAATTATCTTTGCGAATTCGATCCTAATTTTGATTTACGAGAAAAATGAAAAATCGATTTTTTGAACTCGTTACACGAGAATCCCCCACCTCCCTCCCTTAATACTTAAATGCACGATGACACGGCGACTGATAGACTTAAGAACATTTCGTAAGCTCGACAAGTTTGAAACTTAAAGGAGACAATAAAGAAAAGGGTGAATAAATGCTCGATCGATTGAATCGCATACACACCGTAACGTAAAGTTTTAATCTTTTTTTATTATAAGTTCAGAAGCAGCTTTTCTTTTGAGTATTCTAGCCAGGCTTCGTTCGATGCTACAATTTGATCTCTCGACGATGCTTTCGAGCGGTCGTTGACGACAGTTCGTAAAACGCTCCTCGATCGATTTCGCGCCTCCGATCACTGTTCCTAACCTATTACATTTCGTGTTTCGAAAACAAATTGGGAAGACTAGCAACGTTAGACCACAGAAAATCGAGATACCGTTTCGATGGTCGAGCGTCCTTCCGGGCACTCTTTTCTTTTCTCACCTAATACTTAATTCTAAAGTGTGTTCGTTCAACAGAATACTCGCTACAATTTCGTGTCCGTGCCTCGGCTTCGTTGCAACAACTCAACACGTTCACTGCCACCGCGGTCACCGGTGAGTTTACCCTAATCTTTACTTTCAAACAACATAAATAATAAAATAAATAAATCTCTTAATTTTCACTCTGCAAGCGTAATAAACGATTAGGGCATTCTTAGATATAGAAAATTGATACGGCAGTCAACGTGTTATCCGTTCCATTACAGAATCTTTCTACAAATAAAATATTTATCTAGCAGACTAGTTGCTTCTTATTTTTCGCATCGAGTAAAAAGAATTCTGTCATAGAATCTGCACACATGGGTTTAACTTTAGTTTTCAATCGATTCGGTTGATACTCCCTTTGGTACCTCCGCTCTACAATTATTCGTTTTAGTCGTAGATTTCAAGGTTACGCTGGTCAAGTTAGGCGAATAAAGTGATAGAACCAGCGACGATCGTAAATCTCTTCCGAGTGGACGCGTAGACATTGAGGTTAGGTTGAAGCCGAGGTACGAGCACTCGACAGGTTTCCTAGATGTCCTTTCCGCTGATTCCTCGAATCGATCGGCCGTCGACGATCGCTCTGACTGAGAACAACAACAAGAACAACAACGCGGCGAAGATCGTCGCGCGCAGGACCAGCATATATTTTCTTTTTTTGTTCTTTTTTTTTTCTTTTTTTTTTGTTCATCGTGTTTCGTTCGCTGGCTCGCGTCGAGATCGCACGATCAGAATTTTTACGAGAGCTCGCAAGAGGCTCGTCCGTTCACCGAGTGCTGCAAAAGGATCCCCGGGGATCTGGATTTTGGAGAGGGACCTGGTGACATTTTATTTAACCTTTTGGGCACTTGACTTCTTATTTTTGTTTTCAATAACACCCACCAAAAAAAAAAGGAATATTATTAAATTCCGTTAGAACTTATATTTTTTGTTCAATCTTCTGATAATAATTTCGGGCTCGTGGGATAATTATGTAGAATGTTCGGCAGCCAGGAACGTTGCTACTAGAGAAGGAGAGTCGATTGATCATTTAATCAGCGTTTGAATTTCATTACGAAAAAGAATGGGCTATCGATAAGTTCTAAAGACGATTGATGAGCGTAAGGTCCATTTCTCGAAGCGCCATCTGTTCGAGTTACCTGTAACCTCGAAGTGTTAACCTTTTAACCGGCGAAAACGAGTCAACTTGTGTACCTTCAATAATTACACTCGTAGAAAAAGTGCCAACGTTTTCGTAGCGCGTAACCGGAAAAATAAAATAAAAATTCATCCCTTTCAGTCGTAATACGGTTTTCAAGTACATTGCTCGTTTATTTATCCGAGAATCCTTGTCTTCAGTTTTGTCATTATAGCTGCACGAGAATCGAATTAAAATATTCACAATATTCACAATTGACTTCGAGAGTTAACTCGTCTTTGTACGTTCGTAAGTTAAAGACACGGTTAGCACAGGTTAACAGATGGCGGGTCGTTCACAACCATAACCTCAACTGTTCGATCGATTCTTCGCGGCACTCGATGATCGAAGAGCATTTCCGGAAATGACAAGGACAGAATATACAAGGCCGAGGACTGATTACAGTGCAACGAGTTGCCCATATAGAAAAATGGACGAAGTGTTTTTAGTTATAGCAAAATTTCCCCCCTTCTAATAATAATAATAATAATAATAATAATAATATATATATATATATATTTTTCTTTATTTCTTTGTTATTCCGCTCGATAGCTACTATAGACTTCTCTTAACCATTTTCACAAAAAAATTCGGTACGATCACGGCTTCTTCGATCGTCGCAGCGATCACTGTCGTCGTCGTCGTATATGTGTACACGTATGGATTTTTATTCGACAAAAGAATCTTTTTTTTCTTACTCCCTTTCTTACCTTGCTTTATTGCAAAACACGCTAGTAAATGTTGCGAACGGTATTTTTCGTCATCCGTTCGCCTTTCTTCTTTCTATAGTTCTGTTTCATTTTTATTGGTTTCTGTTTGCCGAAATACTGCAAACTCAAGCGATTTGGACGTCAAAGGAATCGATCGTGTAACAAAAGTTTGAGAGAACTTGGGATTGAAAAATTCAACGTACCGGGCACCCCGTTTACCAAGAACCCATCAAATACCTTCGCTGATATTTAAACAAAAAAAAATACTGATGACCTTGAAATGATATCGGATGACAATTTTTTGTACTTTATTCGCATTTCACTTCTCCCGAGTTCTGCGTACCTTCGACACCAGCGAAGACGTTCAAAGCGTTCGTGACAAATGGCCGTACCGTACCGCGAGAATTTCAACGAAATTTGTAAATTCGAAATAAAAAATACGGAACGTGCGAGGCGAACAAAAATTCTGCATCGTGTTCGGCGATAAATCAAGGACGACGACTCGTGTCGCGACGCCTCCCCCTTTGCGTACGATGATAATTCATTATTGCGAAGTAGCTGATATAAAAAATCGTAATATCACATGTTTATCCATCTATACGTTTTTCCCATTTTTTGTGTTTCTGTTCTCGCGATTTCACCGCAGCCGACAACGAGCCGCCCGTCGGTTTCGGGTTACCTCGCCGATCGAAATGCTCCGTAAACCACCGGAACGAGCGCTTACACCATTCGTCGATGGGAAACGTGAACTATTTTCTTGTTTTTTATCGTTGCATTGTCAGAGACGCGAACGGTAGAAATGTATCCGCGTCGATGAAATTCGACCCAATGTCTCAGGGACGACCGAACCTTAAGTCGAACGTCCGATTCGTTCTAACGTACGTTCCGTGGGACGATGGAACTGGACCCAAACAAAACCCACGTGACTGCCAGTCATTATTCCCAGAATCGTACAAATACTGTAGAATTTACGTTACGTCAGTGTTGCATCTTCGATAGAATTTATATTAGGAAAGGATTGTGGATCCACGTTCAATTTTAATGTCGTCGAGATAAAAATAATCATCGAGTTTCCAAGTGTTTCCAGATGTTTGCAAAATTCGTTTCTTAAAGATATCGTTGATTCTGGCTCAGTAAAGTACTGTCGGCATTTGAAAGTGTGCAAAGACGTCTCTAAACTTAATTTCTATATCAGCAGCTTAGCCAAGAAAACAGTTTCTCTGTACTTACGTAATAGTGAGTTCAGGACATCGAACTGGAAGATTCATTTATTTAAGTCTAATAGCTATCGTAATGTCGAATGATCAAAAAATTGAAATTGATATTTTAGAAGCCTTGATCCGACCTTGGTAACAATCTTTGTTTACATCCAACTTCATCTTCCCGTCGAACGTACTGTACAGTCTACTTTGTTCGGAGCAGCGATTCTCAACTGGTGGTGCGCGAAATAAAGTCAGGTAGTACAGTGATTAAATTAATTTCTGTCAAATGCCCGTTATCTCCTACGTCAACACATCGTATTTATATATCGACGCGACAAACATCTTTGTGTAAATTAATAAATACGTTCTGCAAAATGGCACCCGACCCGATCCTCCAGTAGGCATGCGACGAGCGAACGAAGGTTGAGAACTGCTGGCTTAGACACTTCTCCGCAAAAGGGACTTTCGCGTACCGAAACGAAAACGATGGATTTCGAAAATTAACGGCAACAGAAACATCAGAATCGCTTGTAGACTGAAATATGGCATTTGCAACATTGCAAACTTGGATTCGGGACTAGTTCAACGATTCTCGATATTCCAAGCGAAAAACAGGAGGCAAAAGTACCTTCTGGTTTTCGAGTCTACTTATTCCCGTTTAGCGATCGAATCCACGAACGGAATGTCGCAAGTATTCAGGAAATTGTCAGTCTTCAATATTCTCGGCGCAAGCGGTTTGCTTTTTGGTGTCTCGTAGAGCGCAATCTTCGGTGTCGACTTACGGTCGCCGATGGAGCCATTTTCAAAGGGGACGAGAAAACGCGCACGAAAAGAGAAGCTCTCGGATAGCGAACCGAGCGAAAGGATCTTCTTGCGATTCCAAATGATAAGCGAGATGCGGCACGACGCTTTCTGCTCATGGGATTCGATTGAAAACGTGGCAAAGCGACGATGAGAGGAAGTGAGGTTAGGTTCCATACGTTGGGAATTTATAATACAGATAACAAATATTTAGAACGTTCACGTCTCTCTGATTTCTATCTCTCTGACTACGTATCAATCCACAACCCTTTGTTAGCTGTCGGCACTTAAATGAATTAAATTTTATCACCTAAAGATTATTTTTTTAAACATCTTTCCTGCGACATAGCCCCATCAAAAATCACTAAAATTTAATAGACGAACTTTATCGTGTTACTCGCGATCGAGGGTTTCCCATTTAACACTCTTTGTAAGTCCAATTCACAACAATGCGATAACGGGAGGGAAGGGGGGTGTAGTTCGTGACGTTGCTTACAGTCGGAGAAATGAATTCGAGACTATAGCAAACATGGCGCCGAGAATAACGCGCAGGGATAAACATAGAAACGTGTAAATTCGGAGACAGAAAAGAAATTAAAATCGCTCGATCGATTTTAATTCGGTCCGACCTTGCGAAATGGCCGCATCTCTGCATGCGCGAGTGGCTTGGAATCGCAAGCCGACCGGCTTTGTTTTTCAGCGTTAAAAAGGAGCAGACGCGCACCGTTTCAAGACCTCGATCGACGCGCATGGTGGCTTGTTGAGCTGCTAGAAAAAACGTTTTTTTCACTTTTTTTTTTTTCAACGGCATGTTAAACTTTCGCGTTCGTTAAGTATAGAAACTACGATAGAGCCAGCTATATCGTCTCCGCACGCTAAAACCTAATTAACAAAGTCCTCGTAACTGTTCGATAATTTCATCTTTTTTTCTCCTCCTCTTGCGTTAACATGAGATTAGAACTATTTGCTCTCTCCTTCTTGCACACACACTCTCTTTCTCTCTCGCACAAACACGCACACTCTCCCTCGCGCCGTTCGTTTTATTCGCTCCTATTAATATTTATAATATTTACACGCATAGGTGTCCTTGTCAGCGCGTTTGCTCGTTTCCCATCGTCCTTTCCTTTTTTTGCTATCTTGTTTTTCGTATTGGACGCGATTTTTGATCGACGATCGTGGGATCGTAGCTGAAAAGCTTTCGATCGAACACGTTGCGTTTAATAGCGGAATCTCGATAATCCGTGTAGTTTAGGTTTTGCTATGCTCACGTGAAATAAAAATTATATAAAATATCTGTTGGCGAATCCACACGACTAAACGAGATACAGTAGAACTTCGATAGTTGTGGGAGAACGGTGCGAAGAACGCAGTACTACCTCGCTTCTTGCACTAATCTGCGTTCGGAACGCCACCATTATTTACGTTCCTCGCCCAAACCTTTCGATTTGATCACACGAAGAGATGCAGTATTGCAACCCATTCAACGTAAAAGAAACTGTCGTTGCTGAGCAACTATTCCTTGCACTTGTCAACGAAATGCAACTAACGGGACACGCGCGCACTAATCGAGGTTCTACCGTACGCGCTAACTTCGCCCGTTCCGCAAATAATTTCGAAATGCTTTTCGCCTTCGTTCGCCTTGGAATTATCGAGACTCCTCGCTTCGTTAAATCGTCGGATGAATCGATGTATTTGTATTTTATTTTTATTTTTTTTTTCATAAATCTTGTCCACATATGCTGTCGAAAATCATATCCCCGAAGCTATCTGTGTGTTTGCTGATCGCCGCGGTCGCCTAGGTTCTCTTAAGCTTAAGCTAACGAAATATATCTAGCCTTATTCGATTAATTGCTTCATCCTACTACGTGTGAGATCAGTACTTTCCAACTTTGATTGTCCTTCAGAATTGTTTCAATGGTTCCTTCCTCGAGGCGGCGGCAACGCAACTAAACGGACTCGTCATTTAGCCTCGCTAAACTCGCAAATCAAATATTTCTTTTTCTTTTTTGTTTCGGGCATCTTTCAGAAAAATCTTGTTTCCCCTGTTTTTTTTTATCGATTCCACCAAACCGTTTTTTGCGCCAGGAACCGAGGAAACGGACCGAGGAATCGCTCGACGATTCCCCGTGGACGCAAACGCGCTGCCACGGACGCACGCGCAGTAGTAATATGAATATATATACACGCCGTAGTTACAAGATATATACACCTAATATTGCTGTTCGGCTTTCGTGAACGCCGTGTACTTACAATGGGTCGCGCGGATTACTTCTGTCGAAGGGTAAGAAAAAAATGGCTCGATTCGCGCACTCCGATTCCTCCCCTTTACGGTCACGTCTTTTGATTCGCGCGCAGGCTAACAATCTTTGATCAGCGTTCCTCGATGTCACCGACGTACTGTGGCGCAGCGTAACCAGGTAGGACGGACTTTTCACGCACGCGCACTGGAATACAGCTACGGCGCTTCGCTTACGCACGGGCGCCGAAGACTGATGGCTCCCCGAGTCGGGGAGGCCGGATAAAGACTCTTACACCTTCCCCCACTCTCCAATATTCCTCGTGCTGTGCCGATGCAGTAAAAGTTGTATACATGACCGAAACTCGGGGCCGAGCCAGGTGTTTATGGTGTAGATGGATCGATTCTAATTATAGAAACAGCTCGAGTCGACTGTCGAACGTAGAAAAGGACAGCGAGTAAAAGAGAAGGAGGTCCTTCTCGGCTGCCGAGCTTCGTGGTGTGTGTCAAGAGGAATCTCCCCTCTGGGCGTATACATATATCCAACTTTTACTGGATACCCTCCGACTCCGACTGACGCTGCCCGAAACCGAATTAACGGGAACGAAAAATATTGTAAACCGCATTTAGAGCCGTACGCAAAAATTCGGAAAATTATTTTGGATCATTGAAGGGAACCCTGAGAAAGAATGTATATTATTTTGTCAATTTCTTTGCTTTTTTTTTTTGCGGAGTTGATCGATTTGGCAAATGGTCGGCTCAATTAAGTCTCTTCGAAATTGAATACCTCTGCTCCACGTAGACACCAAAAAGTGTGCCATCCGGTTGAAAAAGGGTAGCGTGAACAGAGCCGTCTGTTCCCTTCAGCCGAGCGAATCCGAGTAACCCATTGTTCGCGGGATTAGGTCATGTTCGCAACGTAACGAAGTACAGAGTCCTTGAGTCGTGTCTCTTGCGCAACCCGACCTTGTCGAGGACATAACCGCCCCCTGACGATCGCATTCTTCGTTGAAAACGCGACCGAGAATCGCGCGCGATCTTCAAGTTCGCTCGCGCGCGTAACAGTATGGTATTTCTGCCAGCAGTGGCGGATCTAGAACTATTTAAAGGAGGTAGAGTGGGAGGCTGAGAAAAAATTGCGAGATTCGAGGCTTCAAGGTATAATAAAAATTAATAAATAATTATCGTTCATCGCTTATCAAATAATAAAATGCTAACAGATTCTTCTTTTGGTCAATGCTGTGGGCCTCCCCCTCCCTTTTATATCCGCCACTGTGTGCCAGTTCGTTGAAAATACGTGCACCCACTTCGGTGTCTTTTTTGATCGCACGAAGCGAAACGCAGCCTCTCGAAACGTGGCCGAATTGACTTCGAATAATAATTTGCGACACAGGGCGATGCGATGTCGTGTTTGAAACTCGAGCGTCCCGTAGAATCGGGGTCGGGGAAAACGTCGGTTCGACGGCGAAAACATCGATCCATTTTTAAAAAAATAATAGGCGACCTGCGTCTCCTAGGCACCATTCGTCGATCGGATTTTTTGCCCGACCCCCGCTTTTCTCGAGATGGTTGTTAAATCACGCTGCACTTCTTTTCGAAGAAGATCGGTGGAAATACTTTCTGAAAGGAGAGTGCTTGCGAGAATGCAACGTAAACGTTAACTCCGGGAGGATTTCTCTCGCGTCGATCCGGTTCATTTCCGTAATCGTGTTTGATTCTTCGCTCATTTGGCGTTGTCTGGACGAAATCAACTGAGACTGAACGATAGCAAAAATGGCGGAGGACGTGAAACGGAATTGTATAACCAAATGTAATGAAGGAGAAGTGGCTTTGAGTGGCCAGTCAATTTAGTCTCACTTCTGGTCGCGAATCGTAATATTACGGTAAAAACTAAGATTAACAATACTAAATGCATTGAAACGAACCGAAAATACTGGAATTCAAATCTGACAAAATCGAAGGAGAATTCTTCCCAGGATTAACATTGACGGACATTTCTCTTGCAGCGAAGAACATCGATGAATCCCGATGGAATTTTTACTAGAGTTTCTGATTTTGAACGTGTATTGAAGATACACGTGTACACGTGTACACGTGTAGTTAATATATGCGTATCTTAATCCGTGTACTTTTCAATACACGGGTACACGGGTATTGAAATACACGGATACACGTGTATTGAAGTATATGGGTACACGGATCATAATATCTATACATGTATCCGTTTATTGAGGTTCGCGGATACACGTGTCGAAATGTACTGTTCCACATGTATTACCCGTACCGCAAGTTTTATTTTATAATTAAATATAAGAATATTTAGATGTGTAAATTGTTTATGAGACTTAATTTACTGGGTAGTAGGTGAAAATAAGAAACATTATGGTTTTGGTTAATAAAGTTCAATTTATTAAATTTTTGTTTTGAGATAAGAAAAATTTTTGTTTTGGTTTTTTTTTTATACAACGAAATCACCGATAAGAATGATGTTTATATTCAAATTGAAACATATATGACCGAGCCACAATTACGCTTTGATTTAAATCCATTTGAATGGTGGAAAGCTAGGGCAAACAAATATCCAGCAATTTCCGAAGTTGCCAAAAAATATTTAACAATTCCAGCAACCTCGGCGATGTCGGAACGATGCTTTTCATGCGCTGGAAATATTGTAACAAAAAAAAGAAACCGTTTGCTTCCAGAGAATGTTAACACCTTAGTTTTCTAATCTCAAAACAAAAATTTAACAAATTGAACTTTATTAACCAAAACCATAATGTTTCTTATTTTCACCTACTACCCAGTAAATTAAGTCTCATAAACAATTTACACATCTAAATATTCTGATATTTAAGTATAAAATAAAACTTGCGGTACGGGTAATACATGTGGAACAGTACATTTCGATACGTGTATCCGTGAACCTCAATAAACGGATACATGTATAGATATTATGATCCGTGTACCCATATATTTCAATACCCGTGTACCCGTGTATTGAAAAGTACACGGATTAAGATACGAATATGTTAATTACACGTGTACACGTATATATTAGATACACGTGAAATCAAGATCGCTAATTTTTACACTGTCACAACCGATGTCGATCGCGCACGGCTTAGTGAGACGTAACAGTCGAAAGGCTATCGATCGTCGTTCGCTTTGTCAGCGAATCTCTCTTCGAAAATCACGAAAACAGATGGCGGACTGGTCGTTGCCGATTAACGGCAGCAAAACGACGGCAAACAACTCAGCGACGAGTCTTGGTTCCATTCTCCTTAGGACCGCGAAGCTTTTGCTCGGTCCTCGAACTCTGTTTCCAAAAAAACAAAAGGAGAGCCTTCGACGTGTTGTCGTTCTCACCTCGGTTCCCGAACTGTTCAGCGCCATCTTTGCTTCATCGTTCGACCCGTTGAAACCGCCAAAAACGATCAGGGGATCATCCATTGGCGCGCGATTTGAATTCTTAAACGCGAACGAAAGATATTGAAATGTTAGAACAGTTAATTTGAGTCTTTTTATTTTTAAAAACCTCTGTTCGTGTCCCTGTAACTAATAAATGCCCATGAGGCATATTTAGAGAACCAGAAATCAGAAGATTACATTTCAAGTTAAAAATTCTACTATATACTTTAAGTTTCTTTACGAACGCAGCCCCTGATCGTTCAGAGCAACTCGCAGGGCGTTGAAAAAAGATATCTGTACAAAATCTCGACGAAGCGAAACGTCTCGTTTGTGACAGTTACTCCCCCCCCCGCCCCTTTTGCACTTCTCACTTTCGTTCCGACCTCGTTTCTATTGTTTTACTTGTTTTTTTATCTTCCCCGTTTAATTTGATGCATTACTTAACATCTATCGCGCGCCTCCACGAGTCTAGCTCTGAAATCCCCTAAGATGCGTGTAAACCTACAATTACAGTGTGTGAGTGTGTACTTTATGCAGAACGTGAGTATTCTGAAATAGTTTATCTTTCTCTCTCTCTCTTTTTCTCTCTCACGCACACTCTCACTCTCTCTTTCTCTCGTTTTTTTTTTACGTTCGATGTCTCGAAGAAGCCGTCGCAAGCAGTTAAACTTGATAATAATTTCTTTTGTTTTATCGCTTATTTTTTTTTTTTTTTGTATTTTGTTTGGCCATGCAAAAATACGCCAACTTGTAGGTAGCGGGAGCGTCACGCCGGCACGAACGTCGCTCCCATCTCGCTTTGTTTTCGTTTTTTTGTTGTTTTTACATTCGGATAATTATTTTCTTTCTTGCAATTATACTAGTACTTTTATTCGTCTCGGGTTCGTTCCTCGCGTGTACCGACGTCCTTCGATGAAGCTCGTAGAAGATCATTCGCGAAGCGTTTTAGCGGAAATGCAGCATCCTTAAAACTGTACGGCGGTGAAATTACAGAGATTTATGGTTTAAGTCGGTACAACCTCCCGGTTTTTTTTTCTTTTTTTTCTCTCTCCCTTTTTCTCTTCCTGATCTCGTCACTTCGATGAAAGAGTTCGCCGTGCTGGCTGTCTCGAACACTCGAAGAACACCGCCCCATCGCCGTGCTACCGAAGGTTCGCCCCAAGTGTCTGAACGATCGCCTAACTTTCTCGCGTACCGTTCGCGCTACGCGTGTGCGATTCGAACATCGCGGATAGGTCGTTGCGGCAGACGACCGAACGGTGGCGTTCACATCGGGCCTCCGACCCCGTCAACGTCGCGCGGCACGATCGGAACAGAGGGGTACGAAAACACGGCCGAAAATCGAAAGATCGTCCGCGAACGGAATGCCAAAGCTTTGTAAAATTGCCATTAAAAATTTTTGAGCGGTAGCGTACGCCGTCCTCCCTCTGTACATCCCTCTTGCCATTCCTCCGGTGACAGACCCCGTACTCTGCAGCGTCGATTCTTCCCCGGGGGAAAAAATTAAATAAAAAAAAAAAAACCATTTACGAGGTACCGTTGTTCGTTGTTCCACCATTTTACCGCGGACCAGGAATCGGTCGACATCTGGCGGCGTCCAAGAGCACTCGTTCGTTGTTCCGCCGTGCGTGTTCCTCAGAATAGAAGCCTCGAGACAACCGTCCGGAGCCACAAGAACTTTCACAAGTACTCTCTGGGCCTGGGCGGAGGCCTCTTCCTGTCGGATCTGTCCGCGGCGCTCGGTTCCCTGTCGTCGGTGCACTCGAGCATCTGCGTGGTCTCCGTGGCCTCGGACGGGCTGATCGGCTGGGTGGCGAGCGGAGCCAGCGGCGCTGCGCCCTTGTTCCGCGACTTGCTCCTCCGTTTCCGCAATATCAGCGGTCCCAACGGGGTCGAGTCGTCTCCGCGCGACGTGGACGCCTGCGTGAGCCTCTCGAGCAGCTCTTTGCTCACATCTCGCGACGAGCTCTTGTAGTCGGTGTCCTTCAGCCTGTCCGACTGTTGCGACTGATGGTGATGATGGTGATGATGATGATGCTGCTCCTGGGGCTTAGAACTGCGCTCGGTGGTGGTGCCCTGCTCCCTGTACCCTTCGCTGGCCATGGTGGACACGGACGTGGTCGCTATCGACACCTTCTGCTCGGCGATACCGTTCCCGCTCAACGTCTGCGTGGCTTGCTGGCAACTGGACGAGCTCTGGGGCTGACTGGAACCGTTGCTGCCAGTCGCGAACGTGACCTTTGGCTGCGGCGGGCTGATCGTCGGCAACCGATTCATCAGCGTCTGCAGGATGTCCTCGATCTTGGCCAGCCTCTGGTTCACTCGTTGCACCTCCAGTTTCAAGTCTACCTTCACCTCCAGCACCGCGGCCAGGATCTCGCGGTCGTGGCTCGTCTGCGTGATGATCAGACCGTCGTCGTAGCTCTCCAGCCGGCGTAGTTGCAGCTGCTTCGTATCCGCGGCGGCTGGCGCCGGCTGTGGCTGCTGGCTCTCCTTCGCCACCTCCGTGTCGCCCGACTCCTCGATGGTCCCGCTCAGCTTGCCAAACTTCGGGAACACTTTGTTGCTGCCGGCGCTCGAGCTGGGCCGCGCGTCCCTCGCGCTCAGCGACCGTTTGAACGTGTCCGCGCCAGTCCCCGTCTCGCTCCCGGAGTCCAAACTAGCGCTACCTGCGTGCAGAGATTGGAATCCTTATAACGAACGCATCGGACGTAAACCAAGGATTATATTTATTTCGTTTAAAATGATTTTTGGTTACCGATTGAGGGGGCTCGGTGGAAATCAGGCACTCGATTTAGTAGCGTTATTCGCATAATCTTCAATTTGTTCCACAACTTATTATTGACAAATCATGCGATTGCTATTGGATAGAATCGGTCAACCTGTCGATTGACGGCTTCCTCTCCGATTTCGATGATATTTAAATACGTTACAAAGCAACGTAAATGAAGTACAACGCAATTAAACTACGATGTAAATGAAATACAATGTAAATAAAGTATAATGTAAATGAAATACAATGTTGGGTAAATGTGCTAGTAGTCGGCCATTCAAGTCATAATGAAAATTCAACCTATGCACGATTATTGTTAATTAATTATTTTTTAAACATTTTATATACCACTGTATTCGTTAAAGTACGCACTTTAAATATATCTGGTAGTTAATTTATACAACTAATGCATTAATTTACAAAAACAAAACGTAAATTCTTTTTCGACGAGTAAAAAATAAAACAAAACAAAACAATTTTTTTTTCTATGCTTTGGTAGGTCAGCCCTACTTAATACTATTCTAACCTTGAAAACCCTTCATTTGAATATTTCTAATTGCGTATGTAAATTATTAATATTTAAAACTTACGTTTATTGGCGATAGACACTATTTCATATCCCTGCTTCCGTTATTAAATGTATTGAAATTTCGTCACGTGTTATTAGCTAGCCAATTGCAGTCAGAACTCTCAGAACGAGAGTTTTTGTAGTTCGCAGTATTACCGCTAGGGGCATGAAACTCTGTAGATTGGACACTAGCATATTTTATTTTATGGGATTTTTGTACCACTACTTAATAATCAGACATTTATTTTGGAAAAGGGTGACTACCGGCACATCTACCCTAAATGAATTAGCACAACTCTGGTCAAAGCGCTAGTTATTTCGACATTACCTAACAACCGTCCCCACTTTCCCGGTCGTGCTTTGACGGTAGTGTTCTCGTCTGTGGTGGAGAGTTTCCTGGAATGCGAGGATTCCCCCTCCTTGCTGTCTTTGCCGTCCTTCCCGTCGCCCTTCTCCACGTCGGCAGTGTGTTTCTCCCTACGGAACCTGGATAGAAAAAAGTAGAGAGCGAGAACGCTCGCCTTTAGTTACTGGCCGAGATCCGTTCGGGGATATTTACAATTACGGGGGTCCAAAAGGCCAGTTTCACTAGGCGATTAATTAAGTAAAGGGGAATAAAATACATGGTGTACAAGTCGTGGATGGGGGAAACATTACTTTTTCAAAAGTTTCACTTTGGGCTTGCGTGAAACTTTTCCCTTTTACGTATTTCTCTCTGATCGCAGCAAGCATTCGTTTCTGTGTCGTTTATCGACGTTATTTTTTTTTTTTTTTCGTCTTTTGCTTTTAGCTTTAGTTCTTTGGACGTGGATGAAGAGACTTTTTGTATATATATATATATATTTTTTTAAATCTTTTTTTATTTTTTTTTTTATATATATATATAGCATATATATTTTTTTTTTCTTGCGACAAAATGAGTCAAGTTCGTTCTACTGAGGCTAGAAAAAGGGAGACAGCTCCAGCGGTGTGTTCACGAGCAACCTACTTTGGTGTGCCTACGGGATTCGAAAAAAAGTATTCTCAGTGGTGATATAAAATGCCGAATAAAACATACGGGAAAAAACGGTGGCGGCGTCGATGAACCGAATCGTGATGTACAGGTTCCCTGTGTCTTTTTTAACGAGATGTTTCGGTCGAAATTGCGCGTAGGGTTGACCCGTTCTCGTCCACCGCGATCGAAGAATACATCTCGTTCCCTCTAATGAAAAGTCGGAACACGTCATCACGGGTGCTGTTCACGATGAATCGACCGAGTTGGAAACTTCGCCCCCGGGGCGTAATTGTGCACGATATACTCGCCGTACCGTCGAAGTTTGAATTAACGGTTCCACGACGGAAACTCCGGGAAGGCGCGAGGAGAATAACAAATCCGTGTAAATAGGTAAATAGCTTACCATCTGGGACACGCGAAAAGACTATTTCGGCCTACTCTACTCTTGCACGGTCTTCTCGTCCCTCGATTAAATTTAACCATTTTTAATTAAAATTCAAATGAAAATTTTACATTAAAGACAGTTTATATTTCATTTATTCCTTCGTACAAGACTTCGATTAAAATCCTAACGATTATACTAACTTTGTACAATCAAAATACTGCAGCTATTTAAATTATTCATTAACTTTGTATTATAAACAAAAAGTTTTTGATAAACAGGTGAATATCATTTTTGCTTAATTCTCATATACATATTACGACAGAGTTGTCTAGGTTATTTAGGTTATTTCTAGGTTAGGTCTGGGTTAGTAGCATTAATTCCAACTGAAAATTGCACTTTCGGTTTATGCGTATTAAAATTAATTTAATTTCATAGGGATCGTGTTTAGGTTATACGCATTAGTATTCATTGTCAAAACACGACGATGCACGTCCTCTAACGTTTCCAGCTGTGTAACAACTGGCAACTTGGCCAGAAAGAAAGGGAGATGGGTTTGGGGTGGCGTGTCCCCCGCAAATGACAAGAATTAATGGATATTTCTGTATGTACATTATTCATTATTCGTGACCACATCATGAAAATTAAACCGAGACTATGAATAGAGGTTAACTCGCCCTCTCTTCTGTCTATATTTATGTACCTGAAAAACGTTTTCGTTTAACAGTAGGTTCGGCCACGATTCAAGTTCATCGACGCAGCGTTAGATGGCACAGTTGTAATGGTGACGAGCTGCCTGATCAACATTGGGAATGCCACCGATCGCGAACATCTATTACGGAACGCGGGAATTTTGGAACTTACTTTTCATAATATATACTCAGACAAGATCGCCAAACGGGGTTAGTCGATAAATTGCAAAGAAAAAATAACCATTGGCTTTGAAAAAGTAAAACCAGCTTTTCAACTTAACCTTTACAAGTTTGAGATTCTTTTCTATTCGAAAACATACACTCGCCTCGTTCGTTTTTTTCATTCGACTGCGATTCGATAAAGTCTAAGGAGATATTCTAAGCATCTATCATGCATATTAACATGCCACGATCGAGGTTCTAAAAAAACTTGAAAGAAAATATGTTCACCCGATTATGCGCGAACGAATTACAAAGTTTCCGAGATTTGTTCGCCGGCAGTCTGGCAGTTTTTCAAGCAGCTACTGGTGGCATCGGTATATATATATGTATATATATGTATATATGTATAAAAATATATAAGTACAGGTGACAGAGAGAAACTTGAATCCTAGAGTGTGTACGTCACATGCATTCGGCGTTGCATAAAATCGTAAAAGGATCGGATGCTCGAGGCACAATGAGGACTTTGAGCATTTCTTTCGCTTCGAGAGAATGTGTCCCGAATCGAATTCGTTGAACTTCGATCAAATTTCCTAAAGGTACGATTTGCATTGATACGATGACGACACTGTGCTGTTTTACGAAAAAACGACACAGTCTCCTAATATTCGTACGAAACGTTTGAAATCTGCTCATTTTCAAAGTATTATAGACTTTAATGCGAAAGAGATACCGGAGCCCCCGAGTTCGCTCTATACAATCCTGGTTCCACTAAAAATATATGGTGGGAGAAAGATGCGCATAACCCTCTAAAGCCGTATATCTTACAGCACTCTAGCATTCGTCAGAACTGCAGTGATCTCCAGAAATGGCAAAGATTAGTATATATGGCACCGAGTGATATGTGTATACGCATCTCGTAGTGAAATGCGGCTCCTGAGCGAATCGAGTGCAATCGTACACACGGGCAGAGCTAACGACGAGAAAACGAAAACTGTCAACCGTCACGGGCGCGAGAGTCTTCTGCTATGTGAGTTACCAATATGACCGCCAGAGGGCTTCGAGTCCGAGGGTCTCGTGTCCTGTTCGTTATACGTAGGTCCACTGGTTAGGTTTGGGTTAGGTTTGCAACTCTTCCCCAGTAAACAATTTATATTATTTGATGAGGGGGGCTAATTAAAAAATTCTGTTATTCGAAAAGTACCCCGTTTGCAATAAACTTTCTAACAAACCGCCTCTCGATTCGCCTAGGATGATTTCGTAGACGTGCTGTGATAATATATATATATAAGTATATCAGTTTCTCTTTCAAGCGTGTGTACAGCGATTGCACATCCGTGATACCATTCGAACGTGTGGCGACATTTTCGGGTGATGCGTGTCGTCGCGCTCGGATGCGCGCGTAATTAGAAACTCGTTACGAACCGAAGGAAAAATGGCCGCGATTTTCGCGATCAAAAAATTCCGCAGGCCCGTGGGCGTCATCATCGGTACCGATTTAGTCCCACGCTCGCTTCCCTTACGACGAATTCGGCGTCTCGACGCCGGCAAGAATGCACGATCGTACTCGTGGGACGTGTCGCAAACGTACAAAAAAACCGTTCTCCCATTCGGACGTGAACAACGCGACTAAACACGCGCGCACGATATTCGACGCGTCGCGTCAGGTATACATGTACATGAATATTCGTGTGTATATTTATATATGTATATATATAGATATATATACATATAGATATATAAATGTAAGAGAAAAATCACAGTTGAGAGTAATAATAATAATATAACGATATACAATAATAATAACGATGGGTTTTAAATATAATCATAATGAGAAGAATAATAAATCGAAATTCAATCAAATAGTAATAATTAATCGATATAATTAAGAGTGTTACGTAAGAAGTAGCAGAGATGGCAATTAAAAAAGAATGAAGAAGATAAATAAATACGTAAGAAATGAAATTGCCTAAAACTGGGCCAGGGCGGCAGGACGTTCACGGTGAGCTCCTCGTCGGAATCCTGCTGGGACCGTCCGTTTGCGGCCCTGGTCACGCCAATCTGGGGTTCCCCGTCGGTCTTGAACCTTTACGGACAACAGGCCAGCCAAGCAACGATCAACAATCAACAACAATTTACCAGAGATACGGTAGGAAAGTATTGTGGATCGCCCGCTGACGACACACTTCTGCTTTCGCATCTTTTCTTCGCTAATTCATCATCGTCCTTATCGTTATCGTTAGTCTGTTAATAATTAGTAACCGCGCTTAAGTCATCCTGACAGCGTTTGTGCGCGCGTAGTCCTGTGCGCCTGAGCAACGTCTGCAATCCTTTCGTCCGCTGCTAGTTTCTTATACCGAGAAGCAACAGAGAAACGGGGAATCCTGCGACTAAGTTGGGCTCACAGCTGGCCGCTCAAGGCCGCTTTGGTCTTTCACGCGTCGCAACGCCCCCCACCCTTCCTGCCGCATTTCACGGAATCTTAGCTCAGAGAACGAGACGGTAACCGCACCAGCGACCTCAAGCGACCAAACCCTTGCAACTAGGAGGCGATCACGATCAACAAGGACCTCTATTACCAATAACTATCACCTAATGGGATCTGTTTGAAGGAATCGGCTGTTAGACAGAAGCTTGGGGTGATAGAACACGGGAATACGCGCGCACAGAGAACAAAATTTAGTCCAAGATATTGCATCTGCTGGCTTCGTTCAAGATCCTTCATCTTTCCGAAAGCTACATCTTTTTATATATTTCTATAAGATAATTTGAATACCAAATGTAACGCCTTCGACTACGACAACTTCGTTTCTTGTCTGATATCATCGCATGTAGTTACGGAGCGTGTGATGTCAGACCGTTGGTATTTTTAACAGCCTATAAATTAATCTGTTCTTCCGTTTAAAAAATTGAAAACCGTCACGCTCCGACGTTCGAAGATGAAGGACCATTGACGGAAGCGGCGGTCGTTGCACGGAATGGACTCGCGACGATATCCATTCGAGGTCAATGGCAACAAATCTGTCCCTACCTCGACAAAATTTTGCGCACCAGGTGATCCTGCGCTTGATCCAGCTGGGGCTCGTTTTTCCTCCTCTCCGCCAGCTCCTTTTCCCGTCGGACGTCGGCCACCTTCCGGAATATTAGCTGCACAGAACGTTTCCGAAATATAAGCGTCGTCAGAATTACCGCGTTACGACGTGTGGGTAAAACTGCGCGTGTTACAGAGTTGTGCTAATTCGATTATACTGTACTTCAATCACGAAATTTAACTACATTATATTGAAAATCAAACGTACGTGTATTTAAAAAATATTTCATTCGAACTTTCATTTTCGTAATTGGGATCGTAATACGGACTAGACGAAGGATAACATACTTGCTGTTGACCAGTGTATCGATCGTTAATAATTAGAGTGAGCGGTATGGTGCAATTACAAGCGAACCACGAGGTTTTATTTATGGGGCCCGGAATAATTATTTATGCCTTCGTGTACCTTCTACGCTATTATTAATGTACTAGAATGTAACGGACCCTTTATCGGTTTTCCGCCCCTTACCATGTAGGTGACGACCAGTAGAGGTTCTAGGGGTCGAAGACAATTATAATATAAATTTCATAACTGTTAAAAACTACGGAAAGTAAAATGTAGTATATTCCATGATTATTTTGTTATTGTGGCGGCATTTTTCTTGGTTCTAAATCTTATGGAAGTTAACCGTGCATCACTGTATAGTAGAGCTGGGCAAATTTGATTCGCGATTAAGGAATACAAATTTTAGATTAGTTCGTAAACTAACGTTCAGGAGAGCGCAGGTGCGCGTAAATGTTAGTTTCGAAATGAATTTAAAACTTTCATTCGTCAATCGTGAATAAAATTAGCTTTCGCCTTGTTATACGGACACCCTGTATAACACACCAGCGTTCGTCGATCGCGCATGCGCCGCAAGGGCAGTCGATAGGCGCCAGGTAGCAGACAACTCGAACTCCGCTAACCTCAAAATATTTTATTTACCGTGCCGGATCAGGACGGGTCTTAGACTACTTCTTCGATGAGTTTCGGTGTCGAAACTTCGTCCCGGATGAGTCGCGTTCGATTTTGAAAAAAAGTACGCGTCCTAGCGCGTACGTTTACCGTTGTGGTTCATTTATAATCGAAATCTAACAGAGGGGACGACAAGGTGTATGGATTGCTGTGGAGAATATCACTCGTGTTTGAAAGGTTTGGAACTAGCTTTTTCTTTCATTTCTTTGATAAAACGACCTACGATTGTTCGCGCGCAACTATTTCGAACGCAAGCAAGATTACGTTCGCGGACACGAACGAATTAGACAAAAAAAAAATCGCTCGAGTAGATAAGGCGTTCGCTTATCAGACAGATGTAAATTAATAAACGTTTCGCGTTAATGTCTGGAAGAGTATCCGTTGGAAAAGAAATTTGCTTTCGATCAGTTTTCGATCGTCACTATTGAACGAAATAAATTGTTCCAGATGGGTCATGCTTCGAGTCGTTCTGCTTCGTCCGCGAAAATCTTATCCGCGGACGAGCTGACCTTAGTGGAGAACCTCTTCAAGTCGATGTCCCGAAGTTCCGGATCCATAAAACGCGAGGACATATTTAAACACTGGTCGAGCCATTTGGATGATATATTGTTGCAATGTGTGGTGCGGTTCCTCTGTCATGAGCCAGGAAAGAGAGTTTCTGCTATAAGCGGAGAAAACTTTGGTCGTCTGTATGTATTTGCTGTGAGAGGCAGTTCCAAAGAGAGGACCAGCCTGATCTTCAATGGCTTCTCAGAAGAAGAACCGAAACAAGATATATCCACAGCAATGTTCCTCCAGTACGTTCAAGCAACAATAAATTCTTCCCTCAGGCTGCAGAAGAATTCTGGGAATGCGCATTATTTAACTTGGAGCAGCATCGGTTGCACAGTGAATACCAGGCGGATAGGAATGCATTCAAGAAGTTTGTGCGAAGATCTTGTTAAGCATGGAGATACACTGACAGCCGATCAAATTGAAAACTGGTTTGCATCCGCAGCTACATTTAAATTGATCCAATCTCATGTCTTCCAGTGTCTTTTTCTGGTATCTCAGAAGAAAGGGGACAAGAACACAAGCGGTCGAATAAATGATTTGAATCTGCTGCCAGTGTGCAAGGGTTTGGAAAATATACCACATTTCCCAAGTATCCTGGGACTGGGTGATGTTCTGTTTCTGAATTTGAGTTTGCCTTATAAACTTCGCGACGAATGGAGATTTCTATTCTCTAGTCAAGTCCACGGAGAGTCATTCTCCACCATGCTAGGAAGAATTACAATGCAGGGATCCACGATCATAATACTCCAAGATACAGAGGATCATGTATTTGGTGGTTTTGCATCGGATAGCTGGACAATTGGTCCAAATTTTATAGGGAATTCGACTTCATTTTTGTTCAAACTTGAACCAGAGATATTAACATTTTCCTGTACGGGTTACAATAATCATTATCAGTATTTAAATCTTCACCAACAAACTATGCCTAATGGTTTGCTTATGGGAGGACAACTTAATTACCCTGGACTGTGGTTGGATAGCGAATACGGAACTGGTAAATCTAGCCTATCGTGTACGACCTTTCAGAATTATGTGCAACTCAGTGGCAAGGAGAATTTTAAGATCAAACATTGTGAAGTGTGGGGTGTAGGGCCACTACCGGAAGTAGAGGAGAACGTACGTGATCAAAAATCGATATTGGATCAAGATCCTACCTCTAAAGTTATGTTAGAAATGACTGGGCGTAAAATGCACAGCGACGGACTGAGGGAAAAGAAAGAGTAATCGTGGCGTTGAAGGTTAAGGGGTATATACAAATCTGTGTCAGGCTACTTAAAATAACAGCTGTTTAAAACAAGAATCATTGTAAAACAGTATAAATAACTGTCGTTGTCATATCAGTACCTTCGTAATTCGCGTCAAATTATCTTGACATGATCGCGTTTTACAAGTTTATACACGGTTTCTTTTTATTTGCTATTATTCGCCGTTCGAACAAAAAAAATGTCCATTTCGCTGTAACGGCCTGATCTTTCTCGTGCTAACTGTCATATCCAATCGCCAAATCGGTCGTTGTATAAGCTCTTATGCCGTCTACGCTACTTAACGAACACCGTATCGTGATATAGAAACAAATATCACACAAGTTGCTGTGTCTTTTGAATGCCTATTATCTAGTGCCTGGTGAGTCATCAATCATTTTTAATCGAAGTAATTGATACGCTGATCAAAGTCTACTGATGAACGTTGTACAGCATGGATTACTATTTATTATATAAGACTGTGTGTTATTCCTATGTGAGTCGTCGCACAAATGTGTTGACATAGCTCGTCGAAACAATAAAACCAAAGAGAAAATATCGCAACGTTGCTCAGTATGCTGGAAGTTCAATAAAGATCTAAAACTTCGACGAGTTCCCTTATTCTTCCTGATTTATTGTCTTTAATTTATAATAATAGTATATAATTTATGTTAAAATACCTTTGCAAAACTTCTTTTTTAATCCCAACACCGTTCCTTTTCTTATATTACTTATAGTGTAAACGAAACGTGTAAATTTAATTAGAAGTTTACATCTAATATAGGATTTTTTAGTAAGTGCGATAGTATGTACTTTCAATTATCACAGTGCCATATTTGTTATTCGTTTGTTCGAGTCACGTGACATTTGTGTTCAGTAGTGCTTTACAAGTTACTATTTGTCAAAAATTCTTGTTCGAAATGTTTCGTATATTCGAGTGTTTCGTCCTGCTGGATGAAGTGTAAGTGCCTAGCGTAACTCGAAAAACTACAGGGTATGGGGGATTCTAGAGCCCAAAATAAGACAAAAATCAAGAATACCAATTTGTTAACCGAGGCTTCGTTAAAAAGTTATTAACAATTAAATTCAAAAATTTCAAATCATTCTGGAAAAATTATTTTCGGTTGCAGGGGTCAATTACAACCATTTTTGGTGAGTAGACATACCCTCGAAATCTTGCGCATTTTGGAGAAAAAAATTCAGTAGGGGCGGAACTTTAAACGTTAATAACTTTTTAACGAAGCCTCCATCAACAAATTGGTATTCTTGATTTTCGCCCTATTTTGGCCTCTAGAATCCCCCATTAAAATTTTTCCCAGGGGTGACCGAACACCCTGTATAGTCGAATCAAATACAAGAACCAGGGACAACTACGTACATCCATGTTTTCGTTTCGTACACTAAATCAATCTACACACAACACAGATTTACCCACACACCTATACAATTGTGGAATAAATAAATTCTCTAACAAAAACACCCAATAAAAGAACTTCGTTTCTACAATTCACACGCAAAGAAAAATCGGAATTGAATATTTCTAGTGACCAGTTAGAATAGAATGACTCACCCGATGACTCAGGTTGTAGGTTAGGACGAGGTTCCTGGCGAAGGAGTTCGTAAAGGTTTGATAAAAATCCAGGACCTCCAGCAGACGATCCCTCTTGATCGTGTGAAGGTCACAGTAGGTTAGGGCTCGAACGTTGGCAGCGCTCTGGCCCACGGACGGGTTCGTCCAGAAGCTGTCCCCGAACACGTCACCCTTACCAAGAATCGCCACCACCTCGTCGTCCTGTATGACTTCGAGGCTTCCAGTTACGATGAAGCACAGGGAATCGATCGATTCGCCGGTGTGATAAAGTAAATCGCCGGGAGCGCTGTGCGACATTGTAAAATGCATTGCTAACGCGCGCAGGCAACCGTCGGAGGCCAACCTGTGGGTCGAAATAGAATTAACCGCTTTTCGATTGCGGACCCTTTTGTTCTAAAACATCGCAATCCTCGTAGACAATGTTCAGAGCTGCTTACGGGGGTTAGAGTCGGGCAAAATCTAATCCGATTACATTTCGGTGTAATTGTAACTGTAAATCTTTAATTTTACCGTACAATTGAGAATCAATGGCAGGGCAACATTATGCAGAGGGTTCAGGATTGCATTTTGCCCGACTCTGTTAAGGGCACACATCGTCGTTGGAGGGTGTACGTCAACAGTGAAAAACTTGCCTGAACGCTGGGTGTTCGTTGAAGACCTTTCTGTTTAGGTGAACACAGATGTCAGCTTTCATGTCTTTGGGGCAGTAGTTGAGCACTTTGTCCGTATCTAGGCCCTTGGTCATCGCCCAGGTGCTCACAACATAGTCCATGACGCGCTCGCTGAGGGCTTTCGGCACCTCGTGCAGCTTCATGAACTCCCTCACGTTGTTCAGCATGTCGTGGTACTTGGCGGTGGCGGATGTCATTTGCTGGATTATCGTGGTGACGTGACCGAAGATCGTAGCGTACAATAGGGCTATGGACACGAACCAACAATCGATGCATTTCTTTCGTTGCTCGAACAAAATTATTCGTTTTGGTTATGTAATATAACAAGAATATTATGACGCTGCTTCGTTTAGTGGAGGAAGTAAACGAGATAGTAGAAAGGCAGAAGAGGAAAGGAGAGGTCTGCTAACGGACTCATCAGTAAGATGGTCGACCGAGGAGTGCATATACAGGGTGTTCCGCCAACCATAGGAAAAATTTTAATGGGCGATTCTAGTGGCCAAAATAAAACGAAAATCAAGAATATCAATTTGTTAACCGAGGTTTCGTTAAAAAGTTATCAACGTTAAAAATCCGTCTGTGTGGTTCTCACCCACACAACTGTAAGGCTACGTTAGTAGGTAGTTTTGACAAAATTAAAAAATTTCAAATCGTTTTGGAAAAATTATTTTTGGTTGCAGGAGACAATTACAATCATTTTTTGTGAATAGTTGCACCCTCGAATTCCTTCGCACTTTCGAGTAAAAAATTCGAGTAGGTGGACAAATTTTTCGACAAAATTAAAAGATTTCAAATCGTTCTAAAAAAATTATTTTTTGTTGTAGAGTTCAATTAAAATCATTTTTGGTAAATAGACATACCCCCGAAATCTTGCGCATTTTCGAGAATAAAATTCAGGGCGGGCGGAACTTTAAACGTTAATAACTTTTTAACGAAGTCTCCATCAACAAATTGGTATTCTTGATTTTCGTCGTATTTTGGCCTCTAGAATCTCCCATTAAAATTTTTCCCAGGTGTGGCCGAACACTCTGTATAGGAACGGATGGGTCGATCGGGCGCTTGCGAGAGCACGATTCCTCTGGTGGCGAGTACGGGAGGTGACGCCACAAAGTGCACGGCGAGGGAGGATTCGATCACGAGTATATAGTTGAGACCCTTTCCCTAACGGGGAGAACGCAAGTCCAATCGATTCGACGGATAGAGTAGGCTAGTTAAGGGCTAGTAAAGGGTCGTACCAGCGATGATCATCATGCAAATGGTAAAGATCTTTTCGTTGTCGGTCTCCGCGGCGACGTTTCCGAAGCCCACCGAGGTCATGCAGGTCATCGTGAAGTACAACGCGGTGACATACATGGTCCTCCTCGACGGGCCAGCCACGAGCTCCGGCGCCGTGCTGGTATTGGTCCACAAATAGCTGTACGGTGATTGGGTGACGTTCGCCAGCTTCCACAGCCAGGAATACTGAACTCCGTTGTCGGCGTCCGACCTTCCTATCGAGTACCTTAATCAACGAAACAAAACACTTATTAAGTGGATGGAATACCGCGGGGTGTGCACAGCCACGAGATCAGACAGTGAAGGGCGATGTTCTAACTGCATGAAAACAAGCACGTCTCATGCTTTTTCTATTTGCTAATTGTTAAGCGTTCTCGCATTCCGCGCGGTCTAAATCGCTACAGTAGTCTCTCGCCTAAAGACAGAACTAAAAGGGTTCAAAATAAACCTGAACACTATCTTATTCCAAGTATTTTTAAATTAAAAATTATAATTAAATATATTACAAATATATACATTTTCATCGAAAAACTTTAGCTCATCGATTAATATTATTTTTATAAAGTCGCGATGGAAAATGTAAAAAATTTGAATTCACATTATGGCACATCGATATACGGCCCTGGACAAAATCGAGTATAACGTTAAGCGAGGGATTGCTGTATCTCCTCTTCGCCTCCATCCGTCTTTCCGTTCTCGACCGAGATATCACTTTTGTGTTCCTTCGCGTTGGATTTCGTACTCTGTGTCGTTAGACGAGCGAGATCATGGTCAAAGACTCAGAAACGCGGCACCTTTGGAAACGAAGAGGTTTGCCAATTAAAATATTACAGCGTCTCTTGCAAAGGCTCGCCCCTCGTATTGTTGCGTCCTTCCCCCTTCCTCTCCCTCCAAAGGGAAGGGGGAGGGAAGGGGAACGACGAAAAAAAAACGGGTCTTTGTCGTGGCACGAGTGGAATTTTAGCATCGTCGAAAGTGGGAGGTGGGTGGTGTTCGTTTTTTTTTTTTTGTTCCTCTAACTCTCGAGGGAACTTTTTGTCTTCGAAGATAACCTTAATTTCAAGTACTACTTCGTTCGTGACGCTTCGCGTGGTAGGAGCTAAAATAATTAAGAAGCGTGTTGGAAGAACTATACAGCCTCGGGATGCAATGTTTCTTCTGGTTTCAACAGTGTGACGGGTTAATGTTTCCTTTCGATTCTTGGCACGCAGCTGGTCCACTAAGTAACGTAAACATCGTTACTATTCTAAAAGCTGCAGCAACCTCGTTTCGTACCGGGGTGCATCGACGTATCTTCGATTATTCATTAAAAATTAACTCCGTCGCCGAATTATTGATTTTGTCTCGCACGAGTATCTTTGCGCGACAGTAAATCGGGTCACTAAAACTTTGCTTGTGCACATTAATCAATCGAACCGGGTTTGCAAAGATCTGTCGACCCCGATCGAAGCGAGACGCCATACAGAGTCGAGCAAGTCTTATTTTTGAATAACGAAGATACATATATGAGCGGAAGGTCGAGTGTAGCCCTCTGGTGGCGAGTACGAGAGGTGTTGGGTTAGAAAACGCCACAAATCAAAGAGTTAAAAAGAAACGTACACGTAAGTTACTTCGCGAACGGTTCTAGAAATTTGTCTTCGTTATTCGTAAATGCAATTTGCTCGAGACTTTGGCGGGGCACAGTTGCCCGAACGGCATTGTGTTGTTTCGTGTTCGTGCGTCTGTGTGTTGTATGCGATGCGACGTTACGTCGGGAAATGCGATGGCGTCGAGGTTATCCGTCAATCCTGCCGCAGGCTGTGTTACCTTTTTGTGTGTGGGCAGGGTAAAATCACCTTAAAGTGACGTACCAGACACAGGCCAGCCAGTGAGCAACCAACATGTAGAAACAGAGCAGGAGAATGAGCATCGCGGCTCCATACTCCAGATACCGGTCTAGTTTGCGAACCACGCGACCCAGTCGGAGCAGACGCACCACCTTCAGGGCGGAGAACAGGCTGCCAATCCCGTCCTCGTCGTGGTCGAACGCGTTGAACACGTCGTACGGAAGGCAGCTGAACAGGTCGATGATGAACCACGATTTCAGGTAGTTCATCCTGATCACCTGGAACCGGGCATCCAAGCTTTTCAGCGTCTTCCACTTGCTACAGTTTTTTATTCAACTACATCTGCTACTATTTATGTACAGTTGCGACGGTATCTATTGGGGATCCAGGAACAATTACCTTTGGGTCGGACACCACCTCACCGCCAGGACCAACGAACGTTGTGTGAAAGTTGAGGACAATGTCGATGAAGAATATGACGTCGACGATACTGTCGACGACCAACAGGGATACGTCCTCGCTGGTCTTGTTTTTGAAGGCGACGTTGTAGGGTACCATGATGGCCGTGTAAAAGGTCAAACACAAAATGATCCAATCCCAGATCGCCTTGAACGCGCAGTAATGTAACAAAATGTGAGGCGGAGTCTTCGGCGCCTCTTGTCTGTATTGCGGCATAACGTCGCTGCTTAAAGACATCATCTAAACAGAGTAATAAACGTATGGTATTATGGATCATGTTTGCAGACTCTCGGTGCTCTTATCTAGTCCAGCCAACGAAGTTCGAATAGAAAGAATAAGCAGAGAATATTCTATGAATATATTTGTTAAGATATCCATGACTTTTTAGAGGCGGGGGCTATCGTCTCCATCGCCCCTGGATCCAGCCCTGGCAAGGACCTATAATCTACCATAGTGCAAAAGTAGGTTAAAATCGGAACGGTACAGGTTGAGAGCTTCTTTGCTTTTCACTGCGAGATATATTTAAATACCCAACGATTACGTCCATTCAGCAATCTCCAAAATGCGCGGATGCAAATTCTCCGCGGATCCGCAAAAGTTTTCATGTAAATCTCTGTCGCGAGAGCGAACGAAGATCGGACAGAATCTAAATCTTTCTTAAATCCTCGCGAGTTTGAATATAAATGGATGCACCTGAACGTAACAAATCGACCTGCAATGCGAACCACTTGAACCCCGTTCGATCAGGGTGGCAGGTGGGGGATACTATCGGGGGTTAGTAATAAATACAATAGTACAAAATACTCGAACTATTTCTTTCGTTCCTAACCTTCTATCTTGCTTGACTTGACCAAACATTTAATTTAAACGATTTAAAATTAGTTTCGTTTACACGTATATATTTGTCTTTGTTGTTTTAAATCGGAAGAATAGAGAAAGACGTACGATCGTCCGTTAAGAAATCGCTCGTCTGGTCTTTCTTTTTTGTCCACTCTTGTCTTTCCTTAATTCTTGGAAGTCGGACGACTTCGAACGTCGAACGAGACGAGACGGTTGATGAAATCTGAGACGTTCACTATCTCTGTTTGCAGCTGCCGGCTGTTCTATCTCTCTCATATTCATTGATTCGTAGAAATCGCCTCGTCCCGATGTCTATTTATAAATGCCCGTGCTTCGTCTTGGCCGTGTTCGACCGTTGAAGTTTTTATTTATATATACATATATGATCGAAACAGGTCAGAGATTTGTCCCATGGAAAACATGCGACTCAATTACCCACAGTATCATCGTATGTAATATTGTTCATGGTGGACTTACATGAGCTAAATGCGACTGTTTCCCGGTAGTCGGTATCGCGGAATCCTTGAGGGCTGGCAGGTGGGAGCTGAACTGCGAGACGAGAACAGACCTGGACCTGGTCACCGATCTGGCGAGCTTCGCGAATTTCGAGAGGCCACCCTTGCTGTCGTCCGCCTCGATCGGCTGCTTCAGGGCGGTGATATCCCGGAACGTAAGGAGGAACAGGACCACCAGGTCCCGTTCGTTTTTTATCGGCGCTATTTGCAGAAGCAGCCATAGTGGTTTTTCTGTGCATCAAGCAAAACGAGACACATGTCACTCGTTGGGAAACGATGGGTATCGCGTATCAACGCTAATCTATGATCAGCTAGTGTCTTTTAATCAAATAGATCATCGATCTAATTTAGCCGTTCTCGTCCCCTATGGAAACGGGCCTTAAACCGAACTCCTTGCAGGAAGTCCTCGACTCTTTTATAATATCCGTCCACTGCTCTAATCGATAAAAACATCGCGTAACGTCGTCGTCGTTCCTGCAAGGCACGCACTATCCTTATCGCTATCTATCATGCTGCAGACTCCGAAAGCTGTTGCTAACACGCCAACAAGTAACGGCAAAATACGGTTTACAGGCATGGCGGTCAACCACAGACCTGGGCACCGGTCGAATAAAATTCCATCGAAACGATGAAATAACAATCGATTTACAAAAATGTTTTAACACTGGATTTACTGGTTTCAGATTCCACGTTTGAAGCTGCAGAACTCGTAAATATTATTCTTTAGCAATTTATGTCAAATTTGATCGATCTAACGATAAATATGTATTTATATTGACGTAATGATCAACGTAAAAATTCCGTCCAAAATCTGAGATAAGACTGAAACGTTGCAACAGTCGTTTCTTGATTTCGTTTCAAATAAAATGTACCCAAGTCTGGCCAATTATACGGATACAGTGGTCAGAGAGCTAACAGAGTATAGGCTAGCGAAGCTGGGTGCGCAATACAAAGCCGTGCTCCCCGAAAAGAACCCGTCTTTCGCGGGTGAAACTAAACTCATGCCACCATGCAAATGAATATCGGTGTGTGTCGGGTCCAGAGATTGGTGCAACTGGTCGGTCATCACATTTCAATGGGCTTTGATAGCAAAGCGAATAACGGCGTTTCGTGCAGTGCAAAATCTGTCATTCCGTGAAACATCAAGCGGTGCTCAATCGGGTCTATGTGGACGGGGTTGGACTTTTTTGATCTATGCGAAGATTAGAATGTCGACAGAATGTCGAAATGGGGTGCACTAGGCCGGCGAAAAACTTGTCCGTGTCACCACGGATGCGTGAAAATCGTCGATGAAAACCAGTGATCTTTTATACAGGGTATCTTTATAACTCTGTTCCAAGCAATATTATACAGGTTTTGCACTAAAAATTAACCTTTTTATAAGTCAAATTCGCCCTTTTTCAAGGAGAATATGGTAACCTAAATAATTAAAACAATATATCGATTCCTGCCAGAATCGAACTTCTTTTATTCTTCGCTATAGTATGGACGAATTTTTAGCGGTCCAGTGCACGAGTAAAATGTAAAATAAGTGGATGCAGAGAATTTGATAAAAAGAAAATCAATCGCTAATGTTTCGTGCCTATTTTCTTATGAGAGGAAGATTGATTTTTACAGTCTCGAAGTATTTCGGTGATAAAAGATAACAATAGATTAGAAAAAATCGGTTTTTCGTCGTAGTGCCAGATAATAAAGGAGGGGGGTGGGGGGCTGTTTGGTTACACTGGTTCAGGTTTGTACTATAGTAATCCTCCTAAAATACACTAACGTGGTAAAAAGTATTTAAAGTGGCGGTATATTGTACAAGTAAGAGTATAGTGTGTATCATGGTGGTTGAGTTTTCAAGTAGACGCAGATGCTGGCAGATTGTTGGGAGATGTTGGTGAATTGTACTATAATAAATGACGCTACAATCGAAACCTCTGAAATATGTGATCCTCGCGAGTAAAAATGTTACAAAATTTTGATTGCATAACCCTTCGATAACATTTTTTATTAATCGATCGATTAGAAAAATATCACACTGAATATTCCCGCAAATTATACGTAACAAATTTGTTACATGATAGTTTTACATGTACTGAAAATAATGGTAGTGTAGTGATCGTAGATACTATAATAAATACACAACATACGACGTAAACCTACAGAAATGTAATGTTGTAGCAGCTGAAACTATAGAATCACGCATACGTGTAACTGCTGGCTGCTGAAGTCACGTATACGTGACGACGGCCGTCAACGTGACAAAATCTACGCGAGATTCATGATCACTCATGAATGGACTTAAATTTTCTGATTGAATCGAAATTTGGAACCAAAGAAAATGTTAAACGGAGGACAATCGGAGGTCGATAAGGACAGTCTTATTCACAAATCTTCGAGGTGGGGGGAAATATCTCCCAACAGCTCCCAAAAAGTCCGTGACATCCTGATTCCAAATTTCTCACTCTCAAACTATCGATCGTAGATAGTTTACGATCGTTCGACGACCGTTTTTGTCGTTTTCGTCTTCGGTTCGACAATGTCGCTCGACTAAGCGACAAATTTGCGTTACGAACCCGAGAATCGTCGAATCGGTGCATTGGCCGTGTGACTACAACGGAAGGATAAGCATCGACGAGAGCGACGAACCGTCGAGGATGATAAAAAAAAAAAAAAGGAATTTCTCTATAGCACTCTATAACCTTAGGCGGCTAAAATATTTTTTGATCGTTTATCGTTTAGCTGTCCTCGTTTGGTTCGCTTATTTCTCTCACGGATTACTTGAATTTGCCTGGCGATACTGATCAGTAGTTAGGGCTAATTAACCTCTAATCTGCGTCGTTTTGGCATTGATAATGTTCGCTCAGCGGGGAATCATTTTTAATTTTGCAAATTATTAATCGGAAAGAATAAAGACCGCGCCATATGGTACGTTCCGCAATAATCCATGATTTTACAATCGCACCACACGTTTCGTTCCGCAATTAAGAGGTTAAGAACGAATCAGGAATAATTAGGCTGCTTGGAGACGCGCAGGGTTTGTAATCTTTTTCAAAATTTTCCGTTCGATTTGTTTAATTTCATTTCCATTGAATTTTCGATGACGATTGAAAGCACCGCGTTAGTATTGATAATTTTTATTTTTATTTTCTTTAGTCGTTCGAATCGTTCGCTTCGGGTCACGTGACGTTAACATTGTTTACACTTTATACAATCTTTTACAACGGTTTTCGCGTGTCAATAATCTTTCCACGCGTCCTCAAACTTCACGGATAACCGTATCGATCGCTTTCCGAGAATTACCCTTTGTAAATTTATTTGCATACATATAAAAAGAAAGACGAAAATAAAAGTACCCACGTAGCGATTCGAGCAGTTTCTCAGGATCGAAAATATTTAAAAAATTTAATGTACGGAATAACAACCTGTGAGACAGAGTTATTTTAAACAAATACATAGCTACATTTAAAATAGGTATTTACGACTTCGTAAAATCTTGAAAAGTATGACCCTGAAATATATTGTTTTCTCATCGGAATGTTTATCGCGTCCAAACAAGTAATGTTTTCCTCCGACAGTTTTTCGTGTTGTCGTAAACAAGTTAGATATATAAGGTGTTCAAATAATTTGAAAACAAGTTTTTCATGTTCAAGATTTCAAAGAAATCAAATCGATTTTTGCTAACTTTAAAACTAGAAGATCTCCTTGGATGGTCAACCCTGTACATAATTGTTAAATTTGATAAAGATGTTACGGAAGGAAAAGAAACGTGGCAATTTATTATCTCCGTGGATCAGATCGTTGCGTCGATGTGTGTTTTCACGAGGGCAAGGACATCCAATGATAAATGTCCTTCGAGCGCGTACATTTTTATCAATTCCCATCCCTCTTTTCTGCTTCGTGATCACTGTCGCCCTTGTTTCCCCCCACACCCTTCCCTCTTTCGTTTGCTTTAATCTTTCTGTTTCACCGTGTCTCCGTTTCCATCTTTGATTCACGACGTTGCTTTCGTTCCCGACAATCGAACGAATTTACTTTGAACATTCGTCGGGGGCCGAACCGCGCTCGAGGCTCGATTACAAACCCTGAACGGACGGGCGCGAAGACTTTCTAAAGCAGTGTTTCTCAAACCGTGGTCTGCAGAGGTCTATATGCTCGAAAAAATAAAAAAAAAAAATATTATACAGGATATCCTATCTTAAATGCTTTTCTATACTTTGACGGTACGAGAAAGTGCCAGAAAAAAATATCACTTGTTTAGAAAAGGCAAATATACAGGATGTTCGGCCACCCATGGGAAAAATTTTAATGGATGATTCTAGAGGCCAAAATAAGACGAAAATCAAGAATACCAATTTGTTGATGGAGGCTTCGTTAAAAAGTTATTAACGTTTAAAGTTCCGCCCGTACTGAATTTTTTTCTCGAAAATGCGCAAGATTTCGGGAGTATGTCTACTCACCAAAAATGATTGTAATTGATCCCCGCAACCGAAAATAATTTTTCCAAAACGATTTGAAATTTTTTTTTCCGTCGAAAAAGTTTACACCTTCTCGAATTTTTTTCTAGAAAGTGGGTAGGATTTCAGGGTTATGTCTATTCACCAAAAATGATTGTAATTGACCCCCGCATCCGACAATTATTTTTCCAGAACGATTTGAAATTTTTTCTTTCGTCGAATTAGATTTTCGGTAAGGAATTTTTTTCTCGAAAATGCGTAGGAATTCGGGGGTATGTGTAATGACAAAAAAAGATTGTAATTGACCCCTGCAATCGAAAATAATTTTTTTAGAATACCCCATTAAAATTTTTCCCAGGGGTAACCGAACACTCTGTATATCACAAACATGCAGATAGCGAATTTTATGATGGATTAAAATGAATGCAGTAAAAATGTTTCGTGTATAAATTCCCACTTTCTCTTCAGAGAGGTTCATACGAAGGAGTTTGAAAACCACCGACGCAGTTTGCGAAAGAGTGGTGTTTGAGAAACACTGTTCTAAAGGATCGGGGGCAAAGGCGTCCACGAGATTATCCCTGGACGCGAAGCTGGTATCGCCTACGGACACCCGTACGCATACGTATGTACTATTTACGAGTGTTTCTAATCGGCAAAGAGACTCGTGATTACTCTGTCAACGTCGACTCTCTAGTTCTCCACGAGTCGCTGGTTAATTTGCAACATCCTCGCCAACGCTTCAATTAAGACGAAACACACGGACAATATACTTTACAACTTGCGCACCTAACCCAGCGAACATCTTCACCGGCGTCACGTGACTCGCGACGCGCGATGTAATTGACATTTTTAATCAATTTTCGTTTTGTTCTCGACGATTTCGCTACGATTAACTACGAGTGATTTTTAGGTTATGTACCCCCATCTATCTACAGTTTCAAACATTGATTGCATCTTTCTTTTATCAACGCACGCCATGTTGTTTCGAAGCAATATGGCCGGCTAGAAATTTATTTAAAACATCGTCTTACAAGATTAATTTAATTAATTCAATGATAATTTAGTTGGATTATTATCTTTTCTAAATATGTTTCCTAACCTATACAAAAATTTTCGTTCACATTTAAGATTCACAATATTTATACTGGTTTCAAGTAACCGGAATTGGAAATTTTGTTAATAAATTGAGTAGCCTATATATCGAGAAATACGCACATTGCTTTAAAGTTACGAAATAAGTTACGAAATAAAAGAGAAGAGGAAGATTGTTCGTCGTAGCGAAATCGTCGATACGTTGGTAGCGAATGTTCGCCAAGCTGGTGAAAGGGACAATTATCTGCGAAACGTATACGCGTTTACGTGTATAATACTTGTACTAGTACTTAGTTAGGATAGAATCGGGGAAAATTAACTGAAATCAAGAGAAGGCGGGAGGCTGAATAGTGTCCTCTCAATATGGCCGCCCTTTGGTCCAGGGATCGTTCGACGATCCTTGAATGTGTGTCGTCTCTTGTTGACGCTAAAGATGGGTGTATAATAATCATATACAATATATCTCCAATGTACATATGCATTAAATATCTTAACGTACATGGTGCCCCATCGGAAACGGAACATTCAATCGGCTCATTTACTTTTTACGATTCGAAAAAGTGTTTCAGGTGTATCTTGAATGGTTTCAATGAGGGGAGGAGGAGGGAAATATTCCGTCTCACCATATACGCATTGTCTGATCACTGAAATAATGTCTGAAACATTTGTTCGCGTCGTCGAAAACAAAGGAGACAATTAGTTGTTCTCTTTCTGATAAGACACTCTGTATATATTTATGTATATGAATATATATGTATATATATATAATATATATATGTATATAGAATTATAAATTATTATCGTGTTTGTATAGTTAGATTCGAGAGTGACTTACTGGTGGGTCTTTCGAGCACTCTTTTGCGAACCTGTGCTAGACATACCTCGTGGGGCACCTTTAAACAGAACGATCATTTATTATTGGGCTCGGCTGCAACGAGCGTTCGTTTACCGTTAGACGGTCGTCGTTATTGATCACTGACGATTCTTTTAGGCTACTCTCACAGTTGATGGGTGTTTGCACGAACTGTGCTTCGTGCAATACATAGACCTAGAGATTAGTGCCTGCATTAAATGTCGAGGTATCTACACAAGGAGTGCAAAACACGAGGTAAAGATAGGACTAGTGCTGCCTCTAGTAGCCCAGTGTACCCTGTGATGGGTCATAGAAGTCTTCGTTAATTTTAAGCAATTGTATATTTTAGAACCTTGGGGGCGATCGCCGTCATCGTCTTCCCTTTGGATCCACCTATGGCCACAAACTCTACAGTCGGAACGACTCTGTGCGTGTTCTTGCGAATCACAGTGCGCACACAGTCACGCGTTCGCTGTGAGAATAGCCTTCAAGTGCCAGCGGAACCGAGTCCGCCCGAAAATAGCCGAACGACGGACACGAATGTTAACCGAGCTTGGGGTGTCGTGCGACGATTGCAACGCGACCGTAGGGAGTCGAGATTCTACTCTCGTTATCCTCATCGCGGCGATAAAACGTACGCACGCGATTCTGAAGGGCGGAGAAAAAAAAAATTAAAGCGAAACAAAGGCACGGAAGAACGTGAAACACAAATTGCATCGATGAAACGAGAGAAGTATGGCTCGTGAATGGTGACGCGTTTATCGATAGAGGGAACGCGCGACACGAATGAAATGAACGCACGGCATAAAAACAGTTATTTTTTGACATTGTTTGTGGTTGATTCTCACTGGCGCTCGAGGGGGCGTTCACGGCTAAGCGGCGCTCACGCCAAATGCATCGAAAATAATATTTTCGCGTTCCCGAATGTTTTAACACAAACGGTAAGTATCGTTTGCGGTTAGTTTTCAAGATACCGTTGTTGGAAATTCATTAGAATTAAAAAACAATACGTTGACCCAGTCCAAGTAACAGAAGATTCTAACGCAACGAAATATTTGATCTATTTTGATTTGCACGATGTTTCGAATGCCCCGGAACGTCTAATAATAATTAACCCTGGAACAACAGCGTCGTAATATGTTCCGTTGAGCGTGAGCATTGCTTTGGCCGTTACGTCCATCGAGCGCTAGTGGGTATCAAGCTTTGCTGATACACGAGGCGAGATCAGGCGACACCAACGAACACGTGTAACACGAAACTCGAAGCCGAACGTGTATATATCGACACGGACGAATGCAAAACAATTTCCTTTCGCTGGTCGACCAGCGTCGAGCATGCACAATGATACATCATCTCGCGCCTCGAGGCGTTCTGTCAAAATCGCTCGCCGAGAGTCAACGATTTCTTATCGCGCTCCTGGCGTTTCTCGATGCTCCCTTGCCCCCGTTAAAGCAGCCGTAATACTTTTCACGAATTTCACTCGCAGTTGTCTCACACAGTGTGGGCTTGTAACATTTTTGACTTGATAGAGTCGTTGCTGACGAATCGAATCTACAATATTACGACTCATGCTATGGCCATGAATTCATCGCGAAGAAACCATGGAACGGGGGCAAAGGATCCGAAATCGTCGATCCCGAACCACGAAAGAAGCCACGAACACCACATTCAAGCGTCTCCCATGCCGCGGCGCTGCCAGTTACGGTACTTACTGTTCTTCTTGTACAGCAGGATTTCGAATTGATCGTGAATCTGGCTCTCGAGGCATTCCTCGATCCTGGCGATCGTCCCTTTGTCCGTCAACTCCCCGTACATGAATCCGCAGCGGCAGGACTTTTGCATAACCTGACGACAGATCAGCAAATATTACCCATTTCGGGTCGTTTGCTGACGCGGTGCAACATTGCCTCGCTCGTTGCAATCGAATCGGGGCTAGCCCAATTGCGAGCTGAGAGGTTTGGGCGGGAATTTATTCCAGGAATTGGTCGAGCTCAAAGGAAGGAGATGGGTTCGGTTGCAAGTAGAATCTCGAGCTTTTGAGCTCGATCACTAACGATATACGATTCCTCTACTTCGAAATAAAAAAAAAAAAAATGGCTACCGTTCTCGAGTAATCAAAATAAATGTTAAAATTTATTCGATTAAATTCTTTTTTTCTCGTGATCATTAAGTTGTTCTTTTTTCGAACAAGTTCGTTTTGCATTACTTTTTTTTTAGAGAATGGTCGTAACACCGTTATCAGACTTTGATTACCACGAACGACGGTCATGGCCGCCCGCGTGCACATTACATAAATTCGACGTAACGGGTCGATTTAATTACAGGAGAAAGGATAATGGAAAAGTGGTAATTGCACGGAATCGTTGCTACCGCGGTACCTCTCGATGGTCCCCGCCTCGTGTTTTTCCACGGTTTGTTCGTTAAACCCTCGCGCGTGCAGCTAATGCAGGGAACTGGATCGAAATTGGCGCGGTTATAATGTACAATTTACATTAAACCGATTATGTTTACGCGGATACTTGAAGGTAATCGGATCAACGGTGGCAATTTCCGTTGGATAAAATTAATCGTCACGCGGGATAATGCGGGTGAAACCCATTTTGCGAGGATTACGAGCGGTACGTCGTCGAAGATCCACGCGTTCCGTAACGTTTTTTCACGTTGAGATTCGGCATTGCAGAAGCATTGGACGATTCTGCGTGGAAAAACGAATCGAAAACGTAGAATGAAATTTTGTCACAGGGTTCTCGGTTTTCGAGTAAAACGGGTTTGAAAATTGGTTTGATACACGTTTTGCGTTTCAAATTTTTATTAAAAAATGTTGAATAAAAATTTCTGCGCAAGGAACCACTAACCAATGTAGTTTACAATACCTAGAAAAGCGTTAAAAGTGTCCGATCGCGATCGGATTTTCGAAAACCAGAATCGCTCGTGTAAATCGGTAATCGGCTCACGAAAAAGGAAGAAGAGAATTTAAAAGCGATGTACGGGCAGACGAGACGACGGTGAGGGGAAAGAGCGGTTCAGTGAAGCAACGATTGCGGAGAAGAGAGGATTACCTCGGCACGATTATAGCCAGAGATTTTGCAAAAGCTTTCGTTGCAATAGACAATAGGGAAGTCGACGATCTGAGCGTTCGCCAGGAGAAAACTGCTGTCAGCTGTGAACAGAAAAAGAATAACAATCGATTACGTAATTGTTTCATTTCGCTTCTATCATTATGTTTCAACCCAACGTGTATCAACAGTGTTTAAAGGGAACAAAGAGATGTAATAATTTCACGTCTTGAACAATTGAATAACTATTAATTAATTACCGATCAAAATCGGAACTGATCGGTGGTCACATAATGAAAAAAATTATTTTACATGGAATGATCATTGTAAAGTTATACATTGAAATGTAATACAAATGGAAGCGTATCATAGCAATTAATTTTCGAAATATCGTATTACCATTATTCGATTACAATTATTATTGTTATCCTCGTATTTGTTAAATTTGTATCTTCTCCCTTAATTTATAATATTCAGCACGGTCCATCGACTATGGAAAATTCATCGGACTGTAACCTCAAAATGTTATTAATTATACAGGGTGTTCGGCCACCCCTGGGAAAAATTTTAATGGGGAATTCTAGAGGCTAAAATAAGACGAAAATCAAGAATACCAATTTGTTGATGGAGGCTCCGTTAAAAAGTTATTAACAATTAAATTCAAAAATTTCAAATCGTTCTGGAAAAATTATTTTCGGTTGCGGGGGTCAATTATAATCATTTTTTGTTATTACACATACCCTCGAATTCCTACGCACTTTCGAGAAAAAAATTCCTTACCAAAAATCTAATTAGGTGCCTAAATATTTCGACGAAAAAAAAAATTTCAAATCGAACACCCCGTATATGACGCTCGGATCAGTTTCCAAGCGTTGTTATTGGTTTATTTATCTCATATGGATCAGTTTTTCACCTACCAGTTTTTAATTTACATTCCTCTTGATAAAATAAAAAAAAAAAAACGAAACATCAATTTTCAGAAAATAATAATTTCATACTCGTTGGTTTAATATCGAAATGCAATGGCGTTTTTAATACGCTAAATATGCGACCGCTCGTTCACCAGTTTTTTTTATTATTAAAGTCGAATAGTTCCTGTTTTCTCATTTGTTTGCCATAACCCCATTGCCGGCTTAATTCGTCGCCAGTCTAACTGGCTGCATCTCCATGGTTTCCTTCGGTTTATTTCGCTGCCCCCTCCACCCACGACTCCACGACAGAGCATCTGCAGCCGCGACGTTTAATAATAAAACGTCGCTTTATAAAGCGCGGACCGCTTTGCGGGCAATGCAGGAAAAGGATATTAATATTTTTCTGCTGAGCGAGACTCGATTCCCTCTGTCGGTAATATTGAAAAACGAAGCAGTTTTTCCCACTGGCTACGACAGGCAGGATTAGCTCCGTGCACTCCGCGCAATTGGACTATACGTTGGTAGTCGACTCCAAGAAATTATCCTTAGATTTCTAAATTACTTACTGGCCACAAAAAAAAATCTTTTATTACAGTTCAAATTTTACGCGACGTCCGTAATACGTGCAAGTATCATGCAGTCCATGGTCCAAGGATTACACAACCCGTAGCTATAATATTTCGACTCACTTTAGAATCCCTTAAATCAGCCGAGTATTTCTTTTACAGCTGGCCATAAATCACGGGGCGACGCGAATTAACACAGGGTAGTTGGTCGTAATGTCTTTCCTGGCGCAACGCGGTCTGCACCATGTTTCACGCCGCCAGGGCCGGCGTTAGAAATTATTAACGCACCGATAATTCATATTCAAGTATCCTCCACTAACTCGTTTTATACGGAGAAAATAAATGAGACTTGAATTTTTAAGTTGGACGACCTGCCGTCGAGCTTGGTTACAATCTTTTTAGAAATTTACTAGTTAATAATTTCATCTGTTCGTACGGAAAGCTAGACTAGAATCCCCCATAATAGGCGCCCCTGCGATCCGCGAGACAGCGAGTTGCAAACTCGAGAAATCGTAATCGATTAAACCTTCGCGAATAAGTTGCAACGACCAGAAACAAGATCGTGTTTATAGTTCGTAACGAACTGCGTTTAGCCGACGAAGCTTGGGACGACGCGACCTTCGGAGTTTTTCCTTACGTTTCCTCGACGTTTGCCATTTCGAAACGGCTCGTGCCTCGTCGGGACGATAACGATAATCGCGGCTATGCCTGAGTTAACTCGGGTTTCCGTGCACGCCAGTCGAACAGAGCCCCGCCATTCGCTACAGTCGCGCGTCTGCTCGTTCAGAACGCACACTCCTGACCCGGTCTCAACGCTCGAAACAGGTCAAGGCCACTCACATCGACCTTATGCACCTCCTACGCGACCGATTCGCGGCAATAGGATTCGAACACTTCTTCGAATCGGTTCGAATTTAGTATTATTGAAATTTGATCCAACTTTGGATGGTATTCGATTTTACATACGTGTCTGCGTGACATAGGTTTGTTTAATAACTCATAACAATAACAATAAACAATAAAATATCTTACACTCGTTTAGAAACGCCAATTAGAATAATTACATCCAAGTAAAAATATTTAAAGTGTGAACGTGGCATTAGATTCAGCCGTTTGGATCGCGGATAGGTGTCGCCAACCGTGTAGTGTATAATGTTCCCGCGATTAAACGTTGTTCTCTGTCTCGATCATCCTAAAATAGAACGTCAGGGATCCTCGACCGACCGGGCCAGACAGAAGTGCGCGCGCCAGCTAGGGAAGAGCGGCGAAAGAAAAGACGGTGGTATAGCAGACGTTGCAACAGGGAGGCACTTTTGATCGAGTGTCCCCTCGAATGGCGGCTCTTCTCCTCGATAGTCTCTGAACGGTGTATCCTCGAATGCAGCCAAGCGCGTGGCGGCTCGCTCGCCAGCAGGCCTATGCAACAGGGGCTCGAAAGAGCTCGTGGTTTCTCGAGAAGGTTGCCAACTGGTGAGCACTCGGGGCCAAACGTGTCAATTAAACGAAGACCAGGATATACGATCGTCGACGAATACTCGACGCTGATCTTGAGGAAGAATATGATTGGTCGCGTGGGCTCGCGGTTGCCAATGGAGGACGAATCCCAAGGCTTGAAAGAAAGATAGGAATCTAACGAGTATCGAGTGTTGCTTCCGAGCCTCAGATGTTGATACCTCGAAACGTTGCCAGCTGTACCCTTCGGCAAGTTTGCCAATTCTGCATAAACGATGGTTAGATAATTGAACATCAATCTCCGGGAGATCAGCGAAGAACGTTATTGTTATAATAAACTTGATTAAGATTTAAGTTCTGTGTATATTTCTTTCGAACATCGTAAGTTCCAAATGTGATAATAAATTTTCTTCTTCGATTGTACCTAACCCCACTAAACCCTCTCCTATTGATTATTTTTTGAAATTTTATAATTTATGAATATATAATAATTAAAACAGAAAAGATATTTTTCGTTCGAATATAATGTCGTGTCCTGATCGTGGATTTTTAATGCGTTCGTCAGTATAGGTTAGAATGAATTCGATTCAGAAAAGCGGGGCGTCTCTTGAATATGGATGAGATTAACAGACTGATGTAAGAGAACGTTCCAAGTCCCCCCAGCGATAAACAGGCCTCTTTTGGCCTGCAAGGATCAACTTTTAAGAGCCCTCAAAGCGTTTCAAGTTCGCATTCTTTTCTGAGAGATACTGTTAGCTCACTCACGGGGGAAGGACCTCAACTGCATATAACACTTCGATTTCAATGATATTCTGTAGGATGATAGAATGTTCATTTTTAACGATATGTGGTAAACAATCGAATAGTTTGTTATATGGAAATTGACACTGGACACGCTGTATTTGTTTATACGAACGTAAAACAAATAAATCGTCGCTGTCAACACATACGTGGCGCTGAATCCGAGCGACACGCGTGTGTGACGTGTGGCAGTGACGTGTTAAATAGATACATATACTCTATTGAGGTTAGGTTCAATAACAGCACCTAGCTGCACCTTCCTTTTCACGCGTTTATACGTATCGACGTTTGAACCAGCGTTTCTCAACCTCTATTAGCTCAATGTCCCCTCGTCAATTTGATTTACATTTGATTATTTTCGTACGAATAATATATATTGAAAAACTTGAAAAATTGCATAGTTTTAGTTTTTTTTTTTATAGTTCCCTCTGTATTCGTTTCTGTGAAATGAAACCCACTAAATTGACACTTAAATACATCCATTTGCGCAATGAAATTGCTACTTCTATTTATTGCACTATAAAAACCACGGGGAATAGCATTGCAGAGGGAGCTTCGTACGAAAGGAACAGTTAAAACGAATGGCGCGTGAGTTTCAGCTCGGGAAATTGCTCCTTCTTCCCTTGATCAGCTGGATAACATCTCGACGGTAATCTTACATCGCCAGAAGTCGACGGAAATGCGATATTTCTCCGTCGACCGGCACTTATCTCCCATTTTTCGCGAAACGATTTTACGAGCATCCGGTTGGAAGTTCCGGGCAACTTTGTTGCAGGAAACCGTACACGGTCCATTGTGGAAAATTGATCGAATTTAAAATTAAACGATGCCCTAGACTTTTCCGTGATTCGTGGCGAGTGTCAGTAGAGAAAGACAATGGACAATACGCCTCCACCCTCGATGTTCGTTCGATGGAAATTATGCTTCGTGTCAAGCGTGACGTGAAAAGCAAAGTATTTTCAGCTTCTTGATCCTAAGCTAACTATTACGTCAGATGTTTATCGTCAACCATTAGACTCTTCAGCAATCATTAACTGACGGACGTCCTGCGTTCGTAACGGAAGCCGAGTAATTCCGTTGCATGATAATGCTTGTCCATGAATTTTAAAAGCCATTTTAGGTTAGAAAACGGTGACTTGATCTTTGCGTAAAGCAATGTTTCCAAAGTAGGCGCGCAACTTCTACGATCGAAGGGAGAGAGTTTAAGATCCAAAGATAAAATTCGAACTCTGTGTGTTTGTGATTTCTCTGTAACTCCTAACATTTTCGTCCAATACAGATGAAATTTTGTTCAATCGTTCTTCATGTTCCGAGAGAGAGCATAGGTTATATTATTTATGGAGGCTACAAGGCTTTAAACAATGGGTTCTCTAT